CTTGGAGCACTTCATGAAACAGAATTTTAAGGGACAATCGGCTTTGTTTCTGCAAATCTCATATATAATCACCCACATTTATTTCCCGACAATAATAGATGGAAAGACAGAAAGTATGTACACAAGTACACCAAGTAATAGAACAACACGAAAAGTATAGATGAATATGATGTAGATCACCCATCCCATCCACTGCCAATGCTAATGTTAAAGCCAATGTCAATACCAATGCTAATCCAGCTGCCGTTGCACGTCGGATTAATAAATAATAAAAATAAAAATAGACAAATTAAACATTTGCAACCATTTACCCACAGAGGGAAACAATTAACAATTGTTATGCATCCAAACAAGAACAGTTTTAACGTGGAGAGAGGAATGCAAGGGGAAGAAAGCGAAGAAAAGAAGATGGGGCAAGAGAAAACAAGCATGCCTTCATGTTTCTGTTTGATTCTCTCTCTTCTCGCTCTTTCTGCTCTCTGTTTCTCTACTGTCTCTATCTTTTTGTTCCTGGATAATTATCGCTCATTTTGCTCTCATTAAAATCATATAATATATCCCCTTGCCCTTCTCCACCTCTCTTACCTTGCCTGTTTAATGTCTCTCTACATGTTTGTGCCTGTTGTCAACTACATCTCTTAACCTGTGCTCATCTTCTTTCTGCATTCAAATCCTTCCATCTTACATCTTTTTCTCTTTCATCTTTTTTTTTTTTTTTTTTTTTTTTTTTTTTTTTTGGCTCATGGGGGCCCGCCACCCTTTTACACAGCGTTCCCTTCGGGAGGACAGTATTCCATCCTACATACCATCTTCTGTTATCCCTTCGCCTCACACTACCTTTTCCTCTTCCACAAGCAAACGTTCCTTCTCTCTTTCTCATCTGCTTGTATTTGTACTTGCAACTGCTGGATATCCCCCATTTTCCCTACATCCCAATGTGGTCGCTGCTGCTGTCACACCCACCTGGCGAGCATTCCACGGAGCAGCCATTGTCGATACATCCATGATCATTTTCGGTGGCACAGTTGATCCTAACGTAAATCCGTTTGATTCAACTGTTTCAGGATCAAATGACCTCTGGGTCTGGAGCACTACACTACGCCAGTGGTCACAGCCTAAACCCGAAGGATCAATCAATCCTCCTAACCCTCAAAAGTTCCTGACGTCTGTCCCGCTGCAATCTCAAGGAAAAATGATGGCATTGATTAGCAATTCTACGACTGGATCCACACAAACTGACCTTATAATCCTCGATACTAATTTTTGGACATGGTCTATTCCCAACTCACGTATGTCCCTTATATCTTTCAGAAATATTAATGCTGTAACACTGAAACAGTATGTTTCATGAGGAACATACATTCTCACCCCTGTGTGCTCGTCCGTAATTCTTTCTATACAACATAGCAAATGGAGCATCAGCACCAGCATCGAGGTTGGGCGCAGCAATTGGTATATCTGACAATACAGTGTATGTGCACGGCGGGACTTCCTCCAACTCCAATGGATATGCCGCCTCCTCCGGTGCCCTAAATGACCTTAATAAACTAGTAAGCGGTTGCATCCTCATCATCCGTCAGCTGTCTTGTTATGGGGAAGCATCAAGCAATTCTTGAAACACATTTTCAGACAAGACTCATTGACATTCATTACCCTCTCTATTTATTATTATTATTATTATTATCATTATCATTATTACTTTATTTTCTTCTCTTTTCTTCCTTCTCTATGTTTCCCGCTTTCTCCAGGATGATAGTACGTTTGAGTGGACTTCTATTGCTAACGGACCAGCACTCATGTATCATACAATGTGCAAACTTCCAGGGGTCAACAAGATGGTTGTTTTTGGGGGGAGTGACACCGCCAGCAACGCTTTCAATGATGTACATACAATCGATCTTGGCTTTGAGACCTGGAGTCTGAACGTCCGCGTCGAACCTGGTCTTGGAGGAGGTATTCCCTCTGTCAGGAAAGGGCATACAGCTGTGTGTTTAAATAATACCATGGTAGTATTCGGTAGGGATACCACATCTCATAACTTTCAGATGGGCAATTGATTGCAATGAAAAGTTGGTGACACAAGGCATTGACCATGTCCAATCTGTTAATATCTTGTGATCTGCCATTTAGGGGGTGGAGCGGATGGACCACTTGACGATGATGTATGGGTCATGGATGCCTCTAAAACGCAATGGGTATGGAACAGGATGACAACTAATAAACAAATGGGTCCAGGGCCTAGGACAGGACACTCGGCGCTGCTGAATGGGACCAATATTCTCATCTGGGGTGGATACGGCGCACCACTAGCTAGTGATATCAATATCTATATCCTGGATACTCTGACCTGGCAATGGAGCTCATCCAAAGAGGTCCGGGGCAGTTCACCACCGCCATCTACAGCTGTACCGAGTAACCCAACTAATAGCAAAAACAATTTGCCAGTAACTATCGGTGTCGTCTGTGCATGTATCGCCTTGATTGCTGCGTTCGTTGGGTTTCTAGTTTTCAGGAGGCGTGCATCCAAAAAGGCTCAGGGTCAGGTAAAGCGAGCGAAGGATAACGCCAGCTATTTATCTGATGCAGAGCAATATCTCTCGAGGGAAATGAGCCTGGATGACAAGCCGGCCTATTATAATCAGCATTCAGGACGAGACTCTGGATCTTCCCTTGGTGGTTGGCCTAGTACTGCTGGCAGAAAGAACATCCCATCTACTGCACAGGGATACCCTATGCGATCCATGTCGACACTTGGCCAACAGGCAGCAGCAACAGCAGCAGATACTTCTACTGCAGCTGCTGATGCTGGATCCAGTTCTGAACAGGGTGCTGTCGTAGCAGATACCACTCAATCTCTGGCAAAGCAGTCACCAAAGCCAACTCAGTTGTCAAGGCAGATATCATTGCAGGATGTAGATCAAATATCTCAGAGAACAGGTGTCCGAGTTGGATCGATTGCTTCTGATCCCTTTTATCCTGCTCATCTTGCAGAGAACGATGAGGAGGATGCTGATCGGTGGACGTTTGCATCGTCGCTATCATTCGATCAAAGAGAAAAGGTTGGGCCCATTCCTACACTACGGTATATCCCTACACGTGGCTCGGGCATGCCAGGAATCCAAAGGTCCATGGTGCAATCCAGTGGGAACCTAGTACCAAGTTATTCTGCGGCTAGGGGTGTACGACGGGATGTGAGCGCTCCATCCATACTCTCTGGTAAAGCCTCGTCAATCGGCGGCGCCCCGTCTATCATCCTCAATCCAGCAGGACCCAACGCTCAGCCATTAAGTCGGGATGGATCCATTATCAGCCCAAGGGAGGCAACGTTATTTAACTCTGTGAGTCCACTGGACAGGGTCAGTTTGATGTGCTCAGGATTGGATGTAGAATCTCAGGTCTCAGGAGAGGATGACCACTTATCAACAACCCATCTTCATTCCAAAGGCGGCTTTCCACAGTGGCAAGACAGTTACCGACGTGAGAGCTGCATTGGAGCAACGGTGGAGGAAGAAATCGAAACCCATGTTACACTGCAGAGATCTGGATCATCTTCTACTGCCAACTCCTCAGGGGTTTATACGACTTTGGAGCATCCAGCTCTTGCAACATTGATCCAGAATTTACCCGCCCGATACTTGGTCTCTAAATCTCCCAGCCCCATTCATGGAACTTTCAACGACATCCTATTTGCAGTTGATTCCGATACACAGCAGCCAATTGTGATCAAATCATTTTCAAGAAGAGAAGCCTGGGAGAGGGAATGCAGGGTGCTAAAGAAATTACGAGGGCCCTGTGTTGTTGAGTTGAAGCATGTGGCAACTCTTGTTCTGTCTGAAACTGATGACCCCAACAAACCCGCAACAATTCGACTCACTATTCTAGAACGCTTGGACGAGACTCTTGCACAGATGTTGAAGAATGCACGAAAAGCCAAAAAACTAGCGTTACGTGAACAGGCTGCGGGTGCACAAGGAGAGCATTCATTGGACTTGTCAGGCGCAGGATTGTACAGATCAGGACCTGCATTGGATGAGAGTTATGTGAAGGACATTGTGAAGGGCGTACTCCGTTGCTTGACCTGGTGTCATTCCAAGAAGATTGTCTATTGTGATTTGAAGCCGACCAACATTATGCGAAACCGGGATGATCCACGTCAGCAGTGGAAACTCATTGACCTTGAGTCCTCCAGGACTGCAGAAGAAGAGCGGATGAGTGTAGGTACTGTTCGGTATTGTCCGCCTGAAGTAGCAAAAGCGACTGTTGCTGCAAAAGAGAGCACTGGTAATTCAACAGCAGGAGTAACAGCGCACTACAGCATGGATCTCTGGGCATTCGGATGTCTTCTCTACGTAAGTTTTGTTGTGATGTTTAGAGCAATATTTTATTTATTTATTTATTTATTTTCTTCACTAATTTTTAATCCTTGGATCGATTCTTGGATCAATCAATGTTTTATCGTTTGTAGGAGCTTTTTGCGACAAGACCATTGATCCCAAAGAAAGCAAAAGATGATGTGGTACTTCATTTCTTGGCCCATCCATCTGTAGATACACCGCCTTTATCGAATGGGCTAAGGTGGACAAACACTCAAGAGCTTGAGATCCCTTACTTTGAAGAGGCTGTACGGAACAAGAGCGCTAGACAATTGATCCGCATGCTCCTCCGTCCTGATCCCAAGGACCGTGCTGTGATGGATGAGATCTTGGTGAGTTATATATATATATATATATATATACATGTAATGCATATTGCCAAACAAAGCCCTTGATTTAACTCCATTTCCCCACTTCAATGTAGGACTCGGAGTACTTGAGCAGCGAAGCAGAAAAAAGAATTTTAGGTCGAGTTAATCAGAAAAACGTGGTGATAACCTAATACTACCAAATGTACTTTTCTTTTCCTTCCTTTCCAATTATTAATATACCAAGGATAGTCTAGTGAGCAACCATCCACATATTTTCAAAAAGAAACCTTGCATGTTAAATGTGTCTTATTTTAGTTTTCACGTACAGTCGCTGAGCTCATATTTATGTGTCATACGCATAGTTTTTTTTTTTTTTTTTTTTTTTTTTTTTAATAATAATAATTTTACAAAAAGTAGAGTCTTTTTCTTAGTGATTAATCTAAAATCAGGCAATGCGTCCTACGCGATTCATCCGCTGGACACGCTCTCGAACAGACTCTGTAGGTGTGAATGGCTCTTCATCGTTGCTCAAAAGACTTTCTGGTTGCTCCAGTGAAGAGCGACCGTTCGGACTAGCAGCAGTGCCTGATGCCTGAGTAGCAGCAACGTATTGGCGACGCCTCGAACGAATTAGAGTCTCTTCTTCCTCCTCTTCCTCCTCATTATTCCCAAGTCCATTGCGCATATCGTCCTGATGTTGACGACTTGCTACCCCTGCCCTTGCTCTTTGTGATGGTGTCATGTGCTGTGTCGAGTCAGTGGAAGAGTTACCACCAACGTTGTGCTCGAACGAAGACCTGTGGGTTAGGTGATTTCTATTATGACCAAAAGCTACATCAACATCCTTAGAGCCTTTTGTCGGTGAACTAACAGTCGAGGCCGTCGTCGATGACGTAGATGGCTGCTGTTGTTGTTGCAAAAAGATTAAATCATCATCCAGATCTGCACTAGGGAACTTCTTCTTAAAAGCCTCTTCTTCACCAGCTACCAACGTTCCAGTCCCATCCTTCATCCTGAACCGTGTAGGTTTTGGTAATAATTCGGGCTTTTGACCCGGCGGCAAATTAAATGATGTACGTCTAGGTTTGACATTACTAGCAGAACTAGTAGTCGCGGCTGGGCTAGTAGGAGTAGCAGGCCCCGAACTTTGACAAGTACCAGTGCCAACCTCAGTGCCATTTATCCCTGTTCGACGAGCCGATTTGGTAGGTACCGAAGGAGTCATGGTCGTTGTAGATGAGAAATCAGGACCCCGAAGGGACGAAGATGGGGATGAGGAAGCGGTTGAATATGGATTTTGAAGCGAGGCTGATGGAGAAGACGAAGCTGAAGAGGCATAGCTGTTCGTTAAGGAGGTCAAGTAATCCAAATTGCCACTGTTCGAAAGCGATGCTGGGTAGATGACAGCGGCTTTTTGTCCATTACCTATATCTGATAGCGATAGTCTGTAAGGATTTGAAGACTGTTGCGGCCTTTGGAAGGTTGTTGACATAGAGTCGTCTGTGGGTGAGCCTATCAATGAAATCGATCCCATGGACGTTGCCAAATTGGATACGTCTGGCACAGTTCGTTGTTGTTGTTGCTGCTGTTGTTGTTGTAATTGCTTCTGATCCTCGTGTTGTCTCTCGAGATCCCTCTGTTGCATGAGTTGTTTCTGCGTCAACTGCTCCTGTTCCTTCAACAGCCGCTTGCGCTCTTGCCATTTTTCCTGCTGCTGCTGGATTTGTTGTTGTTGCTGCTTCTGAAGCTGCTCTTGCTGCAGACGATGCTGCCGTTGTTGCTCCTCTAGCTCACGCCTCTGCAATGCAAGCAGTTGTTGCTGTTGTTGTTCAAATTCTTTTTGCTGGAGCTTGATCAACTTGAGTTCAGTCTCCAAATCCCTTTGCGCCATAGCCTTCCTGTCCACTGGTAATGTTTCAGATGGTTTAATCGCATGAGCAGACGATAAACTGGCAGAAGATGGAGGCTGCGGGCGAGGAGCAAGCGCTGGTGGTGTCGACGCAGCTGACCCTGAAACACTTGGAGTAGAAGCATTCTTCAGGCTCATATCCAGCGATCTCATACCATCCAACGTCTTGCTTGGATCCAGAACCTTGGCCTTTCCTTGTGCATTTTGTGGGTTTGGACTGCTTGCTAAGTCAAGGCTGAACCGTCCTAACTGCTCCATCTGTTGGCGTTGCAAAAGCTCAAGATTGTTATCAGTCAGCAATGGGCCCTGCCCCTGATTGTGACCATCGAGACTACCAATGCTAGTGCCGCTAATACCAGTGTTATTTGGTCGATAACTACGGCTATCCGAATCCGTAGTTCTTCCTGTATTAGGTGATATGTTCGAGGGGAGAGCCATCCTTGAACTTTCGGTGCTGTCGCTATTGACGTTCCTGTTCAAAGGGCTATTTGAATTTTGAGTAATCGGATTAACTTGTCTCGGCGGAAGGAAAGCCATGGAGGGGCTCGATGATTGGTATCCAATGTTTGATGGTAGAGAAGAGAGTCCAATGGGTGATTGCTGAGCGTTATTGAAAGATGATGGTGTGCCAGCTCGAGGCCCTGTGATAGCGGTGTTTTCAAACTGAATCCCTGCAGATGATCCAAAGAATAAATCATCAGCTGTGGGCTTTACTACAATTGCACTGTTTGCTCCAGATAATTGAGAGGAGATGGAATCTTTCAAAGAAGTGCCCGCTCCAGATTGACTCGATTCGGGTAAAAGAAGATGATCTGAGAAGTTGATAGATGGTGGGCGTGGTCCCTTTGCTGGTGTTGCAGCTACCATCGTTGATGAAGATGCATTAGGCTTGATATTCTGTGTTGTAACAGTGTTGGTAAAATCAAATCCAAAATCATTCTTTCCAGATTCAAAGTCAAGTGTAAACCGTTTAGATTCACTTTTATTGCCATTGTCAAACGATGGAGAGTTTCCAAAATCGAAAGCATCGCCCAAAGGAGGAATCTTTGAGAACTGTGATGCTGGATCCTCAATTTGCGAAAATTGACCAAAGGAGTCATCGAATCCGGAGTTGGGATCGGCTGGCACTGCCCCCTGTGCTACTGGTACTGCTGCTGCTGGCGCCTGTGTTTGTGGACGAGTTGGTCGACCTCTTCGCATGGGCTCAATCGAAGGAAGAACATCCATGGGGCGAACGACTGCAGTATTGCTGAGGATATTGGCTGTTGCTGACGACTGAGACTCTGGACCGCTAAGTGTAGATGTAGTTTCTGGGTATTTCTAAATTTGCGAGTGTATAAAAGGAAATTAGTCAATGGTACTCATAATCGCTCCAAGGACATTAGACGCCCTATTTCATCATCTACTCATACATTCTTGATAGGACATGGAAGTCCACGCAGTGCTGAAGTTGCCTTCATAACTTGGTAGATATTGGGTCTTTGTCTTGGATCCTCTTTAAGCATTGATTCTAAAGGTGCAAATAATCCCATGATAGTCAGCAATAAGTTAGATCGGTCACCTGGAGTGACATAGGCTATAGATCGACCTATTTAAAGAGGTATGAACTTACTAAACAGATCAACGAGTCCAGGCGAAAAGACAGGATACTCGGGGATCGTATATCGCACGTTGAGAATCGCAAGCTGTCCTTGTTCCTCAAATGGCGTCGTGTAGTAGCATAGTTTGTATAAGAGCACACCTAACGCCCAAATATCTATGGAGATTTTTAAAAATTTTCATAAAGAGCACACAGATATTACGGAGAATCAGAGATTGTGAGCCTCGAAGTTTCGACTTTTTTTTTTTTTTTTTTTTTTTTTTCGCCCTGTTATTGACTGTACAGCTTCTATCTGATGGTCGAGTACATAAACCCACAGATAAAAAAGTAATGTAACTTTTGACGGAATAGAGAAACAATAGCAGTCAGTCATTACCAATTTTTTCATCAATTCCCTTCCTCATGTAAAGATCTACCATCTCTGGAGCACGGTATTGCAGTGTTGTATGATTATTGATTTCTTCTTCAAGCAATTGAATGTCCTTGACATTTCTAGGGATATTGTCCCCTCGAAGAATATTGGTAGTAGCTGATCCAAAATCGCACAATTTATAATCATTGTGAGAGAGCAGAATGTTTTCGACTTTGATATCACGGTGGAGAATTGGTGGATCGGAATAATGCAAGTAAGCAACAGCCTAAGTGATAAAGAAGAATGCAAAAATGTGTGAGCATCATTATGCTAACAAAGATAATCCGCCCCTAACACAGCCCGCTTTTATGCTTTACTCATTACCTCGCAGACATTCGAAAAGATCTTGAGGATTTCAGGTTCAGTTAAACGATGCTGAAGTCTTCTGTTCATCAGATCAATTACAGGGCCACCTACCAAGAGAAGAGTAAGAGTGTTAGTTATCTGCACAAGATGACAAATGATGGTCTTGATCTATAACCAGTACCTTTCTTTTTTTCTTTTTTTTTCTTTTTCTTTTAATGCAGTTGTAATGTTCATACCTCCACAATATTCCATGAGGATCAAGACTTCATATCCACCTCCCTCAAGCTTTCCCATACATGAATCCATGTACTCGACAATGTTTTTGTGTTTTCCTAAACGCTTCTAAAAACAATAATAAAGACGAACGGTATAAATCAGCGAGCGGATCCTGTCTCGTCAAAGGTTAATTCATTAGATGAGGATCTAGTATGTTGTTCCGTACCATAGTCTCGATCTCTTTGTTGACGATAGCAAGGCGCTCTTTGTCAGCGACAGCAATACGCTTCACTACAACAGGAAAGCCGCTACCGTTAGCAAGCGTAGCAAGGTAGACATGAGCAAACCCCCCTTCCGCTATGTATTTGTCGATAACAACAGCGTAATTGCCAAGCTGAATGGCAGTCCCTGGAAGAATAGTTCCCTGAGGGGCCATCATGGGTATCCCTACGGCGTTCATGAAGGGAATAGAATCTGAGAGAAGATGGGGACGGTGAAATTCAGTGAATTAAGAAAGGTGCTAATAAGGAAGATGAGAGTAAAAAAGTACAGCGAAATGGAGAGTACAGAGAAGGAAAAGGGAATAAATGAGCCGCAGAGCGAGGAGGATGAGAAAGATGATGAAAAGAGTAATGCAGATTAAAAAAAAAAAAAAAAAAAAAAAGTCGAGATTGAAGATGACTTTTTGCATGTATTCATTGCCATTAAAGTTTAGTGCCAGCCAGGCACAAGCTGAAAGATGCACACAGACGACATTAAATTAATAAATATTTGTGCTTGTGTTTCGCTGCGTTTATTTTCTTCTTAATACATCAATACATCTCAATTGGCCAGACCCTCGGACCCTTGGATTAAAACTGACTCAAGATCTCCTCAATCTCCTTTTCATGGGCCTTCTTGACCTCTCGTCGCTTGATCTTGCCACTCGAAGTCATAAAACCATTCTTAGTCCAGTCCGAATCATCCACAATCACTCCTTGAATTGTTTCGGGCTTGGACAGACCTCCAGACTTGGCTACTGCCTTGAGTGCTTTGAGGATCTCATCATTTCTGGCCTTTTTTTTTTTTTTTTTTTTAAAAAAAAAAGAAAAAGAAAAAGAAAAGGAAATTCAGTGCCAAATAATTTAGCCAAGATTTGTAATATAATTGATTTAATGAAATCACTTACTCCTTGATGACTTGGTTCCACAACGGCAATCAGGGCAGGACTTCCGTTGTCCGCAACAATACAGATGCTCTTGATATCCTTCGAGTCACGATAAATTGCCTCACACTTCTCAAGCGCAACATACTCGCCATGCGACAACTTGACCAGGTTCTTGATACGATCTTTGATCGACAGAGTGCCATCAGCATTCATGGTACCAATATCACCTGTTTTGAACCATCCCTCGCTTGTCATCACCTTCTCTGTCTCATCATCGAGTTTATGGTAGCCTCTCATCACGGATGGACCACGGAGCCAGATCTCCCCTGTTCCGTTTTCCCCTGTATATTCTGTGTCAGGAACATCAACTAGTTTGAGCTCCAGACTGGGTGCCTAGTTTCCATGGTACGGATATTGGGCAAAGCATCATTAAAGTTTTTAGTTTCAGTCTCTTTTTTTTTTTTTTTTTTTTTTTATAACAAGGAATCACTTGATAAACCTACAGGTGGACCCACAGTTCTCAATCGATGTCCCATGGAAGGTATAGTTACGGCTGCAACGCCACAGACTTCGGTGAGACCATATCCAGAGATAACATAGCACATGACCATACTCAAGAAACGGTGTGTTTCGTCACTAATGCCAGCACCTCCTGTTAGAGCAAGACGAAGTCGTCCACCCACCAGCTCTCTTGGCTTACTAAAGGCAGCCACGTCAAGCGCCCTAGTGACAGCATTCTCCGATCCTGTTGCCTGAACAATGGCCCATTTTGCATTAAGTGCTGCAAAGAACAGCTTACGCAAGGGTAATGGCTGTTTGTTGACCTCGGCAATAATACCTTTCCTGATACGCTCCCAGATCGTGGGGACACCAGCTTAATAGACATTATGTGTTCAAAAGTTAAATTTTAAATAACACAGCTAAAATTAGGTTTCAACGTCACACAAAAAATGAAAATGATCTCATCAACAGCGTCAGCTGTTTGCTTAGTTGTGTCATAAACATACCCATCAGCGTTGGCCTGAGCGCTTTCAAGTCCCCAAGGCCTTTAGATTGTCTGCTACCTGATGTAGGCGCAACAGCGTCATCCATTAAGGTCCTGGCACGACCGAAGCCGAGGCGACATCCCTGAAATTATGGATCGTTGCATTTGAACAGAGTAAAAAGAAGAGATTTGTAGATATAAAGGTTAGTATCCAAGTAAGTTCTGACCGAAAAGATACAACACACTATTGAAGTAATACAGTTGCCACTCACCATTGAGGAGCAAAAATGCGAAATAACAAACTCTAGTACGTGTGCTAGAGGTAGATAAGACAACACGATATCTTCTTCATTGAGTTGGTCGCCCACTAAAGCAGCTGCACTTGCAATAGAGGCCATTAGGTTGCCATGAGTCAATAGTGCGCCTTTAGGCTGCCCAGTTGATCCAGATGTATACATAATGCATGCGATGTCGCCTTCATCTGGGTAGCTGGCCTTAAGTTTGTCCTTATCCTGACCAACCTTCAATTCATCGATATGTACCAATTTAAAGGAACGGTTCTGAATATTTTCAAGCTTAGTAGTAGATTCCTTCACTTCTGAATCTTGCCCACTATATATGATTGTTTTGATGTCATGGCTATCCTTCTGCATAAGGTTGCAGATGACAGGCAGAGTATTTGAATCAGCAAAAATCGCTTTAGGAGCAGACTCCTTGAGGATATGTGCGATTGATTTCTCATCCATGGAGTCGTATGCTGTCACAATAGTAATTGACTGAGAGAAAGACCCTATAGCCATTGGGAAAACAAAAAAAAAAAAAAAAAAAAAAAAAAAAAAAAAAAATTAATAGTTGATTGAAGCATGTAAATCACAGCGTGTCCTCTGTTTGATCAACAAAAGCAAACAGCTTTGACAGAATGTCCGTAACAGTGCTGTTATTCTTTTCTTGTTAAACTTTGCAGGTCCACTCTGGAATAAGGCACTACCCCTCGAAGAGCTTGAAAATTGCTTACCATGTGATGTAAGGAGCCATTCAGGACTAATCCATGCGGATTAAGCGAGACACTGTCAGCAAGAAATCGATAAAAAAATAATAATGAAACATAACACTAATGTTTTTTTTAAGCGTTACCTGGTACTGGCGAAAATCAGGATACAGTCACCCTTATCGACGCCGAGACGTTTGAGACCTAAACCAATTTGATCAGCATAGTCCTTGGCTTGACGGTATGTCATCCATTTATAATCAGAGAGTTCATAAGTCATCCACGTCTTTGGCTTTTCTTCAGGGTTGGCTGATTGCTTTTCGACCTTATGTACCTATTTTTAGCCCAGTAATTATGGATAAGCACACAATAAGTAATAGTCGTGGAAAGAAATAAAGTACATGATGATAAAAAAAAGAAAGAAATCTCCATACTTTAACGATATCTCTCCAACCCATTGAATCTTTGTCTCCAAATTTATCGGCCATGTATTCAAACAGATGGGTCATGGTTCGGCCCTTGAGCCCATCATAGAATGGGGGCCTAGGATTGTCTAGAAGGCCTTCGTTTGCCATGACATTTCGATAGACTTGCTCAGCCTCATCATATTTGAAGGCATACTTGCCATCGACAGGTCGCATATTGAACACTTTAAGTTAAGGTTAATGATGTGAAAAAATATAAATACTGGAAATAAAAGCAAAGGAAGGGAAAGTTGAAATTAAAAGTCGATGAATGAATGAATGAATGAATGAACAAGTGTGAGTGTAGACAATGGATAGTGTAAGAAGAAAAAATGAAGAGTTGGTTCTGGTTTTTTAAACACCTTTCTCATTGAGCTGGTCTTATCTAAGCCAGTGAAAGCAGTGGGAAAAACATTGCTCATCATGTCATCATCAATATAATCAGTGCCAGGCATGGTTGCTTCGAAACCCTACATCAGAGATCTTGATAAAGTTCTAAGCTTCCACCTTTTTTTTTGAGTAGCTTTGCAAGCTTCATGACAAAACAGTTCCTGTCTTTCAAAATCTATCCAATCGGCATGATCTCTTGAACGTTTGTCTTCACACTTCACAAGAGTAGAGATTAATGCCCCTTGAATAAGCTTTTATATGCTAAAGTAGGGTACATTGCAACTTGGGGTTGACTATACTAAAGCAGTTTATCAACACCCGTGATCCTCCTCTCAGGACGTAGTTGATGCCTGTCTATGTATGTCTCAAGCACACTTTTGCATGTCTTCGGCGATCTGCGGTCCTATAAATTGGCTCGACAGGATGTATATCCCTTTCAACATGCCGCTGGAAGAAGCTGAAGTGGTAAATTTAAACTGAGGTCACTTGTCTATGCCTCAGGAATTTTTTTTTTTTTTTTTTTTTTTTTTGAAAAGTCAATTTCTACTGATGAAGGAAGTATAAGCCACGAAACAGAAAAAAAGCTTTTGACCCGTTTGGGCCAATTCTGTAAAGTCATTTTCATTATCTTCAAAAGTTTTTTGTGTGGGATCGGAAGTTAAATGATCCGACGCCTATTCAATTGTAAACATCCAGTAATAAAATTCAAGGTTTCGCATGGTGCCTACCCAGAGACAGAGTACTACAGATGGCGGCTCCGATATGGAGCTTTCAAGTGGAAGTGATGGAGATCGTTCTGAGATCAATATTCAGACATCCAACAATCTTGAAGGTGATCAAATGCAACGTGGTGTCGACTTTATCGGCTTTGAATCAAGTGAGGAAAGTGAGGACGAGAACAAAGCGGGAGTGTCCGTTTTTGATTTTATCCCGCGATCCAAGGATAGTGGCAGCAACCCAACAGACTCATTACCTCATGGAAAGAAGCGCACGCGAAGTGAAGCCTCGAGCGACGATGAAGGGCCTAGTATGGGACCACCTCCAGGTTGTCCCTGGATGGGTCATCGAAAATATTCGAAAATGTCTTCGGTGCCAATGATGTTGACACAGGAGCTGAAGGACTTTGTGGAATACATCAGTCCTACCCGAGAAGAACACCAAGTTAGAAAATATGTGTACCTAATCATTCAACAGACAGTCAAGCGTCTATGGAAAGATGTAGAAGTGGTGGTATTCGGGAGCTATGAGACAAGGCTATATCTTCCGTCTAGGTAATTCCATGCCGAAGATACTGGATATTCTTATGCAAAATATGACAGCGATTTACATCTGAGGTCATCACCAACGTTTCGTATTATTTGGTCATTCGAGGCAACCTTTATCATTTACTCATTCTTTATGGCCTCTACAATACATAGCGATATGGATATTGTCCTGCTACGGGACCAAGATTTTCAGAAAAATGACTTTTATAAATTGGCGAGCTATTTACGGAGTAATGGTGTTGCAACAGATATCTCAGTGATTGCCAAAGCGAGAGTACCTATTATCAAATTCAAAGAGTCTATAAGTGGGATTGCTGTTGATGTCTCGTTCAATGCAGTCAGCGGCATTGATAGTGCCAAAGCCATAACGGTATTCTTAGAGGAAATACCTGTATTACGGCCTCTAACTATGCTGATTAAGCATTTTTTAATGATCAAGGTGCTCTTTTTTTCCACCTTTTCTTCTTAAGAAATCAACAGGGTGCTCGGCGCAAGTTGACATACAAGAACGACTAATATTTATTCTATACTGAACTTGATGATAGAACTTCAATGAGGTCTTCACAGGAGGTCTGGGTTCATATACGACGGTTATCATGATTATAAGCTTTTTACAAATGCACCCCCAGATTCAGGCAAGGAAGATGAATCCAGAAGAGAATTTGGGGGTACTTCTCATAGAGTTTTTTGAACTCTATGGCCAGTGCTTCAATTACGCACAAGTTGGCCTCTCAGTAAGGGAAGGTGGATCCTATTTCGAAAAACCGCCACCCATCAATGGACGTATGGCATACGGTCGTGGCGGCCCAGAATTGCTGCTGTCCTGCATTGATCCCAATGATCCATCTAATGACACAGCCAAGAGCTCATATCAGCTGAGAAAGATCAGGGAACTTTTTGTGGGTGCATTTGCTAGCTTAACTAATGCCGTACAACGTCGAAACCGTGAGCTCTTTATGGACCGCGATGACCATAAGAAAAGCGGACGATCGACGCATGTGCGGTTTGATGAGCACAATCGGGTTGCAGCTGATTCTTTAGAGAAATCATCGGGCCTTCATCATAGTAAAGAGGTGTCACTCATCAAAGATGTCTTTACGATACCGAAAAGCGTACTTTTACATCGTCGACATATAGAGGATGTTTTCTATCGCGGCGAGTTTCAGAAGCTATTTAATGACCCTCCAGGCATACAGGGACTGGATAAAATGGAGGAAGAAGAGAGGCTGTTGGATCAAGGCGGGATGGATGTAGAGGGAATTATGGAGACTGAGGAGCGTATATTGTTCAAAGGACAAGGAGAAAAATTCGCAGTAGAAGATATGGAGTGCGCTATCTTTTTAGAAGCAAAACCCATCAAGCAGGACAAGCCGAACATGTCAGTCCGGCAGATACTTAGTGAGCCTTTGGAACAATTCAAGAAGTTGTCGACCAACGACAAGTACGAGGTGGAGAAGTTTATTGGATTGAAACATGAGCTTATGCACCGAATCGCTCGCAAGATGATTGACGAGACTGAGAAAAAGGAGAATAGAGAATTGAGTCTTTCAGAACGAGAAGAGATATTCAAAAAGGCTCGGCAATCATTAAATTCTCGTTTGGAGGCAGCAGATCTGAAAAAGGGTCGGTTTTTGGAGAAAATCAGGTCTGACAGGGCGCAAATCATCCAAGCAGTCAGTCAATACTCGCGAATCCCTCTTAGCACTACGGCTCTAACTCCTGTCAAGACTGCTTCCACCATCCATACAAGGAGCAACAACGAACGGAGAGGAGAAAGTATGAATGATGCCATGAGAGACATTGAATATGTATCTTCAGAAGATTCCGATGATGAAGGGGAAGCAGGGCAGTACTTTGACAACTTGATGAAAGAAGGCGCAAAAGAATATGGGCATAATGATGGCGATGATGAGCATAGCATTGAAGACACTCGAAGTGACCATTCCTCTATTGATGTAGCGGGACACCGGAATCCTGCTAATGTCAACGCATCTGCAGATTCTATCCAACTTCCACAACTTGTTTCAGTACCAAAACCAGCGCAGCACAATAACAACAGCCCCCGGAGTGAGCAACTTGCCAAGAGCAAATCAAAAAACTTTATAATCTGGTAGGCAAATCGTTGGAATGGCCATTCTCCTCCATGTATAGTATGAAACATTAAGATAATCCAAGGCAATAAATGATTAACATCCTCCTCAGATTTTTTCTATGCTTTGATTATACGCTATTGTAATTGACGATTTGAGATAAAATAGAATGAAGCCATCAGCGTACGAAAGTATTGACTATATTGCTTGAGAGAGATCGTGAGCCGCTGACCGTACTTGAAATGTAGCCCCGTAGTCCAGAGTTTTACAAGCATACATCAGTTTTAATTCTTGCATATTTCTTTCTTTGAGAATTTCAAAGTGGGGACACAAACAATCATTGGGATCTGGCACATTGAGACAGATACAGAATGTCGCACGGCTGGATCTTTTTCCTTTGATAACCATTCCTCCTATTCTAGATACTAATGGGCTGTGGTCCTCTCAAAGACAAGGGATCCCTGGGCAACTTCTTGCACCTCGTAGTCATCTTCACCTAGGAAGAAACAATGAAATAAAAACGTCCTCAAATTTAGACGAAACGTGCACGCGCTTCAGATACTGTTCTTTCTCCCCAGTTTCATCGAATTGTCCTTCAATCAATACTTCCACTCTACTTGATTCATGACATGGACCCATCTGAAGAGCCCATTCACGTCATCATAAGATTGCCCTACCCGCGTCCTGAAGGGTTTGTTGATACTCCGGTAGGCCAGAGACATTGATCCAGAATGAATGACAGAAAAGCTTTACTTTCGAATTCAAGTATTCAATAATAGCCATTTCATTCTCTCAATTTGCAGGTGCGATGGACTGAGGCAATGGAGAAGACACTATGGCAAATCATTGGACAGACAAAGCCGTCTTTAGTAGATTGTAAGAATAGTACTTCGTATATTTTGCTTTTTTATCACAAGTCTTACAAGATTCCTTCATATGCACTGCACCCATTCTAGGGAATGCTGTATCTCGGCAGCTTGGCAATATACCAGTGCACTTTTTGATCAGACACGCAGCATCTTTATATCAGAACCAACTTCAGGATCTACATCGTATTGGAGAACTACAAGATTCGACAGGACAATTGCAATCCACCTTTCGACAGACCACGCGGGGGGCTATTGGACCAGGCGCTCCGGCCTTGTCGTTTGATGGCACCCCAACTGCACAGCAACATTCACTTAGCTCTCAAGGTGCATTGAAACAGACAGAAAGCCCACGACCTAATGTGACAAGTCCTAATATGGCCCAGCCTGCAGGGAAGGAAATACATGGTGCTATAGGCAGCAAAACACAGGCGAGTCCATCACTCTCAGACAGTATTTCCGCCTTTCCTTCTTCTATGCGACCGGCCTCCATGTCCTCATCAGCCTCCACTATTCGCCCTGTTCAACCTTCCTCTCCTTCACCATCTATACGAAGTGCAGCTACCGCAGAAACCAATATGTACAACTCAGGGGCTCTTTCAAAGAGAGGTATATCACAATCCCGATCATCTAGAGGATCACAACTTTTGGGTACAGCGTCCGAAAGGCGAATACAGAACGCACTATCAACAATCTCAACGTCTCCAAGGGAGGGAGCCCTATTAACAGAAGCAAGCCAACGCATCACAGAGCCAGCGCATCCCTTCCACCAGGCCACGATCTCGGCCTCTGTACGTCATAGTAATATTTTGAGCCCAAGCGCGAGGATATCTTCTGGATCGCATGATCAAGGGAGTTTGCCAGCATTTCAGGAACATGAGCGATCATCAACTGTATCTTCTGTATCAACTCCTTATTCACAGAGCAATAGCACTTCTCAGATATTTGAAGAAACATCATTCTTCAATCAATTATCATCAACTGACTCTATTTCAAGAGGTCAGCAACAACGTACTCATGATGTAAAGCATGATGAGCTGGCCAGCGGGGAAGCCTTTCAACAACTACCATTTCGACAAAATGAGGGCACTTATGGACTTGGATTCATGCATCATGCTCCATATTTCAGTGGGGATAATAATGAGTCAAATGCTGACGAGGACGATGGTAATGAGAGCAGTCATACGGATGATGATGCTGATAGCACTATTCAAGATGAATCCGGTTCTATAAGTGAGCAGATTAAGCAGCTTCATTTAGAAGATGTGCTGGCATTCTTGCCAAGCGGCGGAGCTTCAGCATCCAGTATTTTGCAAAAGAAGCCTTTGGAGCAAATAGACAATATCTATCAAAGGAGGACTGCTTCAGGTAACAATATGCTCTTCCACTTAGATGATGAACTAGCGAACCTTGGCACTAGAGCTTTAGAAGAGATTATGGGGCATGATGGAGAAGATGAAGATGACCACAGAGTTCAAGGTATTCGATTTAAAGAAACGGTTATACCGAACCGAGTAAGGGCACAAGGTCGCGATGGTAAGTGGGTTTGGACCTTGAGCTTGCTATACTTGTATTTCTGCTTGGGAACCAATATCAAAAAGTGAATATTAATTATAATGATGGTGATAATAATAATTAGGAGATTCTACGACTAAGATAAAGACAAGCCCTGAACGATCGGGTCCGAATTCTCGGAAATCGAGCGCACAGAACTCGGTCGGGTCGTCATTTAGCGATCTTTCAGGTAGAGTTTGGTTTTTGCAGAGATTTATCAATTTTGTTTCCAACAAGTAACGCCTATATACTTATAAAAGCTTGATATCGAATACATCGGCAGATTCATCCGTCACTCAGTCAGCTATGGAAGATGCATATCTGTCTGGGTACAATAATTCAAAGATGTAAGACTAAATGTCTACTCATGAATCGAAAACAGTGTTAGTGATATTATCATTCATCTAACAACATCTCTTTTCTGAAGATCCTTATTCATGCAAAGCTCTAGACGAAATTAGAGTAAAATAAGCCACGATTTTTTTTACGTCAAGATCTACATATTTGAATTCATGCACTTCATCAGATCATCGCCAGGAATTGTACCGCGTTTCAATCGCGTCAGCTTTATATAGTATTATTCTTATACTCATCGTCATATAGAACAATGAACAACATACCTTTCACCTTTCATTATACAGCAGACTCGGACCCATTTCAAAGTTCAGCCTCTCAAGAGAAAAGTTCCCTCAAGCGGAAGAGCTCTTATGAAGATATTTCGCCATTGGTCATGAAGACCCGGTCTGGTATTGGATTAGAACAGGAGATTGTTTATGGTACCGTTGACTAGTTAAAGGAACGATGAACTGAATGAGCACAAGCATCGTTTGATGCCCTCGTACATAATCATGACATTTGATAAATTTTTACGTATAACATGCTATTTTAATTTTTAATTGCCCTTTATTTGCTGATACAGATCGGACAATGACATTGATGATGCAGGGACAAAAGCGACTATTAGAGGAAGAAAAACAAAGAGAGCAAGAAGAACGGCAAAAATTACTGCAACAGCAGCAAGCACAACATCAACAACTAAACACCACTAAAGAGAGCTCTAGTGAAGCGATGCGACGCCTCTTCATGTTTAACAAAGAGAATGCACAGACACCCTCATCCAACCAAGCACAGTCCTTTCAATCTTTGAATCCTGTGCAACCCTCAGCAATGACATTTGCAGACTGCACAGGAGAAATTAATGGCTGTGAAACGAGCAGAATTCCGGGAATGTGCGAGCGATATCAAGCTGTGATTCGATCGTGCACGTTCTGTCAGCGGCTGCAATGCCAGTTCTGTATAATCCAATGTGCGACCTGTCTGGAGCCGTCATGTCGTGCTTGTTGTATTGCAAGGTAACAAGGAAAAGGCCCTCTCCTTCATTGTTATTTTTGTCTATCTAAACGTGTTATCAACATCTTCAACTATTCTAAATATTGAGGATCCTTGGTGCCGCTTGATTTTGATAGCTATGACAAACCTGAGGTTGAATACTATTGCTATGGATGTCGACGTTAAGACTGTTGGTTGTGTACCCCAAGATGAGATATACAAATGATCAAAATAGCCCCTTTCCGATGGCAGCCTTCATGGATCAGAATTTTTATCGCTATATACCCAATCATACTCATGTCCATGGAAAAAATAGCATTTTTCGCTGTGCACATGTGCTTTGTTCAGAAATAAACTTTTTCTTAACCATGCTTCTCCTTTTTTCAATCCTTGTCTTTTTTTTTGCTTTGTTTTCCAACCATGAACCATCGACAACGCCTTGCCTCGCTACCTCAACTACGCAATCCTTGGTTGTTTCAACACTTCGATCTAACAAATATCAATCGTAAGGATATATTTTCTTCTCAGGCTATGGTTTCCATACAGAATCCTAGGCTTCAAGAACATCAAGACCACGGACATACACCGTGCCTTGATCCGCAATTTGTACGGGCGTCAGACCCTCTGTTTGTAACGAGCATGAGCAACATCCCACCAAATAATGCGTTGCCATGTGTCTCTCAGACTCCTATGGCATTAGTAGCTGAAATGACAATTACAAACGCTCCAAAATCTGTTGCCGCAACAACCTCGTCTCAAGACCAAACCATAGGCTCAGATCCTACAAGCCCTATTCTGACTGAAAAACCGATCCTCACATTGGCCCCAGCTTTGGATACTGGCAGACCATTAACTTCCGGTTTCAGTCTATCAACATGGCAGCCTTGTAGCATTCCGTCATATCTTCGACCTTATGTGTCCAATGAAGCTCAGCTCAAAAACAATGCAACCGACACGAAAATATCCAATAGTGGCAATAGCAATAGCAGTATTACTTCTCCGTCTCTCTCCACAACTTTATTCTCTCAATCAAGAGAGCTTCGATTCCTTTTGGACAAGATTTCATCCTTCGATGCAGTTCTAGAGAACATGCAACGTTGTTCTACAGATTTTGAGAAAAGATTAGCCACAGATAGTCGTTCTGTGATGGAGAAACTAGTTTCGACTCTAGAGCCCAAAGTGGTAGAAAAAGTCTCTCTGATACTTGATCATGCATACGAAGATCTCGCACATGTTGTACAGAAATGCATAAGTGATACCCTCAAGGGAAAACAAGATCAAAATGTTCAAGGAGGATTTGAGAAATGTTTACAAGACATGGCGCAAACTGTAAAAGCGATGCAGAAACATGTTTGTGACTTACAGAATGAGCGTACTGCACTATGTGCCGATTTTATGGTTTGGAAGTCAACCATTGAGGAGACATTACAGAGAGAGATGAAGGAGCTGAAAGCAATGGCTACGCTCCAGCCGCAAATGCTTTCTTTAATAGCAGAAGTATGACATCTGTTCTTTTTTTTTATTTATTTCGATTATTTGCACTGTTCAATTGATGATGGTTTCTTTTTCTTTTTTTCTTTTTCTTTCTTTCTTTCTTTCTTTCTTTTTTTTTTTTACAAAGCAAAATCAAACTCTTAAGAATGGTTCGCATAAACTTCAAGCTATGGCTATAGCGGGGTGTAGTACAGTGCCTGATTATTATAACGATTTGGATCGACAAGGCCATGAGAGGCTAGAAACGGAGGTAAATAGTCAACATGATACCGAGGAGGCTTCTAATGTCCAAGGTCGATATCCTTATTACAGTAGGCATGAATGCACTCCCGACCGAACTTTAAGCCTCAGGCCAACAATACAGGCGGAATCGCAAACGTCCAATTATCAAATGCCAACATCGTTTCCTAAAGAATCATACGAGAAAACTCGTGAATGCGACATGCGGCAAGTCAACGAATCACGAAACGTTATCATGGATAGAGTAACCAGCAATGTCACCTGTGTGTTCAATAATGCTGAGAATGGCGACAATACTGAAGTCACCAGTACACGGGATAAGTGTGTCACGATGATATCCGTCGATGAGGTTCATACTGCTGTATCCGATTCTATAATGAAACATTCTCGAAAAAGGAAAAACATCAATCTTCGGCAGGCAAGTTTATCAGGAACTGTCTCACCGTGCCCAAGGGAACAACAGAGAGATAGTAACAACAAAGCTGAAGAGTTAGGTACACCGACTGACGTCAAAGACGAGAGCATGGATATTTTAGAAGAGCCACTTTTGACGCGCCGGAAGCGGGTTTGTAACTTTTTTCATTTCTAAGCGAGAAAAGAGCTCACTCACTCTGGAGATATGAGCGTGTTGAATACTGATACATCATCATTGACTTGACTTTTGTTTTTTTTATAGAAAATGCATCGGCTTGAGAACTCTCATGTCGATTTAGAATGGCTCAAACGGCGCTCATAATGTCCTTGGACTTTGATATGATTGATGCAAAGGTTCATGGCATCGCTTAAGAAAAGTTGATTTAAATTACATGTGACCTCAGCGGAACCACACTTTGGAGAGATATTACTAGAATAACACAGTAGGAGATGAGAAATATAAATTGCACAATCGTCCTCTCCATCACTCATTCCTTGAATGTACTTTTTTTTTTTTTTTTTTTTTTTTTTTTTTTATCGTCTTCCTTATAGAGTCCTCGCCAGAAAGTCATGAACTGGATATATTTTAAAATACTCAATTTGAATTATTATTTGCAAAAATACAATTTACGTACGAAGCTTGAAAAGCACAATAGAAAAAAAAAAAATTCCCAAAATTCTTGATGTCCAAAAATGGAAGCATTCTATTCAATTTAAATGCCTGAAAAATATATCCAGTTCATGACTTTCTGGCGAGGACTCTAGTATAATACGTGGGAGAGTAGCTGTGGCTATAGTTCGCCCCATTAAAACGAGACAGTTCATCTAGACCAAGGGGATACTCATTTATTCTATCTAGAGAAAGTACATTATAAAACAGTACAAGCAATGTTAGCTATAGATTGAAGTTGAAGTTGTTAGTGTATGTGAGGAGGTGAGAGATAAATGTCGTGAAATAGGAGAGAAAGAGAGAGAGAGAGGCAGAGTGTATTTATAGGTGTACGAAACAAAAAGGCTGATGAATTTACCACAAATTTGCTTTCAATGTGATATTTCGGCAACTCGAAACAAAAGGACAACAACAAGCTTTTATTTTTTTTATTTCAAGTATTGTTTATAGCCCTTCTCATCCAGCCTTCGCCATGACTATCAACAAGTCCCTAGGATAGATGCTCAACGCGTCGGTGCGTTAGGCTCGTCACCAGCCTGTGTAGCTTATGTGCATTGCACTGACGCTCACTGACAGGCTGGATCCAAACCCGAGATACCGAAAGAACCTTTGTTGAGTCCAGGAGGAGGAGAGTCATCAAGCCGACAACAGCAATAGGATTTAGTCTACTACAAATATTACTAGGTCCTGAAAGGCCTTCGTCTTAAAAACCTGCTAATGTATTTTTTGTTCTTTTTACAATATCCTTGGTCTAGATGAAGTATTCCGTTTTTAATGGGACAGGCTACATGGACTACATGTAGACTCCATTTCATTTAGTCATGATCCCATATATTTTTAATCTAGAAACGATGGTTGAATTGGTTTGGTGGTGTCTCATTACGTGACGGACTTGTAACAACAAGCGAGTCAATTAGTTGCCAGTACACTCGAGAGTATTCAAAAAAATATAAAGGATCGCGATCAATTGAAACGGACTATGCACGCTGCTCACTTTTCAAATCGCAAATCTCAGTGATTGACCTCCATTATGTCTTTTAGCGTTGCATTTGAACATCTGAACTTGACGAAGTTGCGTACGTGTATATAAGAGACATGCGTTATTTGCCAAAGTGGACGCGTATTCCTTTCTCGATAATGTCACTGACAAGGTATTCGAGGCATGCCAATCACAAAATCTCGAAAAAGTGGATACGGCACATGCGGCCCCAGTTCGATCGCTTAGAGTTATGGATAGACTGGAGTCGCTTCTTTAGGGGGAATAAGCGGTGAAGTTGGCAGAAATGTGGTCAAAGATGTTACACGTTACTTTTCGTGATGATTTTGTGAGGATATTTCCAAGGACACTCGCAAGCCATCTGCTTCAAGTGGTCCTTTAGGATAACACAATCTTAAAAGATATGGTTCCGAATAATGGGCCCTTCCTTCTTTCATACTCAACTGTCGAGGAAACTTGTGTTAAGTAATCGGGGGCCTTCGAAGTCCCTGCTCCTGATAAAGACAGAATAACTGTGCCTATCACCATAAATAGTCAACAGTATAGCACCGTTGATCTAGGTGCAACAATCTCTTTGGCAAAGTACTTTTAGAAAAAGATATCCGTTATGGACGAGTACCAGATGAATCTATAGTAATGATAGAAAAAGAGTCCAATACAAAAGTATGTTATTACTTGTGGTAAAAGTCCAGTTGGCCAGCAATAATAGATCTGAAGATTGACTATTATGACTTTATCATAGGATTTTGTGGCCATGCTTGTGCGGAAGCCGCATTTTCTTCTCCCGGCAAGGAGGAAGGAGAGAGGTTGAATGTTTTGAATAGCCTTTGCCTTAGTCGTATCCCACATTGTTCTGTAGTAAATTTGTATCGCATATCCTTTTAATAGGAGATCCGGACTCTGAATCTTAGAGGCATTCCAGCGGATTAAGGTCCGTGTGATATCTGCTATATTGGAGAGGGATCAAAGGAAACAGGGAAAAATAAGGTTCTCAAATGCTTTGCACATCTGAGGATGGTAGCTTTCTCTTTACTCCATCCTTGCCTATTCGGTTTCTCCACAAAAGGATGTTGGAAAAGGGTGATCCTCTGACGAACTAAAGTCATCCGGATGATCATTTGCCATGTTAGAAAAACGACATTCTTTATGGGCATTTACATGTCAGTACATGATTGAGTAATCAAGCATCCCGCCACGCGTCGTCGAAAATGTGAGCAGGTGGCACAACCATTCGTCTTTACACAGGCGCTCAACTTTCCCTAGCCAGACATGATCATGGGAGATAAATCGTTTCTGCATATTTTGTCTTCTTTCTCCCAGCCCGCCATTTTTTTTTTTTTTTTTTTTTGGTTTTTCTAGATTTTCTCTTCTCTTTTTTTTCTTTTCTTTTCTCTTCTCTTCTTTTCTACTCTCCTTACGCTCTTTTTTTTTTTCTTCCTCTTCTTTTCATTCCTTTTCCTTTGGAGATCAATTCTGCATTTCAGGAACGACCTAATCACATTCACCATGCCATTGTTGGGAATTAGAGAACGTGTTGGAAAATCGAGTGTGTGGAAGAGATTTTCCGAATTCATCCAACGAGGCAATATCATTGACCTTGGTGTGGTACGTAATACAACATTAATATACTGCAGCCAACTCGTAAAAAGCAACCACCCCCTGAACGTCATGTTTGATATTTATGTACGTTATGTCTTAAATAGGGTCTTGTCATTGGAGGTGCTTTCTCAAAGGTCCTTACAAGCTTCGTTGATGATATTTTGAGTCCTCCTCTCGGTCTAGTCATCTCAGGTATGTGAATTGTACAGTAACTGTCGTCCTTATTCATTCCCCAGCATCGACATTACCGGTGTTACCACTTTTTTTTTTTTTAAAAAAAAAAAAAAACCATACTGATGATATACAATGCAATTGCTTAAATAGGCCATAATTTGGAGAATTGGTTCATTGTTATCAGACCTGGAAAAACTCCTGGCAAGAAATACAACACCATTGAAGATGCTCAGGAAGATGGAGCCGTTACTGAAAACGTCGGTCGTTTCCTTCAAACAGTGCTCAACTTTCTCTTGGTCGCTATTACACTGTTTATCATCGTCATGGCTGTTCACTCGTTTAGAGAATACCGTAAGAAGGGTAAATTAAGTGAGAATGGAGAGGTCGATGCGACAAAACCTGAGCCTACCCCTGCTTCTGGAGCCACGCGTACTTGTCCCTGGTGTGATGCCAATGTTCCGATCAAGGCTGTCAAATGCATGTACTGCACCAGTTTCTTGCATGAAAAGGTTCCGGCTGCACTCTTGAATAAGCAGCCTCAAGAATCTTTGATTGAGTTGGATGGATAAAGAAAAAAAGTTACCAGATGTACATAGTCTATTTCAATTGATAAAATCACTCAGCCTCTCTAAATTCCCGAGCATTGAGTCCCGACGTGGCTTTAAAATTCAACCTGAGTCCTGTGACTCTAGTTAGAGAAAATAGGGCAACATGAACTTGTTGACCTCTACCATTGAACCATATAATTTCATCTAGTTTCATCCACGTTCCCCCGCCCATGGAATTTCCAAAAATCAATGTGTCATCTAAAGCGGACATCGAATACATTTCGGAGATTTTGCTCAAAGCATGTTATGACCGCCTATCAACAAAATATGGCACTATGGGCGACCCTAAGAAAATTCAAATTGTCCATGGAATATTTGACCAAGTAAATTAAGCCTTGGTCTTTTTTTTTTTTTTTTTTTTTTTACACCAAAGAAACATTACAATAAACATTATCAACTGTCACTCGATTTTATTTTATTTCATTTTATTTTTTTCTTAATCTTTGATTTACAGTGAGCATTCAAAGTACAGTAGTAACAACAACGACAACAGCAAGGTATACTCAAGTTTCTTCTCAACATTTGGTTTCCATAACTTTTCTTTAAAAAAAAAAAAAAAAAAAAAATCTTAGTGGGTCCAGGATGTAATGCGCATGGCAAGCGCCAATATTGATATCAATGGGATACCATATGATCAAGCTCTCATTAATGAAGGTATTCATCATTTTCTTAAGAGGTTACTCATCTAGGAGTGAGGAAAGTGCCCAAGCTGACCTGAAATGACTTTGTTGTTTTTATACATGTATATATATCTTAGAGTTTGAGCCATTGGACGAGTCACTGAAGCGAAAATTACAGATGCAACAGCTCAAAGTTGGAGAGTTGAGACTCAGGGTGGCAGAGCGAAGGAAACGTGTTCCTGAACAAGTCAAAATGTTGTTGGATGATGCTATCAGACGACAATCAGCTCTGGCCGACAGAATTGAGTTTGAACCAAAGGAAGGCGCAAAGGATAACAGTGTAGCTGATCCAACAGAAGAATTCGAAAAGGGTATTTATTATGGGCTTAATTATTGAACGAACCCATAGACTGTGACGATCGTATTGATTGGGATACTAGAGTTAACTTGATTTTTTTTTTTTTTTTTTTTTTTTTTTTTAAAAAAGCTATGTTCGAGAGACCAGACTTGGTCACTCAAGAATATTCCTCCAGTATGGCGTTGCTAAGTGATTTGCGCAAAGTAAGTTTTTTTTTTTTTTGCTAATGGCTATAGTTGATCAACAATCGCATACCGTTGATCTTTGAAGCCTTTCATCATTTTCTAACTTTTTTGTTTTATCTTTTTTGCTTGTTTTTGTTTTGCAATATTTATAGACAGTCTCCTCAAACATCAGTCGACTGGAGGGTGCACAGGCAGTCATCGATGAGATCTTGCCCGAAGCCAATTGAATACCATAAAGCCTTTCTTGTAGCATGTCAAATTGTACATTATATAATAAAAGATTTTCACATTGTATTTTTTTTTTTTCTTTGGTTGTGTTGTTGTTAGTTATAATAGTTGGTTATAATAGTTGTTTATGGTTGCTATGTTACATGGAGATCCTTTTTTTTGTAGTCAATAATCAACAATCATTATAGATATAGAGGCTTCTTTGATTCAAAATCTTCACGACTCTACATTTCCTCTGCATTCACCATCACCAACGTCGCTACCACTTATTGGTTATCCGAGATTGCATATTTACTATAAAGTTCACCAGCCGAGAAGACAATTTGAAGAAGATTGAAATTAGCTACTGATCGCTCACAAGAATCTGCACAAAATGAAATGAAATGAGATAAAAAAAAAAAAAAAAAGTTGATATTTTCAATCTAGTTTATACTTACGCCTTTAGTTCCCTCAGTTCTTCTTCCTTCTTTGCCATGCTTACTCTCTTGGTGACCTTGTTAGCCTGATAATAAAGGACGATCAGGTACCGCCCCATGATATTGAATCCTTGAAGATGTTCATAGGCTGTTTTGGCGTCAAAAATATCTTCATAGACCACAAATGCTGTTCCCTTAGTGTCATTGGCGTTTCCAACACGGATCTGACGGATAGCTCCATATTTTCCAAAGATATCATACATTTCCTCAGTTGTGATCTTGAAAGGAAGATTGCTAAAATAGTAAAAAAAAAAAAAAAAAAAAATAAGACAGGAGTTCTTGATCGGTACGAAACATGACAAGTGGTATAAAAGTACTAACGAAAACTGGAAAAATCGGTATTTACCGGACAAACAGGATTCTGTTGACCTCCGGAGGCAAGCGAACCTATTGGTAAGTGAAAAACAATGTAATTTTATGAATATTTTTGTCCCTGTCCTTTTTTCAGTTCCATGGGAAGAGATGAGTAAATGGGTGGGTGTTCTTTTTTGAAGTAATTCTTTCTTTGCATATGTCTCATCTGATGAAAGAATCATACATTTGTCCTGTTGTTCATGTCCTTGTGACGTCTTAAGAGATGGAGGGGGAAAGAGGGGCAAAACGGGTGAGGAAGAAAAAGAAAAAGAAAAAAAAAGAAGGAAAAAGGGCCTAGGTTTTTTTTTTAAAGATTGCCCATCGAAGGAGCAAACGACCGCGCCAAATCTGCTATGCCAATCAACCAAAAAAGGCAACTGAGATAAACAAACGAAACCTCAGCCACATTTTCAGTTAAATTGCTTCCCATTTCCTCTAACCTGCTAAAAAAAAAAAAAAAAAAAAACTGTAATAAGCAGTTTTTCCCCTTTTTTCTTTTTCCTTTCACTTCATTCTTTATCAACTGATATCCATTAGCACATGTATACTACTCGGAGTATATCCTCCGCCTTCATACGGACTCCATGCTCTCTTCAATTTTCACAAAAACCCTATCCAGGACTAGTTTGTCCTCAACTTGACTTTACCCGACGTTCACTTGTCTCAAGTCTCCGACGTCTGGAGACAACGTCTTTAATTGCTTTATCTTTCAGGTCATTGCCTCGACAACAATGTCCCTTCCAGCGTCAACAGAAGCGCGCACTAGGCTTCTTGGGCACCCTAAAAGCTGTTTTTAAAGAGTATGCCTTCGTATATGATTAGTCAAAGTAGGTAACTCTACGACTCTCAACCAGACCATTCAAAATAGGATTCACTCATCATCATATTTAGGCCCTCACCCCCAAAGCCACCCAAGATAATACCCAAGGAAACAAGGATTTTAGGACGATTACGCGTGGATGAGTTCGGGTGGATGGCAAATAAGGACGACCCTGTAATGAAGAAGAGTGTTTTTTTCGTTTCTTTTTCTTTTACAAGGTTTATCTACAAGTGGGTCATAGTTACCAACTTCTTTTTTTTTTTTTTTTTTTTTTTTTTTTCCTTCAAACTGAACGTGCTTAGGATCTTCGTAAATACATTGAAGCTGAGAATACGTAAGTGATTTGCTATGCGAATCATTATTCGTGACAAGATTCCAGTATTTGCCTTCAGTCATTATGCTAATGTAAAAGAAAAAGAAAAGAACTACTGACCAACAATTCATTTGATTGTTTATTGTCATGTTCAGATACGCACAGGAGCACTTTGCTGTCGAAGCGGCTGCGATTCACCTTTTGAACAGAGAGATGAAACAAGTATTACGGACAAAAAAGATTTCAGCACCGTTGACAACAGTTGTGCGTGGATTTGAATATTATACCAAAACGAATCGTCATGGAATCGTTTACTGCAGAAGGAAGAAGGCTCCAATGGCAAAAGAGGTATGTTACCCCCTCCTACAATCCACAAAGATGATAGGCTTATGGATCGTTGGTGATATCAGAAATTCATCTCAATTACTTTATTTTATTTTATTTTATTTTATTTTATTTTATTTTATTTTATTTTATTTTATTTTATTTTATTTTATTTTATTTTATTTTTTTCTTATTTGCACCTGGTGACTTGACTAGGAAATTTTATTAGATTCTGCATATCTCCCAGAGAGTTGTCACGTCAAAAAGGTTTTGCTATCGACAGGACATCACATCTTTTCTTTTCTAACACTTGAAGAAGGAGAAGAACTAGGCTCATTACATTTCAGAAATTTAAATGAGAATTATCCTTACGAAGTATGTTTTTTTTTTTTTTTTTGTATTGAGTTCTACTTGGATCTTCTTGCTAGCGTCTCAACGTGAACAATTTTTTTTTTTATTTTTTTTTTTTTATAGGAGGTTCTAGAAGGCGTGTTTAACTTTGTATGGGGAAGCGATAATAAGACTGTTTATTACACTAAATCGACTGATGTGCTTCGCCCATATCAGGTCTGGGCTCACCGAGTTGGTACATTTCAGAAAGAAGATATTTTAGTTTTTCAGGAGGATGACGACAGTATCTTTGTAGATGTAGGGGCAACAAAGGATCATCGCTTTATTACCATCAATGGAAACTCTTTAGCATCCTCCGAAGTCAGGATTATTGATGCTGGACATGATTTCTCGACTGGAGCTTTGCCAGAGATGACGGTCATTGCAGACAGAATAGACGGTGTTGAGTATTATGTGGATCATCACGACGTATGTTACAACCGTTCTTTGACTCTTCTTTGAAGGAGGAAAGGCAAATAAGGATGAAGAGGAGCATTCCCATGAATGGCTCCGGTCTCTCTATTTTAATGTATACGTCACATGGAGCTGACAACCTTCCTATCTTTGGTAGGATCACTATTATATTCTATCAAACGACAACCCAAACAAAAACTTCAGAGTGATGCGCGCCAACCAGAACAACCCTGGTCGTGAGTCTTGGGTCGAGTTGATGGAAGCAAAGGATGGCGAAAAGATTGAAGACGTCGATATATTCAAGGTTTTTTTTTTTTTTTTTTTTTTTTTTGTGTTATACCGTATATGAAGAAGGAAAGGGGAAGAAAAAGTAGTCTAATATTCACTCAAATATTTATCTGGCTTTTGAATAGAACTTCATGGTGATTTATGCTAAGCGTGATGCATTGCCTGTGATTTCTTGTTATCATTTTGAGACTGGCACCATTCATGAAGTGCCATTGCCGGAACAGTTCTGCACAATCAACGCTGGCGTGAACCTTGTATGTTCTTTATTATCCATACATATTCTCTTTACCAGGGCTATTGAGATTATTTCTTCAACTGATATTTTACTTTTTTTTTTTTTTTTTATTTACTTTTATTTTTATTTACTTTTATTTTTATTTATATTTTTTTTAAATAGGAATATGAGACAGATTCGTTTCAATTTGTACTAAATTCTCCCTATGCACACGAAGCGACTTATGAATACGACATAGCTTCAAGAGTCATGACTCCCCTGCGTGTCCACCCTATCCACCGTACGTATTTATATATATTTCTTTACAACATTGAACCGGTATTTCATCTGCATCAAAATCTAATTAGGATAAAAAAAGAAAAAAAAAAGCTTTACGTGTAGTTACTTCTCCCTAATGCTGCTCCTTTTCCCCTTCGCATCCGATCTAGGTTTCGACCGCTCAAAGTACACTTGCACGCGGATCAATGTAGACGCAGAGGATGGCAAGGCCAAGATACCTGTAACATTACTTCATCGGAAGAATATGCAGCTGACCGGCAAAAACCCGACTTTGATGCGTGCTTATGGCGCCTATGGGGTCCCGACAGACATTGATTTCAGAGTAGAACATTTCCCACTTTTGGAGCGTGGCTGGATCATAGCGCTGGCGCATGTTCGTGGCGGATCGGAGCTGGGTACACTCTGGTATCATCAAGGCAAATTGGAACAAAAAAGAAACACATTTACGGATTTTATTAATGTGGCGGAATATCTTGTAAAAACCGGATATACCAATCCAAGGCGACTTACGGCAGTCGGAGTCAGCGCAGGAGGACTTTTGATGGGTTAGTCATGACGAGGAGAAAATACACATTAAATTGGCTCTATCAATTGTGTATTAATTTCAAACATCCGCTGACCTTTTTATTTTATTTTTTCCTTTGCTGCGATGCGTAATAGGTGCTGTATGTAATATGAGGCCAGATCTTTTTCGAGCCATGATACTGAATGTACCTTTCCTTGATCCCATGACCACAATGCTTGACCCAGAGATCCCATTGACCCGGGTCGAATACTTGGAGTGGGGCAATCCTGCACAATCCGAAAAGATGTATGACTACATGGCCAGCTATGCACCTTATGACACTATCCCAAATTATAATGACTATAATAGTCGCGAACAGGATAAGGACAAGGATATCAATCCGTCAAAAGGCCCCTCTACCCTTTTGTCTCCTGATACAACAACAAAATTTCCGCCACCACCTATCACTTCCCGCAGACCTGCTCTCATGATCTCTTGTGGAGAACGTGATCAGCGGGTAGATTATACACAATCAACAAAATTTGTCGCACGTTTGCGATCAAGGCTCGCTCCTTGGTATGGTGCGAATGGGAAAGAGGCATGTGTACTCATGATTGATGAAAATAGAGGCCATTTCGGGAACGGTACCCAAGATGACCGCGTTAAAAACTGGGCAAGGGAGATCGTGTTTCTGCTAAGTAGCGTTCAAATGGAATCAGGAGGCTTTGTAGCCCCAAGTCCCAATAGCACACCATTTACCAGCTAATTGTACTCTAAATTGTATCTCATGATTAAATCATAGACAGGGATACCTTTTTTTATTTTTTATTTTTTATTTTATTTTTTATTTTTATTTTTATTTTTATTTTTATTTTTATTTTTATTTTTATTTTTATTTTTATTTTTATTTTTATTTTTATTTTTATTTTTGATAATAATGCAGATTCCTGAAGTGGGGATTTTTCAGTACCCAACGTCCATATAGACGGCTCCTGTAGCTCGGTCTTGGGCTACTTTTTGTGCATCAGCAGATCCATATTGATAATGTGACGCACCTTGTCCTCCTCTTTCCAACTTCTCCTTCTGGGATCTCTGTTTTGCAAGGACATCCTCCAATGTCCACAGACTGACACCCAGCTGAGCCTGTGTCTCAAGTGGTTGTGCCATAGACCTCAAAAACTTCTTTGCAATTGCGATGCCCATATCCGTAGATAAATTCACACTTGTATCTGTAATGTATTGATTGATCCACTTTGGCAACTTGGATCTTTTGTCTTGACGAGCATATCGTCTGTCTGCGAAAACCATCAGTCCATAATCTGTTTTTCCTCTCAAAACACGTCCCAAACATTGAGCTGCATGACGTAATGCGTCGAATGTCAAAAAGTCATTTTCGCGCACCCTGTGCTCATCACGCAAAAACTCGAGACGCGCCTTAAGAATCCTTGATTCCGTATACTGATAGGGAATACCAAACATAACGACCGCTCGTCCATAATGATGATCAAAATCAATTCCCTCAGACACTTTACCACGAGCGACAGCCAGTAGGATGGCGCCACGGCCGTTCTCACATGCACGACGATAGTTATCCAGCGCGATTGATGTTTCGGCAGCATCGGGAGTTTCTACAAAGATTAGCTTTGATTTCCATGCTTCCGTCAAAATACCCTGAATATATCAAATTAGTAATTAAGTATTTATCCTGGAATAATAATCAAGTAGAGGAATACAAAAGATAATTATAGGGATTCATATTTGTAACATGCACAACATACCATCTCATGCCACATGGCAATAATGCTCTCCATGTAAAGATAACTAGGGAAGAAAGCCACGATACCATCTGGTACGATCTTGCCAAATTCGATCAGAATATTGCCGAAATTTCTGACTACAGCAGGGTCGTTTCGTACCTCAAACTTAGAGGAGATTGCCACCTGATCTGATCCTCGAGTAATGACCATTGGTAGAAAACAATTCCTGGTCAAGGTCATAGGATAACTTTCTAGGACTGTTGCCGTAAATTTCAAGATTTTGGGGTACATATCCAAGGGTGATAGCGTCCCTGAGGTGATGATGACAGACGAAAACCGATCAAAAACAGGCTTAATAGCAATAGATGCATCAAGACAGGCGAAGCGTAAGATCGGGTTGGGTACTGTGGCATTGTCGTTTTCGTATGGCTCCAAGACCAACATAAACCCCTTGTCATAAGTAGAAACCAATGTAGCCAGAGCTGCAACTTTTTGTAATGATTGTAATTCATCCACATTATTCAATTCCAAGGTGCGGATCAATATTGAAAGTCGTTCAGCACAAAATTGTAGAGGCTTCTGTTCAATGTAGGTGATTTCCTTTAGATGTCTTAGGAACGATGAAGGTGTCTCAGCAGTGACATTGAGAACCCGCAGCCGTGTTTTGAGATATTCATTGAAACGCTTCAAGAACGCGACAAAATGTTCAGCTTTGCGAATGTTGCCAGGCACAGCCTCATGCAAGAGGTCATCAGGTAGCGCTGGGTTTGCCATGATCAAATCGTCATCTCTGGCTTGGAGTGTGTCCTGAAGTCCCTGTACTAGCTTCTCATACTCGTTCTTTAGTTTTTCTGAGCCCTGTTTCTTCATATTTTCAATCTTCTCTGTTAGATGTGCAATACTTTTTGCGCTCGATTCCAACGTCGGGCGTATGATATCCAAACTTAATGATTCAATACAAACGTTATCTATATGTTATGTGGATTTAATAAAAAATAAAAAACAAAAAAAAAAAAAAGGTTAATGCATTATTTTTTTGATAAAATTGCAAAGCTATATAAAGATGGAATGATATGAATATATATGTTACCAATATTGTGAGCTTCATCGAATACAACAATTGAATCCTTGGACAGTTCCTTTGAAATCAAATCTGCGATTTTAGGGTCCAGCATGTAATGATATGAGTAGATGATAACGTTTGCGTACGTAAGCTAATGAAGATAGCATAATAAAAACGATTAATAATGACACAGATTAAACATTTGTAATCCTCAAAGATCAATATGAATGTCGTACCAGTCTTCGCGCCATAAAGTATGGACAAATGTTCTTTGCTTTTCCCATTTCCTTGATATCTTCCAGTGTGTAGATTGCATCTGCAACCTCCTCCCGTAAATCACTATTCTCCAGAGTTTCATAAAATGAGCAAGTCTCTACTTCTGGTTGTGTCTGTGCTGCCTCACGAACCCAAGATGCAGTCAAATTACGACATCGTGCATCTACAACTTTGCCTTTTTTCTCTTTGCTGACCGATGGATGAAGGCATAGATTACGACGACTAGTCAATCCAAGGCCTAGGATGGATTCTTTTAATCCACAACTCTTTCTATATTCGATTAACCGTTTCAACTCTGCTAGAGCCTTTTCGATCTCTGGAACAGTACGTGAGCAGTAAATTAGTTTACGTTTTTCAGGATAGAACTAAGGATAAGGGGAATAAACATTGATCGATAATAAATATTACATTAGTCGCGTTTGAGACTATACCGTTTCCGCAGCAGTTAATAAAATTGGTGGCGTCTGATGTCCAACGAAATATTACCTGTTGATATGAGAGGATTAAAGACAGCAACGACACCGTCTTTCCAGTTCCTGAGGGCATCTCCAGTACTCCATGGCCCTGAATAAAACAAATAAGAGCAGTTGGTTTTGTAGTAAAAGGAAGTTGGAACGGTTAGAGATAGAGTCGTATTTTTTTTTTTTTTCCCTTCCTGCTTGGAGGAGAAACAAAGCCAAGACCTGGTTACACACCTGAGCATCCAGTGTTTGTTTGAGGGTACACATGTATGCATATTGCTCTGGGTATATCCTGTCATATGGAAAATAGACAGGCATTCCATCGATTTCAAACCTATGAGGAGTTTCTTTAATGGTCAATCAAAATACACAGACACGGGTTGGGGCAGGCTTTTTAATTTTTTTTGGTTTTTATTAACTCGAGACGATTTATTCAGTTCTTACAACATGATGTCAAAGTGAATGATGTGTCAATGCAAAGGTGTGTTGTCTGTAGTTGAGATGGTCAGGGTCAATCCAGTCCAAGTTTCAGGTTGTGGGGGAGGGGACCTTCTGGAGCTGTCGGGAGAGTTTATTTGATAAAAAAAAAAGAAAAAAGTAATGTCTCTTATTCTATACCTTTGCAGTCACTTCATACGTCACCATTTTTTCTTTCTTTCTGTTCCTCTTTCAAAAAAGAGATCTTTTTTTTTATTCAATCCGATGACTACGCATCGTACTCTCTTCCTTTTGCCTTGCTGAAAAGAATCTTTATCCCATTCTCACGCCTAACTTTTTTTTTTTTTTTTTTTTTTTTTTTTGGTTTCTTTGTTTCTTTGTTTCCACAATTTAAAATTTAGCTTTGTACACTTAAGAGCACGACTTCATTCATGACTTTATTATTTTAGCTTAACAAAATCAAGGGAATCACATCGGTCACATCAACAATTCATTATCTTTTCCTCTTTCATTTTCTTTCTCTCCCTTTCCCTCCCTTTCCCTCTTTCTTACTCCCAACTTTCTTTTCTTTCTTTCTTTCTTTCTTTCTTTCTTTTTTTTTTTTTATCTTCGTGCCATGCCACAGGTATGCAAACACATTGTGCACCATGGGATTGAATTAATAAATCACCTTTGCTCCTTCGTCCTTTTTTTGTTTTTGTTTGTTTCTTCTTTGGGAAGAAGAGAGGAAACTGGCTGATATTGACTTACTCAACTCTGCTATTGCTTTATACTTTCCTATGCCTTCAATTGATTGATAAACTCATGCCTTTTGCGTGAATAGAAAGATATCATCAAAGAAATCAAGGTATTTTTTTCTTTATATTTTGGATGCTGTGTGCGATCTAATTGGGGTTAGTTAGTCCAAATTTGGTGGCAAAACTTTCCCTCAGATAAACTAAAATTGCTAATTTGCTAATTTTCAAAAAAATAGGTGATCACTGACCAACACATTGTCAAGGGTCAGAAACAACATGGATTTCCAATGCGCAAATGGAAGATCTCATTAATGGGCATCAATGCCAATGGCGAGGAAGAACCATTACCTTATGTGGAATACGTCGAATATCTTCTGCATCATACATTTGAGCAACCTCTGAGGAGTATGTGACTGGACTTTTTTTCTTTTTGGTGGCGAGACGATGCATGGACCATGTTATTAATATTTTTACAATTTATTAACTTGAATATATGCCTTTTTTTTTTTTAAAAAAAAAAAAAAAAAAAAAATGCAATATCTTAGAAGTGACAGAATATCCATTCATGTTGCAAGAAAAAGGATGGGGCGAGTTCGATATGAAGATTATGCTGTACTTTGCAGACAAATCGACTACACCATATTCGTTGGATCATGACTTGAATTTTCAACTTGCACACTATGAAGTTTCACATACTTTGGTAAGTGCTTCTTCTTGTAAATGGCGATTATTATTGGAGCATGACCACTCACTCGATGCTGAAATGCACAAAAAAAAAAAAAAATAGCTCGACCTAATATCGCCATTAATAATGCAATTGACGTTTAGACATTTAAACCGGATCTAAAACCAAGTTTTTTGAAATTATTAAATCAACCAGTCGAGACGATATCAAGTCGGGATACTCATAATAGCAATGGAGCTCAAGCAAAAACCAACAAAAGGCGACGAGAAGACACGTTGAAACCAAAATCAAAACGAATCAAAGACGATGCGAGTTCAGACGATGATAGCAGTGCTGCAGCATCTGATGATTGGAATGACGAGGTTAGGAACTTTTTTTTTTTTTTTTTTTTTTTCTGTGTGATCTGCTGCTGCTAATGAGCTTTCTCCATATACCAACTAACATCACCACCGGCATCAACATATGAACCAAATATAGGTTGATATACATGCTTTGGCAGACAAATTTCAGCAGCTAGATGCGGATGACTTGGTCGATCTAGTGAAGTTGGTGAAGGCAAATCAAACAGCAGACATGTATGTCAAGGAGGACGGCGAAGGTAAAGAATGGTTTTTAAAAGATCTCATTGTAAGAGCCTTTATCTCATTATGGGATCATATTTCTAACATCATCTTTTTTTTTTTTTAAAAAAAAAAAAAAAAAAAAAAAAAAAAATTAGCTGGGGAATTCCATATCGATTTACGAACATTAGGCAACGATCTTTTGCATCGATTATGGCAATTTTGTTCTCAACGACTGAATGGATAAATTAAATCCTACAACTTAGTATGGGTCACGACTTGTTTGAATAACTTTTGTTAAAATCTTGGCATATCTACTTAAAACAAAATTCAGCGCCCCTAAAATAGCTACCATTGTCATACTAATACTGCAACACACAAACATGAAAACTTATTAGTTTGCCGATATTAAAAAAGGTTTCTTGTTATCCAGTCTTTTTTTTTCTTTTTAATTTATCCATTTATATATATATATATATATAGATATATATAACTGTTATCACAGAGACCGTGTTAAAATCTCTGCTAAAATAAAAGAACCAAGTCTTGTTGGTTGGGTACAATGTTGTTCATCGACGATCGTTGTCATCGTCCACAAGTCTTATTGTCATGCCAAGAGAACACAGCGACACACAGCCTGCATAAATAACGCCAAGGAAAGCCAGCTTCTTGCCATTAAACTTTTAACAGAATACAAAAAAAAAAAAAAAAAAAAAAAAAAAGAGGGCAAGGGACTGAGTGTAAAGATTTATGTCTTCATTCTGCAAAAACCATCTGCAGAAATGGAGGGCTGTGAGCTGCATGTCCCAACGATTTTTTTTTTTACTGTCTTTTTCCAGTGTATAGAGAATAGAATTGCTAATGTCGTAATTTTTTTCTAGAGCTGGGTCACTCTCTGCTGTAGTGCTGTTGTCTAAAAAATGAGGCAAACGGCGCGATGGCTGAGTGCCTGAAATAATGATTTCTCTTGGCACTCTTTTCTTGGTATCCATTGGAGAGGCGCTCTCAAGCGAAAAAAAAAAAAAAAAAAAAAAAAAAAAGCCCGAGGTTCTCCTTGGGGTGTGAACTTGAGGCTGTAAGTAAAGATTGGGTATAAAAGGAAGTCCCAATGCCACCTTTAAAAGAATCCTTATAACAATTCTCTAATCAACAAGAAGAAGCTTCAGCTACAGTTCACAGCTAACAGCTATTTGTAATAACAGCTGTATTTATAACTTGTTCAAAGAAAACAAGCATCTGCACACTTATCCACCAACACATCTCATCATCTATTACAACAAAAACAGATTACATTTGAATACTCCACGCTTTTCCTTCACCGTATCTGTAGTCATCGTCATCCTTCTCTTCAATTCTCCAGTTATATATCAACATTCATAACCATGGGTTACAAGACTATCATCACAATCCAGATCATTATGATCATCCTCACCGCGCTTGCTGTTGCTCTGGATTGTTACTTCATTAAACAATACAACGATAACAATAGGCTAGTCTTCGCCTGGAGATTCTATGTCCAGTTCGGTCTCAATGCCCTTATCTGTCTCTATTTTATCTCAAGCCTAATTGCATTGCACGCAATGCGTCGTAAACTTCGATACCAAGTCGCCTCTGGCCGTAGGACAGGCTCTGTTATCGCAGCTATCATCAGGGTCATCTTTGTGCTGAGTGTGTCAGCTGGTTTGCTCTATACAACTCTTCAAGCCCTAATCAACCAACGTCGTTCCAACATGATCTTGCCCTTCCCTCGCGAAGCTCCAGGTTTCAAGGACCTGAACAATGATTATTCAGAATTCGATGCCCGGAACCTGTTCAGTTGTCCTTCCAAAGACATTACTGAAACTACACTTTTGTGCAACTTTGATCAGTCTACGATGCTTATTGGAGCCCTCGCTGGTGTATTTGCTATCATCGAGACCGCCTTGGTTCTTACATACCAGTTCAAGTCACGCGAGCCTGCATACTTGAGTAAACAGGAGGTAGCTGATGGTACTGTCCATTACTAAGATTGCTCCACAGCCCACAACATCGCCAACCATAATCGTTCGCAGCCAGCAATCCTAACCGCACTATTCCTTTCATTGAAGTCCGTCATTAAAATGAAAGAGCAAATGATCATTATCCCATCAAAGTTAGAACAAAAAGAAAAAATATATAAATAAGCATAGATTTCTGATAATAAAAATAGTGCCTCAGCATTGAAAGTGTCCGTCTCTAAACTATTCACCAGTGGAAAGAACAACATGCAAAAGTTCCTCGCTTGGACCAAGGGGAAAAGACGGCGCTTTAAAATCCATGTTGGACTACCACGAATATTTTCAAGACCAATCAGAAATAGGCGACGCGTCGGACAATGCGTCCGCAGTGCAAGTAACCTACAAGACAAAGATCGACTTTTTGCTTGAGTGAGCCCATTCATCAAAATAAAAAAAACTTTTTTTTTTTTTTTTTTTTTTCCTCCTTCTCGAAGCATACAGATGTATGTGATGATTGACTATCGATAGCTGTCTGAGCAACGGATTTTTTGCTTACCCTTTTTTTTTTTTATTTGATCAAGATACCCTTATTTCGGTCTATTAAAAGTAAAAAGTGTCATAGGAATAAAGGGCAAGGATCATGATATGAGGGAGCCTAAATTAGTTTAGAACATTCAGAATTGGGTTTGGGCTCAATTCCAAAAGAGTAGAACAGCGACCCCATGTGCACAATATGCGTCGCTAATCTTCACTGCCACTTGGCCCCTTCTACTTTAACCTTTTTAACCTCATCATTTGCCTCTCTCTCTCTCCCTCTCTCTTTTTTTTTTTTTTCTTTCTTCATTCTCATCCTTCGTCAATCTTTTATTTCTTTTGAAAATGTCGGTCTTACAGCGGCGACTCCGCATTTTCATCGCAACCCTGTCATTCCTCGATTGTATTCTCCTCGCTGCCTACTTCATTACTCTAGATATTCGCTATGGCACATTGACAATCCTGCCTCTTGGTGTAATCTCTATCGTGATTAGCGTCTTGACTTTCATTTCATATGTTTATTCTGTGAAAGGCAAACAGCTGGTGCACAAGTTTATCCGTGCATTCTTTCTTCTTGGCTTCGCTGTTTTTTTCCTTTATTTCAGAATTCAAAGTCTATCCCTAGGCGTGAGTTGCCGCCTTAGAGACGATACATGCAAACTCATTTTGCCAAGGTTAATAATAGAGGCCATCATCGGTTTCTTGATTCTCCTCGAAGTCCCTGTCACTCTTAAATACGGACCGTTGACCCCTACCAGATATCAGCAGCAACAGGAGGTTGTTTATGTCACTCCCCAAGCCCCTGATACAACACAAACCAATTCATATTACCCTCCGATGCAACCAATGCAGCCAATGCAACCGATGCAACCGATGCAACCGATGCAACCGATGCAACCGATGCAGCCAATGCAGCAACAGCCGCCAGTGTACCAACAACAGATGCAACCAATGTACCAACAGCCAATGTACCAACAACCAATGTACCAACAACAGATGCAACCAATGCAACAACAGCAATTTTACCAACAGCAGCAACCTGTACAACAACAAACCAGCGTTCCTCCTCCTCAAGTTCCTGGATCCATGATTACAACGACACCTCAGCCAGGTGGGACACCCATTGCGCCCTATTCTTCACCAGGGACCTCTGTAGCGGTATCGCCTGTTCTGCCGCCTGGTGGATACATGGTTCCCTCAAATACCCAATCCCAAGCCTAGCAATGGAGAAAAAAAAAAGCGATTAAATTAATTTAATAAACAAAAACAAAAGAAAGAAATTATCGGATGTCAGTTGTCAGTATATCAATTAGAATGCTTCAGGGGGAATGAAAAAGAGGGTGAATCCCTGTTTCATATGCAGAAGACTTCATATTTGGAAGCACTCTGCCTCATCATATCATGACCAAGTTCAGTTCCTCAAGTTGACTCTGTTCTCAACCACAGATCCACTCCACTCCACCACTTACTCTTGCATATCGGTAGAGTCATGATGAAGCCATTCTCTTTTTTTTTTCCTTTCTCTCTTTTTTTCCTCCCACTTCCTAACCCTAAGTTCAACATCCATCCCTTTCCTTATTATCTTCATCGTTTGATAGCTTTCTCTCTTGTTCCTATATCTTTTCTTCTTTGTCCCTTCTTTGGATAGACGCGCTTTCCCTTTCTTTTCTCTCACACGCATATCTCAATGGCACCAGAGCAACAACCCTATTCATGCGGTCGTTTACTCAAAAGCCCGCTAGCACTCCGTACTACACGCGTTTTCATTCTTCTTCTCCTCATTGCATCCCTTCCGATACTCTTTGTCTATCATGACCAATTGAGCAAGCTACATGGCAACAGTCCTATTGCTTCTGATCCATCTTCAAATTCACCGAGCGACATTACCTCACCTGCACCTATACCTACATCTACATATATACCTACATCTACATCTATATCGTCATTATCGTCTAGGACTTCATTGGCCGGTAACAACGCTACAATAACAGCAACAACAGTAAAAGCAGCAGAGACAGCAGAAACAGCACCTACTTCACCTTTGAATACAGTAACTGCTCCAGCTCCTGATACACTCACCCTATGGTCAACCATGAATACTGTCGACTATATCTACATTGTATTGTCAATCTTGACTCTCTTCCTCCATGCACATCCAGATCGACCTTTTTTCCTCGGTTTCCAAGTCACGAACCTTTGTGTGCTGATCCTTTTTGCCTTCATCTGGTTGATGCTTAGCACTATCTGGTTCACAGATATTGCATGGATGAATAGCAACAATCTTTCGTCTCCCTCTATGGCACCATCACTTTCATCCTCTCCAACAGCTAGCTTCATTTCAATTTCGCCCTCCTTGACTACAACTATTGCAACAACCGTTACCATCACTACAACTGCAACCACAGCCTTTACTTCTACTACCATCGTCACTCCTACTACAACTTTAGGATATGTTCCTCCAGAAGACACGAGATATAGGCGTATCTCAAGTAGCGAATCCACTGTAACCATATATCCGATATATCCATCAGTTACATTCGCAGCATTAGCGGCAGATACAACAACAACAATAACAGCCGCAATACAAAAGGTGCCCGGCTCATCCACGGTAGCAACGACAACAACAACAACTGCTGATGATACTAGCACTCCTACATCTTCCAATACAGTACCCAATCCTTCATCTTCATCATCGTCAACTTCTTCTTCGACTCAATTATCTTGGGGCACTCGATGGGCATCTGAATGTCTCTCAACCCCAGGAATGGATTCGAGGCCTTGTGAGCTCATGATCGTATATCATGTTCTGGGTTGTGTGATTGGGATTCTGTTGATAATAGAGGGTATTATGTCATGGTTGATCAACATGCGTGAAGAATCAGTCGAGACTCGTCTGAAGCGATTACAAGAACTCGAGGATCAGAAAGCTGCGAAATATGCAAAGAAAACTAAACGGATACAAAGAGAAATGAAGGCTTTACAGAATTCTAGGCTAGTTATCGAAGGGCCTATCATTGGATAATTTTTTTTTTTTAAAAAAAAAAAAGAAACGCGTCTAAATTGAACTTCAGAACGCGAATTCATATTTTTTTCCATATTTGGACACTGCAAGCTTAAATAAATAATAGTTTGGCGTTTACAACATTTATTCGTGTCAGAAAAAATTCTAACTTTTCTTGACTTTTTCCGACGCTGCCACTGCTTCGGCTGTTGCGGCAGATGCCGATGCAGCTGCCGATGCAGCCTGCTGTGCTGCAGCAGCAGCAGCAGTCTTCAATGTTTCTAATGTTTCTTGCTTTTCACGTTCAGCAGAGGAGAGCTCTAGTTTTTCAATCTGTTGACACTTGTACCACACAAACAAGGACTCGATTAGGATGAAGACTGCGATCAGGACACTGAACCATCCAAGACATTGCATCGCCACCGCCAACTGAGCTGCATAGGCGCTCTGTTCTTTAAACCCTTCCTCCACCTTGCCTCCTTCACTCAAAATCTTTTCAATCTGAATCTGGTTCAAAGTCTTGCTGACATAGAGTGTCAAGTTCTCACGGGTATCGAAGAGAGATGAAGGTCTTTCCGTTCCTGTTGCTACTGATGATGGTGATACTTTTGTTGTTATTGTTGTTAATATTGAAGTCAGGAAATCCATAGAGTTCAATTGCAAAAATGGTTGAAGAAGCCAAAAAATGACCATCAAGTTCAAGATATAGAATCGACGTCTGAGAGCTGAGAGGGGACGTAGGGAATATTGAACAGGGAAGAAGGCATAGTGTAGTGCTGTGGCGATTTCTGGTACAAAAAAGAGATGAGAGACTAGACCATCCATAAACAATGAGAGATGTAAAAGTCCATAGATGACGATGAATCCTAAAAGAGTGAGTTGGTATTGACGAAGACCATCTGGTGTATAGACGCTTGGGATGAAATTAGAAAAGATTATATGCAATATATTCATCGTGATGAAAGGAAAAAAAAAGACTCTTTGTTGTTGAAAAGTGAAAGGAAGAAAAGAGAATTGCAGCTGCAGTATATATAAATTAAAAACTGCCTTAACAGTCTCGGATTACGATGCGATTTCTTCTTTTTTTTTTTTTTTTTTTTTTCAGGTGTCTAAGACCCTGCATCTTTATTCTTAAAACGCCAGGACTTCATGTTCCCACCCGGTTGGAAAACTCCACTGGTTTTGAGCATCATCCCAATTTATGCGGATGGTTCCCACGCAATGTTTAAGCTCCAGATCACCATAGACATGTGGAAAGATCCTGCTTGTGTCTACTGGATAATTGCCACTGTTGCCTCTAGCAGCCTCCCATCTTATTTGGGGTGCAAGGCCCGGGTACGAGAGCTTGAGGATCAAAAGATGATCAAAATCTGCCCTGAGGAAGAACCGGTTGGAGGTACCTGGCACTTGAGCTGCTGTGGACAAATGATAGAAACCATCAGTTCGGTCTAGGTCTGAAAGTGGGAGGACTTTATCAGATGTATTGAATGATTCTGGAGGGACGATCTTGTAGATATAGTCGGGAGCAACGGCGGGAGCGAGAGATTCAGCCATTGTGTTTGTGTGAATGCTGGATGGAAATGTGGAAGCGATGGGAGAAAGACAAGGTTTTTCTCGTGCTTTGAGCGTTTATTCGCGTGTTCTGTGACAGCTTGGGAGACAGCTTGGAGATAATTTAATTCGACTTGATCAATTCAAACATAACTACGAAGGACAAGGAATCGCAATGGAACACATCACCCTCGCCTCGCGTGAATACGAATTTAGGAACCATACCATAAAACCTTTGGATATTGACGAGGATCCCTCTGGACTTTTGTATGCTTATTCCTCTCCAAAAAAAAAAAAAAAAAAAAAAAAAAAACTGAAAGAGAAAGTATATTAAGTCTAACATTATTTTATTATTATTTTTTCACTTTTCAAGACGTGGAGGCGTTGGATCAACCATCTGGGATGCAGCGATTGTTTTGGCAAAATATCTCGAGAAATCAAATCTTCTCTCAATTGCTTCTTCCTCCACCTCAGCGACTGAAACACCCCGATCATCAACACCAATTAACGTTCTGGAACTCGGGGCAGGAACAGGGATTGTAGGTCTGGCAGTTGCTAGGTTGCTCAGTGCTAAAGGAGTTGAGGCTAGAGTTCTCTTGACGGATAAAGAGAATGTTGTACCCCTCTTGAGCCGAAACATCCAAAGAAACCCTTCCATTGGAATCGATATTCAAGCACAAACTTTAGATTGGGAAGAAGACGAAAGTAGCAGTTCTTCTTCCAATGCTCAGAAAATACACGCCCTTATCGATACAAATTGGGATATGGTCATTCTAAGCGATTGCATATGGGTACCAGGACTATATAAACCTTTGATCAGCACCATCAACGCATTAATAACCCCAAGCGCCAGCAAGACACAGCTTGTTATTGCATTCGAGAAGCGCAATTTCGCCGAGGAGATGGAGTTCTTCGCAATGTTGGGCAAAACCTTTCGTTTCAGAGATATCAAACCTGAAGAACAGGATGCCGATTATCAGAGTGAAGACATTTACTTGTTTGTTTGTCAGCGTCGATCATAACAACAGAAAATAATGCAAGATAAAAGATACAATCTAAAAACTTTTTATTTGTCCACAATATATATATATATACATATATAATGCTTCTATTTTTTACGCTCTGATTTTCGCCATTCGAAAAAGTTGCACCGATATTCTGGCCTCGGCCTAATAGTGTCGTCTTCAGGACCGACGGGTCTAAGGGTGGAAGAGAGATTGAAGAGTATTAATAAACATTTATTTAAAAAAAAAAATAAAAAAAAAAAAAAAAAAAAAAAAAAAAACACACAGATCTTCATTTCAGAAGCTGAAAACACATACAGTGAACATAAAAAGAATCGTCGTCCTTTGTTGGGACCTTTCTTGTTGACGGTGTGTTCAGTACATGGTACTCCGTGGACTCTGCACTTTGGAATAGTCTTGGGCTGGAACAAACTTTGCCATTTGGACGTAGTAGCTTCGCCATTTGTCGAGAACGGTAATATATCCTGTGATCCTGGTATCCAATCTGCAAAATCACTGGGTGAAAATGTTGAAGACAATGATGACGGGGCTGATGTTGCTGATGAAAAGGAAGAGTCCGGTGTTTGAGAGTGTGGCGGTGATGATGAGGTATTTGACAATTGAGATTCATTGATATACTCCTGTTCAGCCTCTTCACTTTTTAAAGATAGCGTCTGTTCATCTTTCGCGGATGCAGAATTGGCAACTGGTATCTCTGTGGAAATCTTCTTAGATGAACTTGAAAAAAATGACAACACGCTCTGTTGTCCAGAGGATCTAGGATTGACGGGCTTTTTGAAAGAACTTTTATCTTGGATCAAGTGACCAGACTTAGCCTTCGTTGTTATTTTGTTATTAATTTTGGGTATCTGGCTAGGCAAAGTAGTAGAAGGCACTGAATTCGATAGTGGCAATAAGGACGATACATTTGATGCACTTAGTCTAGTGTCGGTTTTAGGTGAGGGATCATCATTGACAACCTGATCATTGGAGAAATATGACTTCTTCCTGGGTAATTGATCCTCGTGGTCATCTAGGGGAGAAGATCGCTTTAATTCGCTTCCAGTTATAGGTTTTAGTGTCGCTGAAGATGGCTTTTTGAAAAAGGCAGAGAGCTTTTGCTGCTTTCCTGAAAATTCTTCATAATACTTTGCAGCTAATGAGTGCTCCGTAGTTCCTCCGTACGACTCTAACAGCTCATGAAGTTTTTGAAATGCCTTTTGATCCTGTTCTTTTTCTTGAGTAGAATTTTCTATCACAAGCTCTGTGAACATTTCCGCAACGACAGGGCAATGATCTGACCCTACGATGTGGGGTAGTCGGTCACACGCTTTGAACCAAGGTAAAAGCCCCTTAGTTACGAGAACATAGTCTAGCCGGGTTCCGTAATTAGACGGCCTACATGAAATACCAGCTAATAAATGTTAAAAGTCATTGAGACAAAGAACAGTTATAACTGAATTGAGCTTGACTCATCTGGTTTTTCCATCACCTTGCATTGATTTTGGCATTCCAGCATGTGAATGCACCAGGTTTATCTTTGTGAAATATTCGATACAGATCTGTCATTGGTCCAGCAGGGGCCAAGAAGCTGTTGAACCACCGTCTAGGTAGTGTGTTTGTAAAGTCACTCTCACCTGTCTCTTTCTTCCATTTCGCAGGATCGCAATGGTCAAGCTCAGTTGGCACCACATTCATATCACCCATCACAATCACTTGTCTTCCTTCTTTAATCAGAGCCTGAACGCGAGATTCCAATAGATGATAGTAGTCCATCTTGAATGGTAGCCGCGTCTCATCTGTCTCATTCGGACAGTACAAATTGAACAAGACAAACAGCCCAAAATCGATAATAAGGCCCCGACCTTCTGAATCCAACTCCTGATAGCGCGCAAATATAGCAGCACTGTCGCCATCATCCAATGATGGATATCCTCCAACTCCTTTAGCCTTACTACTGTTGCTGCAAGTCTGAGTATTCAACGGAACCATAGCATTGGGGGGTTGTAGCGAGACATTCTCTGAGAATACACCAGAAATGCCTTCTTCTACTGCAAGGAGCTTAATATGATCCTTAACATAAATGACAACCCCAGAGTACCCGGATTTAGTACGATGAAAAGACCAATATGAATCGTACCCAGGAACAAGAGCTATGTCCGACTCAAGCTTAGCACGCGTGATTTTTGTTTCCTGTAGACATATTACGTCCGCATCAAGGTAATCAAGAATCTCCTGAAAAAACCGATAGATATGATTGTTGCAGAGAAAAAATCAGTCTTTATTCAGTTCTATTTTAAAAACATGACCGTTGATTTATTTTATTTTATTTTATTTCATTTTACCTTATAATTTTTATGCAGGTCGTCGCAATAGGGATGATATTGTGTCAATGCGCGAATCCCATTGACGTTCCATGTCATAAACTTCATGCGTGAAGGCTAAGAGTGAGAGTAGAATGTGAAGTCGGTAAAGGAAAAGAAATGAAAAGGAGTAATGACGCCTCAAAGTTGGTGGCGTATAGAAAAGTGGCTTTTCTTTTCTTTTCTTTTTTTTTTTTTTTTTTTTTCTTTCACGTCAACTTTGACATCCACCTTATTTTTGGGCGGCACCAACCAATTTAGACAGAATGTCAGCGTCAGTGCAGAAGCAGATCATGTTGAAAAAGAAGAAGTTTAAGGCATGTTTTTTTATATCAGAGCTACAATAAACGAGTAGCAGATACAGTTTTTATAGGAAAATATGCTAACCTCAACTGTGGGGCATAAAATTCATTACGGATATTATGATCATGGCAACACTTTCTTTCCTTTTTTCATTATCGGAAAAAAAAAAGCCTGAAAGGAAGGAAAAAGGGCTAAAGGATCAAAGCAGGAACGACGTGCTCATGAAAGAAATCCTGGCCATGGGGGGATCAAAAGAAGATTTGGAGCTTTTGAATGGTATCGACTCGGATTCGGGAGAAGAACCTGAGGAAAGCAATGACAAAAATACTGAACAAGCTGGCAAGAAGCCTAAGAAAAACAAGCCATTTGAATCATCAATGGCTGAAGAGGTAAGTTAAGCTGATTGAAAGGGAAAATTTGTCCACAGAAAGCCTTCCTTCCTCTTTTCTTTTTCTTCATCTTCGTCGATGTTGATCATTGCGCTCTTGATTATATAAATAGCCTGAACTGAAAAACGAAGTGGCCGACTTTATGAAATCATTATTTGGTTCAGTTCACATGGATCACAAAAAGATGAGCTTGGCTGCTGAACTGGAAGCGGACGAAGATGAGGGCGAGGACGGGGAAGAAAACGGAAAGAATGACGAGAGCGAGGCAAGAGGTGATCCAGAAGAGGAAAATCAATCTGACGGAACTTGGGAGACCGATGAGTCCGAAGATGTAGATGAAGGAAATGATTCTGGCAGTGATAGCATGGATGACTTACCACAGGAACTCAAAGCTATTAACAGAATGCTGGATGAAAAAAAAAGAAAATCTGAAAGTACATCTTCTCCCAGTATGCTATCACAACCCCTCAAGAAGGCCAAGGTCAAGGCAAACTCATTACCAGAGAAGGCTACCATCCCAGTATCTTCCGTTACCAAAGAGAAGAAGAACGTGCTTATAGATATTAAAAAGCAGCTTTCAACTATCTTGGCTAAATCCGAGGGCAAGAGTGAGAAGAAATTCAAAGAAACATCTGCATCATCAAAAGTAACGCCTACAACATCTGCAGCGTCCAAGCAAAAGCTAAAGCCAAAAAATGCTGCTACAGCAAGTATATCAAAAGCTTCGTCATCCACGAAGGTTACATGGAATCTGGGCGACGGATGGAGCAAGGCATTTGAGAATGAACTCGACGATGAGACCTTCAGTAAAAGCAAAAATAAGCGCCAGAAAAAGCATCAAAAGAGACATAAGCATTAAGACTCGTCAGGGTCGTCTAATATTTAACCAATAAAGACATTTAATTATCCATGCAAATGACGACTCGCGTTATTTTACAATGCTTTTAATCGCAATAGCAGTGACACTCATAGTTTGCAGCCCATAATTGATCTCCGTCTCTTACCAACGCCTCCTATTGCGTGTAAAGTTATCTTGATTGGCTTCTATATCATAATTTGTTGTTCCTTGGTACAGCATTTACCAGCGCCAAGGAATGGTGCCACGTATGCCGTACGCCGGGTTTGAGGGTCAAGAAGCCTTGTCAAATAAGGAGTCTTCCAGATAGAGGTTGCATATATTGCTCTACTCTTATCAAACCAAAGGAGTAATGTGAATGCAATGAACATGAAAGTGTTGGTAATTATGCTATAACCACGTTTTTGGATCCCACTAGCAGACCTTGTGACATCCAATCGATTCTTTGGGGCCCATATTACTGCCAAAGCAAGGTACCACAGTGTATGTGTGCTGAGGTCGCTGAGAATCCTTCCAAAGTGGTTTAACATAGCGGATAGGAATTAAAATCTTTTTTTATATATCTTTTTGAACTTGAAAAGAACATACGTTCTTGATGTGGACAGCAGGCACATCAGTCTATCTGTTTCTATAGCGATATTTTGTATGAGCGTAAGGAGGTGACCGGCCGACTTAATGTGAGCTCTCCTCTTTTTAGTCAGTCGTGAGATGCTGCATACAAGTCGTCGAGATAAAAAAAATGAGGATGAAGAGAAGAAAAAATGGAAAGGCATGGGAAGGATAACCAGGCCCCTCACATATCATTCATTTTGTAAGTGTGCATATTCTGTCTTCTCTCTATTTCTCTCTCACATAGACTTTTTTATACTCTATATACGTGACCCGTAATCTAAAGGATGAAATGTGTTATGAAGATGACGTTTCAAAGAGCTATGTTGACGAGGATACAGGTTCCTATGCTCCTAGTCAATGGAAACACCACTGGGTCCTGCTGCTTTTTTTGAGAGCAAGTGTAAAGAGGCTCGCCTTGTGTTCGTACGCCAGCAATGCTCATGATTTCAAAAGATAAACACCAGAGTGTTTCAAAGTGAATGATGACTGACTGAATATGGCTTTTTGGACCTTCACTTCAATATGAAGTCGCGAAAAACATTTGGCATTAACCTCAATTTGCTGCAGTCCAAGGATCACCGCAGCCACATTTATTATGGACTATTGGGAGGGCCTTCAAAAGAAAAAAAAAAAAAAAAAAAAAAAAAAAAAAAAAAAAAAACGCAACACAGACTTAATGAAATAGAACAAGGTTCAGAGATAGCTTCGTAGGATTTGCAAACGGATGTCGTCAATGAGCCAGTTAATGGAGATTTTAGCCGCCTCCAACTCGAAAAAGAGTCAGAGCTGCCTCAGAATATAAGAACCGGACTGATATTAACAACGAGCCAGAGAATGGAGGAGATCTGGGGACGAGACTGAAGAGGAAGATTGGATTAGTAAGATGTGCTCTGAGAACGATTTCTGGTCGAAACTGCAGCCCCAGATGCAAGAAGCAGCCAAGGACGTGGGGGATCACAAAAGTGTATTCAAGTATTTTGTGATACGCATTATTTCATAAGAATCAGAAACTCAAATCGGCTGCCATGGGTGCCTGATCTCTCGCTTCTTCTGGTTTTACTGCGATGTCAAAGGAATCCCCAAAGAATACAACTGGAATATTGCTCCTTATGATAGGCAGTAATAATATGTTCGTAAATTCTCTTATATTTATCATTTTGAAGCTCCTCTTAACTTACCACAACGATTTGTTACTAAACGATATCTCTTTTCCATTCCCATTTTTATAAAAAAAAAAAAAAAAAAGTTGAGCTGGTAGATGATTTAACCAGATTCAGGATTCACACTAACAAAACTATTGCAAAAACCCTGGCCGCTCTAAATACTTTGGCTGTTGTCTTATCGAGCGACGTGAACAGTGGGAAACCAATAGAATAGCGAGTCTTTCGAAGCGGGGGAAAGTATCTATAGGTCAGGGATCTACTGACGGACAATGATATTTTTCCAAAACTGCGGTCATGGATCCACGAAAACCACAAATAAATAATCACGGCACATATCCTTCAAAACCAACTGGATTCGGAGCTCTTTTCCTCACTCGGAACAAAAAGAACAGTAGGAGAAAACACGATCCGTCGTTATCCTTGAGTATTAGGCTGGGTGTATTCTGCAGTAAAGGAAGTGCTATTATTGACGGTCATGAAAGACCAGATGTTGTTCAAGATAAAATGCATTTTCTTCAGCAATTAAAAGAAATAGAGAAACGAACAATAAGAGCAAAGGAGGCTGAGTTGACTATACTAGAAGACTCAACTTTAACAGATGGCGGATGTCCATGTTCATGACGAGAGGATATTCCACTCAAATGAAGGTGAAAGTATTATTTAGCATCATTGATAGAACTGACATTGAGAAAGAAAAGTCATGAGTGTTCATCAATGGTCAGCGGATGCAGGAGAGATAATCTGTCCAAAGAAGAAGAGCTGTAGATACTGAGGTGGTGAAGACGTCGCTAAATAGTTCGAGAAAGCGATAGAAGAAGTATTTCAATATGATGATGATTGGGCCTTCGACAATTGCTCGAACCACAACTGCTTCGCCAAAGATACTTTGTTAGTGAGCCAATGAGTTTCGTTTGTGCGAGGCAGGCTTGCCAAAAGACCAAGATTTGACGGCGGGGGAAACAGCTGCGACTTAGAGATATGGAAGCTGGAAGAATGAAATGCTCCAGATTTTTATGATGAAGCCTGGTGAAACTAGCCGAGAGGGATGAGATGGATTCTCATCGAAAGAAAGCTTTGGAAGGGAGACCTCAAGATGAATAACACCTAGTTATTCTCCACGTATATCGATCCCCCACGATGTCCTGTTTTAGGAATTTGTCATTAATTCAGACTCAAATGCCAAGGAATGTTTTGGCACGTGCTAGAGGTGGCCACTCCATAAAAAACCAAAAAAAAAAAACGTTATTCTATCCCTTCACTCTCTTTAGACTTTTAGAAAGCCTCTTCTCTATTCAATCCTTGACTAATTAATCCCTTCCATGGAGTACTCATCAATACACCAACGGAAACCCCCTTTAGAGGGTAATATCCCATTCTCTGCACGAGACCGAGCACCTGATTCACCCATTCCGATGCAAACAGCTGTTGCTCATGAACTCACAAACAACAGTCTGACTTCAGCACCGTCATCGTCATCGTCATCGCTATCGTCATCGTTGTCACCGCCTGAAACAATTTTCTCTCAGTATCTTCTTCCGTATCAATTTTTATGTTTCTTTTTCCCAATCGCCCTTGTCCTTGGATCGTTGTTCGGCACTATCGGCGGTGATCGTCCTTCGTATTTTTCCAACAAGCGTAACCTTTTGAATGTATTGTTTGTCAAAAATGGGTGGGGATGGACATCGGTGGTTTTTCTGATATATTTGGCAGTCGTCTTTGGGAAAGCAGTATTCCGTCAAGAACAATCTCAAAGCAACAATGCCTCAGGCTTAGATCAAGTGGAAGGCAATGTGCTGCGACCTCAAGAGCAGGACTTTGTCAATGCAGGATTATCCATTTCTGCCTTCCAAAATGTACAGGTGGATCAAGAACCTCAATCCATGGTTGGAACCAACCTGCCTCCTCGTGGTAGTATAGAAAGCGCTCAAATCCCCGTTAATACCTTTGCCAAAGCCTTATTCAGATGGGGCCTGGCCACTCTGTACTGGTGGTTGATCTCACAATGGTTTTTCGGACCTGGCTTGTTTGATCGCTTTTTCGTTCTCACTGGTGGTACATGCTCGGTTGATGGCCATTGGTCACAGTATAATTGCAGACGCCAAGGCGGTCACTGGTCTGGGGGAATTGATATCTCTGGTCATATGTTCTTGTTATCTCATGCGTGCCTATTCTTGATGGAAGAGCTATCAGTCTTCCTGAATGTTCCCGAGGCATGGACTGCATTACGAAATCGTACATCTGCCAAATATGCGGTCTGGAGCGTTATCGGCCTCTGTAGTTTGTGGTGCTGGATGCTGTTGATGACAAGCGTGTATTATCATCATCTAATGGAGAAGACAACAGGTTTATTCTTTGGCATGCTGTTCTGGTTCTGCACATACGTTACAACCTACAAAGTGCTCCCTTTCCCAGGCATGCCTGATCAGGCTGTAATACTTTAGACCATTCATTTCTTTTGCCTTATCTAAACCCTAATATACAAATGACAGCCTATTTTTTTTTATTGATATTTATATTATGTGTCGACGTTTTCATGAAGAAGCACAAACTCTCTAGTGCTGGCACCAAATTTGATTACATCTGAAAGTTTGAGCTCATAGTAGCGTGTTGGCGGTATTTGAACGCCATTCACAAACGTTCCATTTGCAGATTCTAAATCGATAATGAATGGTCTTACAAAAGAGAAAGAGGAAAAGGTATAATAGAGTTAGCAGTGCGGTTATTTAAGGAAGATCTTATAAAAGAGATCAAAGTCAAGTCCATTGATATTGCATACTTTGTGCTTCTCGATGCTTGACCTAACGCATCCGTTTCTACGATCTGACGGAATTGCAGCACAGCATGCTGTTTAGAGCATGATGGATGGTCGATGGGAATATCTACAACCTGTAATCAAAAAGTTAGGATTATATGTCACCTTGCATTAATACAATGTTCTTGTTAGGAATACGGAATTTTATGGAGAATAAAGGCATAAGAAGCATGAAGACACCTACATTACGATCTCTTCCGAATAGAAATGCACTTTGTCGGTGAATATGGAGAAGATCTAAAGCGATCAGGCAAAAAAAAAAAAAAAAAAAAAAAAAGTCAGTGCATGCTGTTTAAAACTTCACATTAGCACAGAGAAGAATAAAGTAAATAAAAACTTATATTACCAATTTCCTTATCGCCCTTGAAAACATACAGTCTCCATCGTTGCTTGGGTTTCCGTGCTTCAGGCGGCTCGTTGTACTTCAGCAAAACTCCATTTACAGTCGTGTTGGTTTCTGCTGCTAATGCTCCCGATAAACCAAAATTGGGCTTCTCTTTATCTTCTTCAGCAACCACCGGCTTCTTTTTCTTTTCAGCCTCTTCCTCTGCTTTCATATGAGCACCCCAAACCTCATTTTGACTTGATCCTCCTGATCCGCTTCTGAATGTAGATTCATGCCTAGGTCCGCCGCCACGGCCACGGCCACGGCCACGATCTCCTGCACTGCTTCCTCGTCCTCGTCCTCGTCCTCGTCCTCCGTCTCGTTCGTCTCGGCCGCCCCGCCCATATTCTACGCGATCATCCTGCGGCGACCTTGGGCGTGAGCCATCATATGAACGATTACGAGCTGGTGATCTAGATCTGGACCTCCTCCTCGGCGAACGTGAACGTGATCGTGGAGATCGTGAGCGTGAATATCTTCGACGTCGCTTCTCCCTCTCTCTATCTTCGATACTATCGCTCCTGCGCCGCTCAGAACGAGGAGAACGTGAGCGTGATCGCCATCGTGATCGTGATTCAGGGGATGATTGTCGTCTGGATTCTTTGTCAGATGGTACTGGAGGCGATTCGGGCATGATCTTTTTTATTGCATGAATGGTTTTTTTTTTTTTTTTTTTAAGAAAAAAGTTGTTACATAGAGCTATGATTGGGCGCGCCCCTTAATTTCTGGGCTAAGCAAATGTAGAGACTGTTAGGCTCGTCACCAGCCTGAGGTCGAAGCCACGTGCTACGAATGAACGTGCTGCAAGGCGGAATTACCTGTTGAGGCAATTTGTGGCCGCTCTTGCCGAAGCTTCTTACTCAGGCTGGGGACAACGTTACAAATTTTTTTTTTTTCAAAATTTTTTTGAAGTTGAAAAACATATGGGAGTTCAAATGTTCTAACGGTCAAAAAAAAAAAAAATTTGAAAAAGATGCTGCAATTTTTTTTCTCCAAATTTTTTTTTTGAAGTCGAAAAACATATACGAGTTCATACAATTTTTTTCCTTGCCAAATATTGTCGTCTTCACACTATGAGCACTACCCTGCCCGCACGCTTCAACATAAATGACAATTACTGTATGCATTCACTGTTCTCACGCTCTTTTCTCCTCTCTCATCCCCACCAACACTCTTGCATCCTAACTTTGCTATTCAGAAATTAAAGATAAAAAAAATAAAAATAAAAGCAACAAAAGTGAAGTTTGTAACAAATACGAAGCAGAAGGAAGACAAATATTGATCAGACACTAGCTAAGATCTTCCAGAATATGGAAAAGCACAGGCTTACTCTCAAGGGCTTTCTAAAAGCATGCTTCGAGTCGAACGACTCAGACGTGAATTTGCACCATCCCAGCCTGAGTAAGAAGCTTCGGCAAGAGCGGCACAAATTGCCTCAACAGGTAATTCCGCCTTGCAGCACGTTCATTCGCAGCACGTGGCTTCGACCTCAGGCTGGTGACGAGCCTGAGACTGTAGAAGGGCATGAAGCTTTGTCTAATCTTGTGGGTCAAAGCAGCATACGTTTTATGCACCAAATAATGTTTTAAAACCAACTGTAGGGATACTGAATACGGTCATGAGTACCTCGCGCACAGAGTATGTTGCCATCGCAGGATGGAAGACTTGTGGCCCTGGTACAATGCAGTAAACCGCATGTTCATAAGCACAAGAAAAGCATTTCTTTAACAGGCGTTCTGCAAAATTATAGTGTACTACTTTTCTTTCAACCAGAGTTACATATTCGATGAACGTAACTCAGGCAAAGCATTAGATTTTCTAACAAGACAGGAGCCGATGGTGGTTCGTTCTCGTAGTGAATGGTATGCGGTACCAAAAAATAATAAAACAAAGAATAACCCATGCATTTTTTTTTTTTTTTTTTTTTTAATATTTTTTCTTTTCATTCTAAACAAGACGGCCAGCAGCATACTCTTTAGGGTCAAACAGCGTTGCTTGAATTGTTTTACCATCAAACTGTCGACCATGAAGTTGTACAGAAGCCGATCGTGCATCTGTTACATGCAAAAACACACAAATGCTAAAAATGTTAATTAAAACGCTAAAAAAAGTAATAATAATAAAAAAAACCAGAATCTCTGGAAGGGAGATAAAACAACTTACCAATAGGTGACACAAACTCGATAAAGATACGCAGAAGCCCTTCAAGGAGTGGTAACAATTGAACTCGAACAACAGGGCCATACTTACTACATTCTTCACGAAATTCCTCTTCAAGTTGATCATCAATATCAGCGGGGGTGGCGCTATATTGTAACCGAACCACAGTGGGCTGTACAGACGGCTCCTGAGATGTCGCAGGTGGCACAATACCTCCACTCCGGGCAAGGCTCTGCATGACCATATACCTTTGATTTCCACTAATGCTCATATTCTCTTCTGAGGCTACTGATTCTCTATCACCATTCATTACTGAGGACTGACCCATTGCAACCAACCGTTGGGCTGTAGAGGCTGCAGTCGCTGTAGCCTTTGCTATCACTGAAAATAACAAATGAATAAAGTAAGAAGAGCTTTTAGTCTACATACCATTTATAGCAACAGTCAAAAAGAAATAAAAAAGAAACCTTACTTGCTGGAGAAGGCGCAGCTGGAGGCGCGACGCGAGATTGAGCCGGCGTTGAAGTAACGGGAGTAACTGGAGGCATGTGTTCCAGTGCTTTCATGCCCTCAGGAAGAGGGCCACCAACAAGAGCTTTGCAAACTCCCATGGGCATATCCAGTAACATAAAGCCTTTCATAGATTCAACTAGAGTATCAACATTGGTTCCAGACTTAAACTGAACATATCTATAATCCATAAAGAGGTCCAGTGGGAATGAGTTAGTTCACACGCTACCATTATAAGCCATAATGAATTCGATCAGAGTTCTACGACCGACAATTTTTTCTTCCTTTTGTTTTACGGTGCATAAAGAGGATGAGCAGAAATATAGAGGAGAAAAGGAAAAAAACAAAAAAAAAAAGTAGGAAATAGGAGGTAGGATATAATAAAAAAAGAATAGGAAGCATAAACGGTCAGACTCTGGTGTGATTTGACGAATGGATTTCCGTATCACAAGTTATGAATGATAATTCTCCAAACCGATTGTCTACGAGCCACGGATCCATAGCTCAATGATGCGACACGACGATTCCAGAGGAGGCGGTGGATTTCCATGGCCGAAAAAAGACCGAAGCATGACTCGAAGGGCGAGACCTTAATGATATACATGTACGCGAACACCATAAGCAATATGCATCGGTCCAGGAGGCGCGGCCACCACCAAGGTGAGACGGGTAAAAAACACACACAACAATAACAAAAAAGAATAAAGACAAAAAAAAAAAAAAAAAAAAAAAAAAAAGATAAAATAAAATAAAATAAAAAAGATAAAAAAAGGAGTCGGGTCCAACGGAAAGAAGAAGCATGTTGATAAAAAATCGAATGAGCATGGACGTCGTCATTGGAATAAAATAAGTTATAAAAAAGAGCCAGCATGCTTCATTTTCTATCCCATCGTGACCAGTGGTTGCTCTGGTCCAAGAATGTTCCGTAATAACAGTGCTTTTCATCCGTAGCCCGTCATGACGAGCAGATCATTTTTTCATTCCAGACTCTTTGTTGTATCACCATCGTTCTTACCCGTATCCTTTATGTTTCCGTGTGACTGGATCAGGCTAGACATAGTGGACAGAAAAGATTGTGAGAACGCTTAAACTCGCAGATTTTATATTACAATCACTATTGCTTTTTATCCTTACCGTCAAAACACAGGTCTCAACCTCTCCAAAAGCAGCGAAAATCCCTGCTAGATCCATTTCTGAGACCAGAGATCCAATGTTGGCAACATAAATCCTATTCTCTGGTGGTTCGGGCAGATCGTTGATGACACTGGCATCATAGTTTTTGGGTCTTCCTATTTTGATATGTCGACCACCTACATCCACAGACTCTGAAGCTTGAACTGCCAAGATAGCAGCTTCGGGAAGCTCATATTCAACAAAACAAAAACCACGGTGCTTTCCTGTTGTTGGATCGACCTTAAGCACCAGCTCTCTGATGGCTCCAAAGCGACCAAGCTTTTGCCGAACATCCTCTTCCGATGCTTCAAACGAGATCGATCCAACGTAGACTCTGCAAAGTGATTTACGCTGCTCTACAACATTAGCTGTAGCGAGCGATGGCTCCGGTTCCGTTGCAGACGTTAGCGCTCCAGATTTAACCAACTATCAAAGATTAAGATCGTTCTTAATGAATTAACACACGCCCTTTCAAAAAAAAAAAAAAAAAAAAAAAAAAGACAGAAGCGTCATATATCAGGGCTAATTTATTTTATTTTTTTTCTTTTTTTCTTTTAGCAATACCTCCTCCTGGACTTCTCTTGCATACTGCTTTGCCAGTTCAAGTGCTGCTGTTTGCGAGGACGTGAGCCCCGTTTGAGGATCTTTTGTTTCGAACGATACCTCTTTCGAATTATTTACTTCAGTTGATGTCTCTTCTGAATCATTTACTTCGTTTGACGCCTCTTTTTAAATGTTTTCATTATTGCAAGATGGTTTGGTGGTGTTAGCAATCCGTACTTTTTTTTTTTTTTTTTTTTAGCATTTTGGAATCATGATTGGAAAAAATATACCTTGTTCAGCTGAACTTTCTTTTTTTATTCCATCCATTGTAGCGGACTCATCTGCTGTTGCCTCTGTTGAGTGATCAACGCGTTGCTTCTTTGCTTGATTTTCATCCTTGTCTATTGATGTTCGTGCTGAATCTTCCTCAGGCATGTCCACATCCTCATTGGATCTCTTGAGAGAATTAGCGCTGTTATTATCGTCTTCCATGAAGTTCCTTATGCTTAGAGACTGGAGTATATAAGGCAAGGTATATGAATGACAGTCAGGTTAAGGATGAATGCAGTTGGAAGGGGATCAGATTTAATAATGTGGGCTTTGAGCTGAGCAGTGATCGATTATTTAGTGTAAATATTAAAACCGTCCTGACATGTTTGCGCCACATTTGTTTCCTTGACTTTACATTTCACATTAACCAAGCATGCTTCGTTCACGAATCTTCAGAGCGGCTCTTGGACTTTGTCATAGCCGTCAAACTATCGCTTTGCAGGTAAGAACAAGATACCACTGCTAATGGGATTGTAAATTCAAGTTCGTAAAAAAATATGAGTTGGTTCACTTTATTTTATACCTTTTTTTTTTTTTTTTTTTTTTCTAGAGATCAGCACTCCCAGTATATAGAGCTCTTGCACAAGATCAGAAGCATGGATTCAAGACGAACGTTCTACAAGTCCGCAAGGGATATGTCGTTGAAATGAACAACACGCTTTCCATCGTCCTTAAGCGCGAAACATCTGTTGTAAGAGGTTTTTCTAAGAAATTTTATCCGGCTCATTTGGTCGCGGTCCATTTCATTTGTTATAATTGGCGGTATTCTTTTAATCATCGCTCAAAGCCTAAAATATAATCAATGAATTGTATTGTGACCAAATGAATCGAACAATACTTGGGCTTGGACAAAACTGTGTGTAGAAGATCGTATTTTTTTTGTAAGATCAAAGGAGTCACGCTCTTCCCTTCCAATTTCCACAATAGATGGGACGTGGCACTTCGACCGTCAAGGTAAAAAAGGCGATGATTGATGAGCCAAGATGTGATTGACCAGCTTAATTATTCAACACGAGAAATTCACAGATAAAGCGTTTTTTTTTTATTTTTATTTTTATTTTTATTTTTTTTATTTTTTTAAAAAAAAGCTTGAACTTCAAGATCTTCTTTCGGGAACTAAGCATACAGAGCGATTTCGATCTGATGATATGGTCGAGGTGACCGAGTTAAATGACCGCAAGTGTCAGTTCCTCTACAGAAATGATGGTCAAATTCATCTGATGGATCCCGATACATTTGAAATGTATGAAGTATCCGAGTCAGTCATGGAAGGTAAATTTCACAGCGATCAAAGCTTATTTTTCTCATATTCTCTTCATTGAACTTTAACGTTCTATTCTCCCTGCGACTCGCATTACTTATATTACGGGACATGTAGAGAAACAGATCCCAATGCTTCAGCAAGACATGATAGTACATTTGTCTCTCTACCAATCTGGTCCCGACGAGCCTGAACAACCAATTTCTATCAAATTGCCGACACAAGCAACCTTTGTGGTTAAAGAGGCCTATCCTTCAGCCGCACAGACCAATAAGGGAACCGTATATAAGAATGCAGACCTTGATAATGGCATTAGGGTGCAAGTCCCTGATTTTGTCAATATTGGTGATCGAGTCGTGGTTGATACTGAGACTGGAAAGTACGTGCGGCGAGCATAGAGTATATCACCATTTTTTCGAATATGCAACATCGACATACTATTGTTTATTGTATAGATGTATCCTTCAAAAAAAAAAAAAAAAAAAAAAAAATCAAGAAAATCAAAATCCCACTGCTGCTGCTTCCGCATCATCTGCGATAGCATCCTCATCCAGCTCGGTATCCCTTTCAAGGGCCTTCCGTGCCTTCATCAATCTATAGTTTTCAATGGCCTTTTTCCGTTCCTCCTCAATGATACGCCTGCCAGCAGGCGTCAAACTCTTAAGCCGCGAAGATTTCTTGGCAGTAGTTGACATGGGATCATCGCTACTGGCATCGGTTTTCCGCTTCTTCTCCTTATTGGTAACTTCAGCCACTATATCATCATAATCTTCCTCTCCAGGAGTATTCTTCCATTGTTTGTTGACCATAAAATCGTCATTCTTGCGCTTTTTGGGAAGTGCTGTCAAAGTTGGTGGTGCGTCAGCAATTTCATTCAGTCGAACTTTATCCTTGATAGTCTCAAACTCTTCGTACGCTTTTTCTTCCTGCGCCTTAAGCTTTTTAGCCTTTTCCTTTTCTTTGAGTTTTTCAAAATATCTTTTTTTTTTTTTTTTTTTTTTAGAAAAAAAAAAAAAAAAGCTTTCATTGTTTAGTATGGACGTATAAAAATATATGTCGAAAGGCATGTCCTATTCACATAATAGATAAACCTACTTTTTTTTCTTGGATCCCTTTGAGGTGTTGTCCATTGTTGCCTTCATCAATTTATCTCGCATGAATTCATCCACACGCCGTGAAAATTCGCTCATCTTTTCATTAGGCTTGATCCTGAGTTCTTCAGTTGAATGTTTCTTACCATTCTCTTTGTCATTGAGTTTATTGCTGTTATGGTTGGCGCCAGTCTTTGTACGACCATGATCTGTGCTTGATACTGATTTATTATTTCTTTTCTGCTCCTCTCTCTTCTTTTCAATCGATTCCTTCTTGAACATAATCCTTGAAAATGCCTTTGGCGTATCTGAAGCAGCATTTTTGAATGGTGATTCGTTGAATCTGATATTGATAATAAAAATGAAGAATAAAATAATAAATAATAAATAAAAAGGTGAGATTCAAGCGTAAAATCCTTTGCTTATAGTGCTTTTCTGATAGCTGCATTGTTATCGTACCCTCTGGCGTTTCTCTCGGCCACACGTTCAGAAAACTTTTTTCGTTTGTGTCCCATGGTTTTTTTAAAAATGTGGTTGAATGCTGAAAAAAAAAAAAAAAAAAAAAAAAAAAAGTGAGTGTATTGTATCCTGATTGGAAGCAGTCACGTACGCAAACAAAAAATAAATTCTCAATTCACGTGATACAAATCTGCTCCCGGGAAAAAAACAAGTGGCCATCAACAAACTGAATATCATCCCCTTCCATTACCTCTCACTATTTTTTTTAAATTTCAATTCTCTCTCCCCTCCTCACTCGCTTCATTTAGCTGTACAACATTCATTATGTCTGCCCCTGCTGCTGTTAACCCTGTTCGCAACGTATGTAATCTCACTGCAATTTCCAGATACTATCTATTCTAGTTTCCTTTGTTTGATCAGCTCGCCTAATCGGGGACTGATTTAGTATTTCATGCGGGATAATGTATTTTTTTATTGGATCGACAAAAAAAACCCGCTCCGGATGCAACGCGTTCAAGTCGGATATTTTACCTGTCGCTCGGAACACCTTATAATCTTTTCTTTTTTCTCTTCATTATTTGTTTTTTACGTCAAGGAGAATCCTTTTTATTATTATTTGTTGTTTCTCTACCCCTACCAACCATATGCGATTTTCATTTAAAAAGCTTTATCTCTTTTATTTCTATTTTTTTTAATCTTTGTAAACGTATTTTTTTTTTTATTTTAAGGTTGCACGTTGGTCTGCTTTGGCTGCCGGCTTGGTCTACGGCTATGTTCACCATAACACCCTCGCTGCTCAGGAGAACAAGCGCGCCGAACAAATCAAGGCTGAACAACGTGATCGTCTGATTGCTAAGGCTAAAGCTGAATGGGTTAGGATGAACTCCCCTACTGGAGGTAAGATTCCGATAGGACCTATTTTTTATTTAATTTATACGCGATTAGAATTGCTTTACCATTGTTTTTTTTTTTTTTTTTTTTTTTTTTGAATTGATATATTAAATGGGTATACAATGCTTTATTATTTCTCATAGGTGTTGTCACAGACCCTGATAGTCCCAACTTTGATCTTGAGAAGGCTTTGATCCATCTCTCCGAGACTGCATAAGAAAAGCAACAACATCAACATAGGATTCTTATCACTAGCCAACAATATATACTTTTTAGCATGGAGACGGAGAAGGCGAGTGAAATGGAGAAAAGAAAAGGAAAGAAAAAAAAAGTAACACGGAGGCAGCATTTTTGTAACAAATAAAAAGACAGCGACTCGTTTTTGGAGCGTAGTATTTTCTTCCTCTTATATTTTTATTTTGCAAGGTTTTACGACATTCATATCTTGTGCTATCAACATGGGGTTCAAGAACAACAAAAAAGAAAAAAGAAAAAAGATATTGAATAACTGGCAACGTCTACCAACACATTAAAACATCTACTTTTTCTTTTGGGTACAGATCAAGACTAAAGTCCTTGAGCGTTTATTTCTTTTTGGATGTTTTGTCCAGAAACTCAATATATTTGCTCGGTACGCCTTTCTCCTGCAATACCGCCGTGACGTTCTTAACTTGTGGGCCTTGAACCATGACTTCACGCAAATGTAACTTTGGCGATGCACCAACAAGTGGATTGACTAAGTGCAGACACATATAAAAAAAAAATTCTTAGCGATTTCACGCCAACAATCTAATACAAAAAAAAAGAAAAAAGTGCTGGGTGTAATGCTTTTGATGTGATTGTTGTCAACTTACTAGAAACACTGCTAGCACAAAGCACCTGGATCTCATGACCGAAAATATCCACGTCAATCATGAAATACTCGAGACCTGATACTTTTGTTACAGTCTTACGTCCCGTACGGATCTCCTGTGTGATTTGGATTGGCTTGACTCCTCCTTTGACAAATCGTGGCTCTTGATCTTTGTATCCAACAAAATGGTGGAGTACCATGTTGTTGAGAAGTCTACCGACATTTTTTTATTTATTCATTTTTTGTCATTGTTAGTTTTTTTTTTTTTTTTTTTTTTTTTTCTGTCCATTTCAATTGTGAAATAACGTAAAAAAATATGACGATAAAAATAATAATAATAATAAAAAAAAAAAAAAAATACCGGTCAATTGCCTGATCTCTTGGTAGTCGATCCAATACTTCCCCTTTTTTAGCGAGTGCCTCTCTCAGAATTTCGTCCGGCCTAATGATCCTTTGATTTTTTGGGTCAGACAACTGTTTTTCCTTGATGTATTCTGACATGAAACCTTTCAACTCATGTGGAACATAATATCCATCTTTTGAGCGACCAATTGCTTCAAAAAAGTCTCCTGTGGTACTGTTAGGCCGATAAGCTTCCAATACTTCCAATGCTTTTATATCAGATGAAGCCTGAGCAGATTGAGCCTCCGCTTTAGCTTGTTGTGCAGCCTGCTGTTCCACCGTTTTGTGGCCTCTAAAAGCTTTTAGCCTAAGCAAATTACAATTAGGAACAAAGAAAAAAAAAAAAAAGATTAATCATTACAATACTGCATGGTAATATTATGATATTCTCATACTTGTGGATATTAAAGAGCCAAAACATACTGGGGATGGTTCCAGTTCACTCCCAAGAGGAATATCTCGCCCTTGATTTCTTTGCACTTGATGAGATCTTGTTTCTCCACAGCCTTGAGCCACTTGGCGAGCTTTTTCCAGCTAGATTTTTTGATATCAGCCTCTGCAGCCTTTCCTCGCGCCCGGTTCGGAAGGATGTATGAAGAGTAAAGTGTCGAGGCATTCATTGGCAAAAGCTCTTTGGAGACGCTTTCTGTGATCTTAAACTTGAGTACGTGCAGCAACGCGTCATGCAGGTAATTGTCCACTTCTTCTGTTGAAAGAGAAACGGTCTCTCCTGTTGGCTCTGCAAGTTGTCCGGAACTAACCTCTGTCACACCCTCGGAATGATTATCGTTGACGTTGTTGAGGTTTCTATCGCTGCTTTCTTTTGCTGGTGCTTTCCCTTTAACATCACTAAGTGAAGTGTTTTCAAGCTCGTGTACCAACTCATTATCCTTCGCCTCTACACTATCTTCCAGCTTCTCACCTTTATCTTCATCACTGTCCTCGTCATATTCATCACCAAGTGGAGGCTTGGAAGTATCTGCATAGTCTGCAGGGAAATCTGGTTTGTTACCCATGGCCCAGAGTTGATCTTGATGAACATGCAAAATATGGACTGCCTTGCCTTTAGGCGATTGACTGTGTTTAGAAGAAATGATCTCTTGACCAGAAAGAGCCATAGTTCCAATGGCGAGCGGATATTTGTTTCCTCGGGCAAGGATAGTGACAAGTGCGCCTTCTTCCAGATCAGGAACATGTACGCCATGGGTAGTTATTACTCCTGGGATCATTAGATCGGCACCATTGCGAAGCTTATCCACAACAGGATTCCATGTCGTAAGAGCAGGAATCAGGTTGGGTAGTTGCCAAAGCATGTAGACTAAATAACGGTAATAGTAAAACAATGATGGCCTCTTACTAAGCTCTCTTCTATTTCTTGTATAATTACCGATAAGCTAAATAAAAGATTTTTTTTATTCTTTTACCTGTAGGAACAATTAAAGAATCCTTCTTGTTACTGCTGTTGCCGGAAATTTTAAACCACAATGGCGTCCCTTCCGCATCAGTGTAGAGTGTCCCAGGTTCTTCAATATAGGAGGTGAACTTTGCAGACTGCAGGCCTTCTGGGGCGATGATGGCATTGATAGGTGTGTCATTAATAGGAGGCATCTCTCGCAAAGAAGGAAAATTGGCAAGTATTTCATCTCTGAGGCGACGTCTGTCGCTAGAGCGTAGAGGCGAGAATGACTTGAGCGAGGCAACAGGTTTTTTGAACATGGCTCATGAAATGTAGAGAGGATTGAATTGCCAGACGTGAAAAAGAAATGAAAGAAGAAAAGAAAAAAAGAGACAGGCCCAACGTCTTTATTTAGTTACACTAATTGTTTTTAGTTTTAAATGTGCTGCGGCTGCAAGTCTGCATTCAAAAATTGCGTCAAACAGTCATAGAGCACACCGAGAAGGCTAAAATCGGTACATTCAAAGCTCAAAAGACCATGGAGACTCTTCCAATTGATAAAGAGTAAGGTAAGCCTCCTAGGCTGCGGAAGGAGCTCAAGATCTAGGGACATGCCAAGAATCTACGCTTATGGCAAAGCAGTATGGCTTTTTTCAACCAAGACAGAGATATGGATAGAGGAGGATGTAAAGCCCAGTCCAAGACCACCTTGTATCCAGTAACACACCCGATAGCCGCCTATCTCATCGTGCATGATCTGGGGCACAACAGAGCCAAAGATCAGGAAAAAGGAAATGTTGTAATAATGGAAACAGTGGCTTGATCCTTTCTGGGAAAGAAATAAAATATTTAAGAACTCAAGTGATAGCCCACCATGCCTCATCCTGTTGCCCTTTCAATAGATTCATTCATTTTACACAAATCTTATAGACACTCATAGGCAGCATGTCTTACCCAGACTATGCCATGTCGCAAGGAGGCGACGAGGATGGTGGCTTCGACTACCTTGAATTCGAAGCAGGTACTCAAGACTCACAATACGAGTATAACGACTATGGCATGGCCTCACAGACTCAACACAATGATGGTACTCAAGACGATTTAAATTTTATGAACCTTTCTTTGAGTGGTGGACCTCAATCTCAATCCGAACTTGGCAGACATGATGATAGTCCTGGGAACGGAGAACATAAGGGCGCTGAAGAAGTGGACGAACAAGATGGAGGTGATCAGCCTTTGGCACTGACCGAACTCCCCCCTCATGCATGCAAGTACGTAGTTATTCTTTACTTTTCTTTACTTTTTTTTTGTTTTTTGTTTTTTTTGTTTTTGTTGGCACAACGTCTATCTTCAAGGAACATTGGCTGCTATATCATGGATTAATAACATGGTACTATATAATATGTCCTCCTCTGAATAGATATTGCGGCATCCACTCGCCTGCTTCTGTTGTCAAGTGTGAAACATGTAAAAAGTGGTTTTGCAACTCACGTGGAAACACTTCTGGCTCACATATCATTAATCATCTCGTTCGTGCCAAGCACAAGGAGGTCGTGCTACACGCCTTGTCACCCTTGGGAGAGACCACGCTCGAATGCTATAACTGCGGATGCAAAAACGTATTTTTACTTGGCTTTATTCCCGCCAAAAGCGATACTGTTGTAGTCTTACTCTGTCGGTAAGCCTTCTTTTCTTATACCTGACTTATGAGCAATATTGTAGATGCTGTAGAAATTTACAGCTAAAATCATTTTCTTGTCTAAAATTTCCACCTGCTGGATTTAGTCAACCATGCGCCTCCATGCCAAGCAGCAAGGATATGAATTGGGATACATCCCAATGGCTTCCTTTGATTGATGACAGGTGCTTTTTATCATGGCTCGTCAAGATTCCACCAGAGCAGGAACAACTTCGAGCACGTCAGATTACTGCAATGCAAATTACAAAGCTTGAGGATCTCTGGAGAGAAAATCCGAACGCTACTTTGGAGGATCTTGAACGACCAGGAGCGGATGACGAACCGCAGTCAGTCTTGACAAGGTTGGTATATACAATTTTATATAGCCTATCATTGATTGTGCAGTTTTTTATTTTATTTTTATTTTTATTTTTATTTTTATTTTATTTTTTTGAACCAAGTAATCTACGGTAGCAATAATACTAAATCTAGCATTTTTCTATCATAGATATGAGGATGCATATCAATATCAAAATATTTTCGGACCTCTTGTCAAGATGGAGGCTGATTATGATAAAAGGCTTAAGGAATCACAGACACAGGACGGCATCACTGTTACGTGGGATATGGGGTTGAATCAAAAACGCGTTGCCTGGTTCGCGTTTGCAAAATTCGAGGAATTACGTCTGGCTGTCGGGGATGAACTTCGTCTCCGATACAATGGTGAATTGCGCAAGCCTTGGGAATGTACTGGTCACGTCATCAAGCTGCCCAATAGTATGTGAGCTCTGATCCTTTCAAGCATTAACAATAATGTTAATACCGAATATCTGAATGCATTCTCACTTTTCTTTTCTTTTTTTTTAGATGTCAGTGATGATGTAGGACTTGAGCTACGAAGAAGTGATGATACACCAGTGGAGATCAACCATAATTTTTCAGTAGACTTTGTGTGGAAATCGACTAGCTTTGACCGCATGCAACTGGCTATGAAGACTTTTGCGGTAGATGAATCTTCTGTGAGCGGTTATATTTACCATCGACTCTTAGGACATGAAGTAGAGTCTCAGATCTTGAAAACTCAAATGCCTAAACGGTTCTCTGCACCTAATCTACCTGAGCTCAACCATTCGCAAGTATTTGCTGTAAAGAGTGTCCTTCAGAAGCCTCTCAGTCTTATTCAAGGCCCCCCAGGCACTGGAAAAACGGTTACTTCAGCTTCATTGGTGTATCATCTTGCCAAGATGAATATGGGTCAAGTCTTAGTTTGCGCACCTAGTAACGTGGCTGTCGATCAGTTAACCGAAAAAATCAATGCAACGCGACTTAAAGTAGTACGCATGACTGCAAAATCGCGTGAGGCTCTGGATTCGCCTGTCAAGGCACTTACTTTACACGAGCAAGTTATTAATAACGACACAAACCCTGAGCTTCAAAAACTTATCCAACTCAAGAACGAGCAAGGTGAATTGAGTAGTAGTGATGAGAAGAAGTATAAGGCATTGAAGAAACAGTGCGAACGTGAGATTTTGAGCGTAAGTTAAAAAAAATTGAATATGGTCAACCGCTTGGTCAAAGCATTTTTATACGAGCCTAAATTCGAATACTCTATCATCCTATTTAGAACGCTGACGTCATTTTGTGCACCTGTGTCGGTGCTGGAGACCCTCGTTTGTCGAAACTCAAGTTCAGGACAGTGCTGATTGATGAGGCAACTCAAGCGACCGAGCCTGAGTGCATGATCCCTCTTGTTTTGGGAGCAAAGCAGGCTGTTCTCGTGGGTGATCATCAGCAACTCGGCCCTGTCATCATGAATAAGAAGGCTGCTAGAGCAGGCCTTTGCCAATCACTTTTCGAGCGTCTGATTATCTTGGGTCTGCACCCGATTCGTCTTCAGGTTCAATATCGTATGCATCCATGTCTTTCCGAATATCCTAGCAATATGTTTTATGAAGGATCACTTCAGAATGGTGTCACCACCGCAGAGCGTTTAAGGAAGCATGTGGACTTTCCATGGCCTGTAGCAGAGTCACCCATGTTCTTCTACTCGTGTCTTGGTCAGGAAGAGATTTCATCTTCAGGAACATCATATCTTAACCGTACAGAGGCTTCCAACTGTGAAAAGGTTGTTACCAAGTTTCTCAAATCTGGTATCCTACCTCAGCAGATTGGAATTATTACACCATATGAAGGCCAACGTTCTTATTTGGTGAACTACATGGGTTTTAACGGCTCTATGCGCAAAGAGCTCTATAAAGAAATTGAGGTTGCTAGTGTTGATGCTTTCCAAGGGCGAGAAAAAGACTATATTATTGTCAGCTGTGTTCGCAGTAACGAGCATCAGGGTATCGGTTTCTTGAATGATCCTCGTCGGTTAAATGTCGCTCTCACACGTGCACGGTATGGTCTAGTTATTTTAGGTAATCCCAAGGTTCTCAGCAAGGTAAACAATCACCGCTTGTAGTTTCTTTTCTTTTCTTTTCTTTTCTTAAGTAGGATTAACGTCGGGTCATGACCAATATGGAGGAATTTGTTTTATATTAACACTGTTTTATGTGAAATAATAGCATCCACTTTGGCATCATTTGCTCGTCCATTACAAAGAACTTGACTGCCTAGTAGAAGGACCATTGAACAATTTGAAGATCAGTATGATTCAGTTCAGCAAACCACGTAAGGCATACAATCCAGATGAGCGATTTCTTAATGGTCAAGCCCATGCTGTCGATGCTCGAGAGGTGTTTGCGCGACCTCCCTTGGCAAGTACAGGTATGAACTGCATGTTTTTTTAATTTGGACACAGTTTGATTGTTACTAAATGTAAAGCTGACACGGGTTTATTTTAAAAATTGCTTAGCACGCCGGGGCAACAGCCAATATGTATCGGAATACTCGAGTAGCTCTTCTCGATACAACAGTAACACCGGCCAGCCTAATGTTGGATCACAGGCTCCGTTCACTCAAGATTTGTCCCAGTCTTCTTATGCTGGAGGCCGCAAGAGTGGCAAATTGGCTGGTTTGAGTAACAACAACAATAATAACGGCATCAGCTCTCGCCCATTGACTCAGAATACATATTCGTCACAGGCATCCATCGGTATCTCACAATCAGATCGTCTTCATGGCGTACAGAACCATCATGGTTTAGGACATGGAATGAGTTCATTGATGAGTCAGGAGAGCATGGGCTATTTGGATGATTACAAGTCTCAGCAGGATGATTATCTGAGCCAGGATTCGTTTGCACCCAATGGATTCCAATCCCAGGGTTTTACACAGTATTAATAGCTGTTGATAAGGAGTCATACCAGGATATTCTCCCAACCTTTTATCTGGCACCTGACTGCGGGAAAAAAAAAAAAAAAGGAAGAAAGCCTCCAGAAATGCACAGCACCCTCAGCATATACCGCCCGCAAAAAACTTAAAACAAAAAAAAAAAAAAAACAAAAAAAAAAAAACAAAAAAAAAACGAAAAAACACAACTACTTGCAAAAGATTACAGTTTAAAAGGAGAGAAGGGAGGATTGGGGGCGCTGGCAGGGAGCAGAAAAAAAGAAAGAGGAATAAGTGCACTTCCCGTCTATTTGGGTTTAGTCCAATCGTTCAAGAGAGTATCCATCCGAGGCTCTTTCGTCGACTGTTTTCTTTTCTCTTTTTTTTTGTTCTCTCTTTGTGGATTTTTTATCTTGGCAAGAATTGTGGTTATGTAGAGCTGCCAAGCCTAGTGTTCAACATTCTCGAGCCTTTTTGCTTTACTCGATCCTGTTGTTGCTGTTTTTTTGGTACGCTGGTTAGGAAAGGGGGCTTGCCTAAACTAAAGCTCGCTGAGTCTCAAGTACCATGATCGGTTGTCTCCTGTGAAATATGAGGATTCCATTTTTGAAATAAAACAAAATAAATAAAATAGAAATCTATTTGATTTGCGTGCACTGCGAATGAAATGGCGATGAGGGTCTAGGTCAGCAAAGGCAAAGGCAAAGTCATCGTCATCAAGCACTTGGAGCATGTCATTAATATTGACGGATACAGTGCTGACAATCAAAGCAGGGCGATTACAACTGATTCCGAGTCTCATTTTAATTGGCGGTAGCGGTGACAACGTGCACAAGCAGTAAGCGTTGGTTGGGCAACACTTTCCTTACTTTATTTGCCACATTCTCTTTTTCTCTCTTTTCTTTTCTTTTGCATTTTTCATTTCTCCATTTCTTTCCTCTCTCGTGGACAGGTATTTCAGCATCAGAATTCAAGATATCGACAGGACAATACCAAGAAATACGAAAAAAAAAAAAAAAAAAAAAAAAAAAAAGATCATTCTATCATGAATACCGTCTCTGAAAAGTACGCCTATTCTTCTCCACATCAAGCTCAGACTGACGAAGTATCTATATTCAGGATCCTAGGAACAATAACCATTTGTCTCATCGTCATCGGCTCTGTCTTGGCCTTCTGTATCATGTGGATTGTTCGAGTTGGCAAGGCTGAGCACGCAGAAAAACAAGCCAAACTGGCCAAGAAGCAGGATTAAGTAGTGCTCAGAGCAAGACAAACAAAAGGACATTCAAACTTGCGTGGCTTCATTTGTCATTAATCGTCAGGTATCTTTATACACTATCTCATTCACTTCAGCTTCTATAGAAAATGATACAATATATACTTTTATAGCTATTTCTCGATTATTTTTTTTTTTTTTTTTTTTTTTTTTTTTTTAGCCAGAAGCTTCTTGATCAATTTGAGAATCCAAAAGATGTTTAGAGGTTAGTAAAGGTGATGGCATAGCTGATGTTGTTGTTGATTCTTCAGCGGAGAGCTTGACAGAATGAGGATAAAGAGCTCGATGAATATCTCCCCACCACGTACGACCATGCTCCTTAAACCATGCAACTAAAAGTAGAAGATTAATTAATGGAGAAAAGAATACTACTTAGTAAAATAACCAAAGGCTCTGCATAAAAGTAATAATAACAATAGAGGTAGTAGTAGAAAGCTTACTTGTTTTTCTAATCCCAATTTCGAATGGTACTTTAGGAGACCATCCTAGACTGATAAGCTTGCTGACATCAACAGCGTACCGAACATCATTAAAAACACGATCTTCAACAAAAACAATCCTATCAGAGCACTCTTTGCATTCCTTCAAATGCTGAACAACTTCGTCTTGTCTAGGGCCTGAATAGTCCCGACTACGCCCTTCAACTCCCACTAATCCTTCTCCAATTTCAGGTAATTGCGATTGGTTCAGAATATCGTTGTTGCTACCTGAAATGATGCTGTCCTTCGAGCGATCGGGAGTCCGGATTATCAAGCGATGGATCAAATCCTGAGCGAGCTCCAGATTGCAGGTTTCATGTCCACCTCCAATGTTGTACACTTGCCCAATCTCACCACGGTGCAAGATCACGTCCAATGCATTGGCCACATCGGTCACATATAAATATGTCCTAGAGTGCCGTCCAGACCCATGGATATAACAGTATCCTCCACCACTATGGCTATATCGCTTGCCGTTGCTGTTGCTTTTGTTATCGTGATCATGAGAACCACTACTACCATTGCTGATATTATTGGCGCCGCTAATGTAGCTATGACTAAGGCCATTATTGATGTTGTTGCCATCAACGAGACTCATGATGAACTTTGGAAATATCTTTTCTGGATACTGAAAAGGTCCATAAATATTATTGCTTCGGGTAATGATCACAGGAATACGAAATGATTTGTGATACGCCTGAACCATACATTCTGCTGCTGCTTTGGTCGCAGAATATGGGTTGGAAGGCGCCAATGGAGCGTCTTCTTTAGCATCGGGCTATAAGAAGTAATGTTAATAGATATTTAAAGTTAGAATCATACCAAAAGAGAAGTAAAGCAAGCGAAAAAAAAAAAAAAAAAAAAAAAAAAAAAAACCCGTCATACTTTACCAGACCAAACGGAACGGCTCCGTAGACTTCATCCGTGGATACAAAAATAAATCGCTTCATGCTATCTATTGACTTGACAGTATTAATTGATTTTCCATCGCCTCCACGAACAGGAGGACAAAACACTTTGCGAGTAGCCTCGAGCATAACATGGGTCCCCAAGACGTTATTCGTAGTGAAATCGATAGACTCTCCAAACGACTTGTCTACATGTGTCTGTGCGGCCATATGAATGACTGTATCAATTTGATACTCCATCATAGCATTCTGTACTGTGTCCAGATCGGTTATGTCCCCATGGATAAATTTGAAGTTTGGATATGGTTTCAAGCTTGTACGACCACTATTCTCTGTCATTTTTATGGCTCCTTGAGCTGATGCTGTTGATAATGTAGTCTTGACGTTCAATAGCTCATCTATTGTACTGGAAGATGGGTGCCTTGGATGGGATCCAGGGGGAAGGAAAGGATAAAGATTGTTGAGAGAACTACAATAATCCAACTTGTCGAGTACAAGAACAAAGTACTCCGGGTAGTTAAGGACCAGTTTCCTGACAAGAGCAGAGCCTCTAGAAATAGTGTCAAATGTCATTAGTTTTCATATTGTAACCCGTATCACCTCAACTGAAATTAAAAAAAAAAAAAAAAAAAAAAAAAAAGGGAGAATGAGAGAATGAGAGAATGACGAGGAAACCTCATCATAAAGGAAATAAGTATCTCTCTACACTCACATAAACCCTGCTCCTCCTGTCAAAAGAATCCTTTTTGTATAGACACCATCGAAGTTACAAGCTGCACCAGATGAAGCAAGTGAAGCAGGCGAATCGTTGCGTCCAAGAAGGTCAGTATGAATGTCGTCTAAAAGTGCATCCTGAGAATTCATCGCTGGGGCATGGCTGGAATCCCAGGGATGACAATGAGAGATGAAGTGTATATTAATTAAACTGAAAGGAAGAAAAGAAAAAGAAAGATGTGCGAAAAGCAAATTGGCCGTTTCAGCAACATTTGTTCCCGACCCCTGCAGTGACTGTCGGTATGTATAGCCCACATTTGACGTCTATAAAAAAAATTGTACGTGGTATCCAAAGTCCTTTATTCTTAGGTTCAATATCACGGAAAATACTTTAAACTGGGCTTCTTAACAGTCATCTGCAAAAGCTTGTTGGTACTTGAGATTGGCCTCTTTGACACTCCTTAGTTGCTCTGGAATGTGACTCCTTCTGGATTTCTTCTTGCCCTTGGACTTCTTGGGTGCCCTGACCACCATCACAGGAACAGATGAGTTGTGGACCAAGAAGTTACTAATGGATCCTAGAAGCAGTCTGTTATCGAGAAAGTGGTTATTCTTAGTATTTTGTTTTTATGCTCAGGTGAAAACATTATAGGATATCTCAGCTTACCCTTTAATAGCGCCTCGGCCACGCGACCCTACAATGACCGTGGACAGATCTTCTAAATCATCAATCTTGAGTATAAAAAAATAAAATAAAAATAGTAAGTCAGCATCCATAGTGCGTCAATCCTTGAAAAAAAAAAAAAAAAAAAAAAAAAAAAGTTTTAATATGGTATCAACTTCTCCATTACCATTTCAATCAATAGCTCCTTAGCTCCCATTGACTTAGTTGCCGCAACAATATGGATAACTACTGTAATGTCTCGTAAGCAAGTGTGTTCCAGCTGCTCATGAATATTCTTTGTCAGCTTTTCAGCATCCTCGCGCATCTCTATTTGAATTCCCTTCTTGACACCTTTGTTGTTGTCTATAAACGAATAAATGAACGATAAAAGAAAAAAATGAGCATCGTTTTTTCATGGAGCACAAAGTTCCTTGTAAAACTATTGATAATAGCTTGTTTCTATTTACCATTCTTCTCGTCTTCTACAATGGTGACAACGTTCATTTCGTCTCCGTTACGAAGAATAGTTGTGATAGTCCACTCAGTAGCATGCCAGCTCTCTCCTGATAGATCCGTGGCCACCATGTAATTTTTACGACCACGAGTAGACCTCTTCTGATCTTGTTCTTCCATGATAGAGTTACTATCAGTCCCATGGTCCTTCCCAGCATATTTGAGTGTAATGCGTGTCCGAGCTGGGTTCTTGGCAGTCTCGACAAGACATGGAAGTGCAATGTGCGGTTTAATAGGCTCTTGTAGACGTTCTAGCTGAGATGGTGTTATAGAGTCAGCGGAGGCGATTGTATCTGTTCCAGTGCTCATTGAATCCTGGTTGGCTTCGCTTCCTTCTTCCATGTTACTTTGCGATATTTTAGGTTGGGACTGAGATACTGGTGTTCCAGATACAGTAGAAGCGGTGGTGGCACCGCCAAGCTCCATATTGGCCATGCCTTGCGCTAGTGGATTGGATGATGCCGTAGTTTCACTGTCGTCGTCTTCAATCGAGTCATCCTCCTGCTCCTCATCGTCATCATTGTCCTGCTCCTTGTCCTTCTTCTTCTCTGAAGCAGACTTTAATTTTATAGTACCATCGAGTGCTTCTAGCCGTGGATCCAAATGTTTAAAATGATCTTCATCTTCGTCGTCTTCAGCTTTTTTATCGCTCTCTTGAAATTTATCGTCACTTCCTGAGTCCGATTCCTCTTCAGAGAAAAGGTCTGGTTCTTTTGAAGGCTCTCCACGACCTTTACTCAACTTTTTCTTTTGGTAACTTCTGACTGATGCTGGCGAGAGAGGCATTGCTTGAGAGGGCTCTTCGCCCTCAGCGTCAGCGGGCGCTGACTGAGTGGTGCTGATGGCTAGGTCTTTTGCAGACATGTCAATGGGCTAGGTTGATGTTGGTAAGTGTAATGGCAGAAAATAAAGAGGTGACAAGGTTTGCTGTTCTGAGACCTTTTTGAAAAATTTGTGTTACGCCTTTCTTTATCTTTCTCGCAACTGAACAATTCGCTGAATCCCGCATAAAGAATGATCAGCATGCATTCACAATACCTAGCAGTGTCTAGGATAGTGGGAGTGAAAACAGCAGCAAGGCCTATAGGTTTATGGACGGCCTCATCCAGATTCTGGACTTCAACACTTTATCAGGGTCGAGCCACACCAAGATGTTTATCTACTATAACACCCACTTCACCAATCGTTCACGAATGGACACAACCAAATAGAAACATCATAAAGGGCCGCTGGGAGCCGATCATTGGTTTAGAAATTCATGCACAGATTAAGTCATCCACAAAACTGTTTTCGAATTCAAAAACTTCCTTCCTCGCAAATACCAATACAAATGTTTCGTTAATCGACGCCGCCTACCCTGGCACTCTCCCTGTAAGTGAAAAAAAAAAAAAAAAAAAAAAAAAAAAAAGACAGGGTACCGATTTATCAAACAAAAAATCTCACATCCCTTTACCGATATGAGTAGCAATTGAGCCAAGAATGTGTTGATTTGGCTGTCAAAACATCCTTAGCACTGGATGCACATGTTTATCCAGTTTCATCTTTTGACCGAAAGCACTACTTTTATCCAGATCTACCTCAAGGGTACCAGATCACACAACATTACGGTAACGTCTCTCCTTCCTTTTCTCAACAGCATAAGAGCATGCTTACTATTACTATTATTATAATGCTTCCGAACCGTAAACCCTTAACTATTATAGACTTATCCTTTTTCTTTTTTTATTATCATCGTCGTTACATTGACTTTAGAACCATTGGCGCAGAATGGAAAAATAGTTATTTCACCACTCGATGGTTTAGATTACACACTTGTCGTTGGCATTGAGCAGGTTCAACTCGAACAAGATACTGGTAAATCACTTCACGACATTTACCCAGGCTTGACACTCCTGGACCTTAACAGAGCGGGTGCAGGATTAATGGAAATAGTTACAAAACCTCATTTACGCTCATCAAAGGAGGCTGGAATCCTCATCAAAAAATTACAGGCACTTTTGCGCGCAGTAAATAGTTCTGATGCGAATATGGATGAGGTAAATGGATATTCTAGGTATCAAAAAAAAAACGAAAAAAAATTCATAACAGGTTGATCTGACTATTCTATCTGATTTTTTATTCCCTCCCATATAATCCTATCCAGGGATCGATGCGATGCGATGTGAATGTTTCTGTTCATGAAATAGGGAAGCCATATGGCGCGAGATGTGAAATCAAAAATTTGAACAGTATCAAATTAGTCAGTGATGCCATCGGTAATACTCTCGCTCTTTAAAGAAGAAATCTGTTTGCCGGATTCACTATCAAGTAGCAGGGGGTTCTTATCAGTCCCATTTAAATTTTTAGATGCAGAAATCAATCGTCAGATTTCATGTTATGAATCTAATTTTCCTGTTTCCCAGGAAACTCGTGGATTTAATGCGTCGACGGGCGAGACATTTAGGATCCGTAGCAAGGAATCAGCACCTGACTATCGGTATATGCCTGAGCCTGATCTACCTCGGCTTGTTCTCAGTCACGATACAATACAAGCATTGAAGGAGAACTTACCAGAATTACCGGATGCTCGAAGGGATAGGATCATGCATCAATACCAACTTGGAACGATTGAGGCACGCACTTTGATGGGTGAGGATAGAATGGTCGAGTATTTTGAAAGTATTGTTGCTTCAGGACGCAATACCAAGAGTGTTGTCCGCTGGTAAAGGAGAATTACTTTGGAGAAATCAATCTTTTTTATTATTATTATTATTATTATTTTCCTACTTTGTGAATAGTCTGATATACTTGTTTGAGGTAAACTAATATCAAAACATGCCAATGATAGGATAATCCATGAACTTCTGGGGAGACTGCATACGCGTGACATCAGCTTCAGTGATAATGTTGTTAAAGCCTCACAATTGGGCTCGCTTGTAGACTGTATCGATCAAGGAATCATCTCAGCTAAGATTGGTAAGACGGTTTTGGACCTGATGGTCGAAGGTGATTCAAGAGATGCCCTTGCGATTGCAGAAGAAAGGGGTTGGAGACAAATGAGCGGCCGAGATGAGTTAGAGAAGTTGTGCGATACTATCCTTTCAAAATATCCCGACAAAGTGAAGGCGATAAAAAACGGGAATGCTGGCATTATTGGCTTCTTCATCAGCCAGATCATGAAGCAGAGTCAAGGGCGAGCCAACCCTGTAGTTGTAAGTGAATTATTGAAAACTAAGATGGGTGTACTTGATTTACCCTCAGGTCCTAAAGGACGCGGTAGTAAAGGTGGCACACCGTAAATAAATTCGCCGAGCGGAAAACTTAAAATTACAAAATGAAGATTTTTTTGATGCCATCACTCAATTTGTAGGACAATGCGTAGATCATTCCTCCTTAAACTCTTATGTTTGTTTTCTTCTCAAAAGTAAGCCTCAAAGGCTCCAGAATGGATTATATAGTCATATAGTCATAGCGTTAATTCCCATATTACTTGCAGGGACAGGTGATGCAATAAATAAACTGGGTACCAAAAGCCTCTGAAGAGTCTAGATTAGAGGTAAATATGTTGCGAGTCAGCAAAACGGCCTAGAAGAGTCGAGATACTGTTAACCTATTTGAGAGAAGTCATTAGTAATTATTTTATTATTTTTTTTTATCACAACAAGAGAGAAGATTTACTTACGCCGGTACTCTGATGGCAGTCGTTGCACTATGATGTGGATTGTATTCTTTGATGATTTATTCCCTTGAGTTGAGTAAAAGAGAGAAGCCCCTCTTTGTCTTCGATGGAGTCGAGTATCACCGCACTGCGATTTTTTTCTATAAGTGGTAGTGAAACGCGCCAGAGTGAAAGCTACTTTGCTTCCATTCCTCCGAAGGTCTTAAGGCATTTCGAATGGGTGGATTCTTTTAGGTCATAGACTGTTTTTGGTGTATCCCAGTAAACCTCGATAGAAAATGCATCGAAGATAGACTCCCCCTCAACCAAGCAAAATAACGGGACATAACCCATTGTGATTTATGCTCATGAGAGAAGAAAGAAAGAGAGGAATATAAAGAGGGAAGTAAAGAAAGTAGAGGAAGGAAGGAAGGAAAGGAAGGAAAGAAAAAAGTGAAAGTACAAGGAAGTTTTGGCGAAGACGCCAACAGAAACATGTGGCCATGGTGCCAAAGGTTCGATAAATTATCACATGATTAGATATCAAAACAATTGCCTCCACTTTCACTTTTCAGTTTCCCAACCACACATCTTCTCACCTTTGAGTCTGATCAGTCATGGCTAAGATTGAAAGCTCATTGAAACGACAACGGGAGGATGAGCAAGAGCAGGTCCAAAGTCAGGACTTGGTTGTGCCACGCAATAAGATTATCTCGTCGCTCCACGGTGTACCTGACAAAACAGAGTGAGTTTTAACCAGGAAGTCGTAGATATGGTTATAGATGACCTTTTTTTTAGTACTTAATGCTTTATTTATTTATTTCCGTAGGTATCAGCATGGAGCCATCATGAAGGTTTCAATGAAGAATTTTGTAACATACGAATCCTGCTCGTTCTCGCCAGGGCCAAATTTGAACATGATCATCGGACCAAATGGCACAGGAAAGAGTACTATTGTGTGTGCATTGGCGTTAGGACTCGGCTGGAATACCAACGTAAACCCTGCAGCTTTTTTTTTTTTTTTTTTTTTTTTTTACTCTTTTTATTTTTAAATATATTTATATATTTAGAATATCAAAGGATACTGACAGAAAAAACGGTTTATATTATAATAATGAACAGCTGTTGGGTAGAGCAAAGGACATTTCAGAATTCGTTAAGCATGGATATGACAAGGGCTGGATTGAGATTGTTCTTTGTAACAGAAATGGTTCAAATGTCGCTATCAAGCGCCACATCAACAAAAATAACAACACAAGCGTGTGGAAAATTAACGGTGAGATGATGAATGAATAACTAGTGGGTACCTTACCCATTTAAAAACAATGGAATGGTATGTTGAAATCTCTTTTTAACATCCGCATTATATTTATCATTAAAAAAAAAAAAAAAAAAAAAAAAGGAGAGAACAAGACACAGAAAGATGTCATGAAAAAGGTTCAATCATTTGATATCCAAGTCGATAATCTCTGGTGCGTATTCGAAAACTACCATTGTCCAATGTATTTTGACCTTGCTAGAATTATACACCGTGCTGACATTTTCTATACCTTTTTTATTGTCTAGTCAATTTCTTCCGCAGGATAGGGTCTCAGAGTTTGCGCAGATGACACCGCAGGAACTTTTAAAGGAAACGCAGCGGGCTGTAGGAGGCGAAGAGTCACTTCAGGCTCACCAAAAGATGATTGAATTATGGAATGAACACAAAGCCATCACTGCATCCATGAAGGGCGACCTCGAGTCCATTGAGACAAATGAAAAGCGTAACGCTGTCATTGAGAAAGATGTTATGCGATTCCAGCAACGTGAAGCAGTATTACGAAAAGTGCGATTGCTGGAGATCTGGATTCAGTATGCTCAATATGGCGTTGCAAAAGAGCAGTATAATCAAGTTAAAGAGGAGCGTCGAGTTTGTTTTGCAATGTTCAAGCAACTTCAAGCAGAAGTCGAGCCATTGACAGCCAAGCGCAGGTAAGCAGACGTTTGTAGGAATGAGATGAACAAGGCCATTGTTGCGTAACTGCAATCACAGAGCCTAATATAGTATCTAATTATTGTCGACGGCCTTTTAGCACAATGGAGGCGAATGAAAAGGATTTTGCGAACCAAAGGAATGTTTTAGACAAAAAATATCAGCAATCTGTCCAGACAATGAGATCTCGTGAACAAGCGATCGAAGCAACAGTATGCAAACTGAATTTTAAGTTAAAACAATACTGGCATCTATTGTAACTGGCTCATCATCGATTACACACTAACACAGGCTCTTTGGTGGTTCCCATTACAATTATAAAACAGGAAGGTGACGGAGAAGAGCTCAGGAAGGATCTAGACAGACTTCACGCCAAAGTTCAACAGCGACAAGCAGCGATCAACTCCCTTAGGCGCAAAATTGCTGCTCAGCAAGAGCTGCTGGACGGCGCTCAGTCAGAAGAAGAGATCAACAAAGAGAAGGATGAGCTCCAAGACAAGTTGGTATGTCCCACTTTGGCCTTTTTGATAGGTTCCTACTGTGTTCCAATTCTTCGGAATGGATTAACTGAAATGTCAACCATTATTGAATATCATTGAATTACAGGTTGCCATGCAGGCTGAAAATCGTGAGACAAAAGATAGGATCGAAGTTTTGCAGGCACAGCAGACGGAAATAATAGAGCAAAGCAAGAGCTTGAATGCACGAATGGTCGAGAGTCGAAAGCGCTTGGATGCCTTGGATGATATCAGGAACAGAAGGCTACAGACGCTGCGGAACCAGGATAGCGATGTCTTCGATGCCGTCCTCTGGCTGCGAGACAATCGTCAGCTGTTCCAGAAACATGTATTTGAGCCTGTTTGTCTTGAAGTCAATATTAAAAATATGAAGCATGTTAATGCTATCGAGAGCGCCCTTAGGAATCATCTAAAGGTATGTCTAACATTATCTTCACAGTATTAAATGCGTTTCCTATCGAGAGGTACTCTCTAATGTTTAATTTGCTTGTTTTGCTCTTTGTGGTATTGTCAGACCTTTATTTGCCAGACAAGAGAGGATTACAATATCTTTGCACGCGAAATCCTAGACAAAAGAAGACTCCGTGTCAATGTGATAGCACCAACGGCAAAAGAATTAGATATCAATAATTATTCTCCCCCAGTTCCAAACAACCAGCTGAGACACTTTGGATTCGACTGTTACATGCTGGACTCTCTCGATGGACCGCCAGCACTTCTAGCATCTCTGTGCTCCAAGGCTGGAATCCACTCTATCCCTGTCTCAGAGAGTTCAAATGTGGATTTCAAGGCTATACGTGACAGCAAAAAGTTCAAGCGATATGCCACATCAACTACAGTATTTACAATCACTTATTCGAGACACACTGGCGAAGCAATGGAGACAGCTACACAACTTCGACCCGCTCAAATTTTCACCGCATCAGTTGATCATGAAGAGCGTGCAAGGTTGATTCGCGATGTGGATGATATTCGATCGCGTTTGGAACAAAGTGAGGGCAGGATTCGTGATTTGACTGCTGAAGAAAATGTGCTGCGCAAGAAGCATCAGGAGTATGTGGCCAAAAAGGAAGTTTTAAGCAACAGACGCAAAGATTTAATGCTGGTTCTGAAACGAAACGAAAAGCAGAGGATCGATATGGGAAATCTAACAAATGAATTGAATCGAAAGATGAATGAGCCTTCGTCTGATCAGGAGGAGGAAAGAATCCGCCAGGAGCTACGTAAAAAGGCCAAGAAGCGCTGTTCACTGACCCTAGAGTACTTGGAGCTCGCAAAAGAAAGCCAGCAGCTGTTCTCTAAACTCACAATCGCAACATTAAACCGTCTGCAAGCTCACGCGGAACTTCAAGCAGTAGAGGCAGAGTGTACAGAAAAAGCACGGCAGCTGAAAGAGATGGAGGATCGATATACTTTAGGTAAGAAAATCATCCTTGGCAATGACACACACAGGCACACAGCTGTTAAAAAAACTGCCTGCAACATACCAAAAGTTTTGTGGTGCATCCTAATTGACACTCCACTATTTACATCTAATTCCAGCAAATCGTGAGTATGATGAAGTAAAGATCCGAGCAAAAGCCATATTGGATGCCGCCAAAGAAGAATATAATAAGCTTACAATGGAAGAAGCTGCAGAGTTTCAAACGGTAAGCTATCGATGATCGCATTTTTATTTTTATTTTCAATAGCTTGTCTAAAAGAGCGTGAATTAGCATGGATCGGACGTCGATTGAAATCAGCCTAAAGCTAATTTTTATCCTGGTTTGTCAATTCGTTGGGATAGATCGGAAAAGGCCTTTCATTAGAACAGCTTGAAGACATGCTCGCTGGCGAGCAAGCCAAGGCAGCTCTTAATTATACTCCCAATCAATCCATTATTGATAAATATGAGCAGCGTCAAGCAGAAATCAAGACTGCTAAAGATAAAGTCGAAGTCAAGAACAAAAAACTCAACAAGATTGCAGCTGATATTGAAGCGATTCGTGGGCCTTGGTACGCGAAGCTTACAGAGACAGTGAGAAAAATCAGTGAGGGATTTTCTAAATCATTTGAACAGATTGGGTGTGCTGGAGAAGTCAAGTTGGGTGAACATGAGGACTATGACAAGTGGTGTATCGAAATTTTAGTGAAATTCAGAGATGCAGAAAAACTGCAGAAACTTACAGGGCAACGTCAATCCGGAGGAGAACGCTCAGTGTCTACGATCATGTACCTGATGGCTCTTCAATCCCTCTCTAAAGTCTCGTTCCGCGTAGTGGACGAGATTAACCAGGGTATGGATCCTCGTAACGAACGTCTGGTGCATTCACAATTGGTCGAGAAGGCGTGTGCATCTGGAACGGCGCAGTATTTCTTAATCACTCCTAAACTGTTACCCAATTTGGACTATCATGAACGCATGAAAGTACTCTGTATCTATAATGGAGAGTGGTTGGATGAAGGCGTGACGAAATGGAACCTTTTCATAGAGAATCAGCTACGGAGTAAAGCACGTAGGCAATATTAGGTCTGACTTGAAGGGCCTTGATGCCAAAAAATATAATGCAGTTCATTGTGCAAGCCCAGTTATTAAATGAGTTCCCCTGTAAAAAAAAAAAAAAAAAAAAAAAAAATCTATTTTATTTGAACAAGAAGTTGATTTGCCAATAGAATAATAATAAATAGTAAAGAGTCTGTTATTGTGGAGTATAATGATGCTGCTGCATCAAATGTTGATGTTGTTGCTGCTGTTGCTGCTGTTGTTGGTGTGATTGATGTTGTTGTTGATACTGTTGCTGTTGGTGCTGGTGTTGATACATTTGTGCATCCGGTGTCTGTTGATGCATTGTTTGTGTTGGTATCATGAAGTTGTAACCATGTCCCATCCAATTTTGCTGTTGTTGTTGATGTTGTTGCTGAACTTGTTGCTGAAGCTGCTGTTGCTGCTGCTGTTGAAGATGGAACTGAAGTTGATGTTGTTTTTGTTGCTGCTGCTGCTGCTGCTGCTGCTGTGCATACATTTGCTGCTGAGTTACTACATGTTGGAGCTGCTGCTGTTGTTGTTGCTGTTGTAACTGCAGCTGTTGTTGTTGAAATTGATGCTGAAATTGATGCTGAATTGAGCTTGGGCCATGGGGGGGCTGAAAAGACATTCGAGTAGACACACCTTGCACTGCCAAACCCGGAGGAGGGGTGGATATTGTATTATTGTTAACAGAGGCTGGGTGATTCATCACTATCCCTGCTGGTGCCCCTGATGTCCCTGAAAGGCCTGCTCCAAGTGGGGATGGCGTGGCTGGTGTTCCAGGCCGTGAAGGATTATTCTGGAATGTGGCATAAGAGGAAGATGTTGGAGTCGAGCTTCGAGGCCAGGGGGCTGGAAATTGTCCTGGAATGGGCTTCCAATTTGTTTTACGACCTTCATTATAGATATCCTCCAAAACTTCTTGAAAGAGACCGCTTTCCTTTAGCTCTAAATGTTTTTTATAAAGCGCTAGGGCTGTACGGGCATCCTCAATGGAGTTGTGTGTTTCAGACTGAATATCTTGATGAAGAAGATACCACACCAAGAAACGTAATGAAATTTTTCTAATTTGTTAAAAAAAAAAAAAAAAAAAAAAAAAGATTCAGTATCTTCATTCAGTTAAACCCTGCAGGAAGCAATTAAAGCTCATCTTGCTATACCTCTGTCTGTTCTTGATATGAAAAATATCTACTGTATCCTTGACTTGTTCTGGAGGTACAAGGATGTCTATTAAAAGTTCGAGAATGTTGAATGAATATTAGTAATTTTCTTGCTTGTTTAAGGTGGTATTTCTTGTTATAAGATAACATACTGATTATACGAAAGTCTTGTCTCAAGCCGTGTCCAACAAATATGCAGCCCATATCGACCAAAACACGAAGTCGCTTGTATGCGACTTTCAATGGCACAAGTGTGTGCTTTGACACATTAGGATCTAGGTCACCAGCTGCACAGTACATGTAAATAGACAGAACAGAGGTGTATGTATGATAAGTAAGCATTGGCGCTTCAAACCAACACTCTAAGCTTCAATCATAAGAGAGTTTTTTTACGTTGTATGCCAGAAAATTCGGTAAGGTAATCGACTACAGGTTCTGAAGTCGCAATATAATCATCTATGAAGGGCATGTATTCAAGCGGCCCTTCGTCTCCCCGAAGAACAGACACTCGCGCAAGACTCATTCTTGGTGGTCGAAGAAGAGATTTTGTACCATCACTCCTAATCTCAGTTTCTTCCTACAGAAACATATGAAAAAAGCAATTAATATTTTTGTGTATTAAAGAAATAAATAAATAATAAGAATATATCCCACTTACTCGACTTAGCGCAACGAACTCAGTGTCGATTGCAATTAGCATCGGTTGCCCAGGCTTGATCTCTTCAGGCCTCAGCAGCTGATAGAAGACATAGTTTGGATCACGGTATCTGTAGTGAAGACAATATTATTATTTAGGGTCTTATATATCTAAACTTTCCAGATCATTTTTTTCCCGTAACTTACTTGGAGATAGAGAGATCAACATGGAGAATGCTGGTGTCAAGCTCTGAGGCTGGCTCTGAAATAATAGGTGGATCCCCACCGCTGACTTTATTGTAATAAAAAATCGATGGTGCCTGTGCAGAAAGCAGTGAGGGTTGAGTTTAAATGTATTAACAGGAAAAAAAAAAAAAAAAAAAAAAAAAAAAAGGCAAAAACCCTTTACCTTCCAAGCACTAGGGAACTGCGATACTTCACCGTCTTGAACATTCTTGACCAAGAAGTCATTAAAAATGTACCATGACGATCGCTCCATGAGCTCGGGATCATTGTCAGAGTTCACTATGTTCAACGATGTGAATATTCTCACAATTTAGCGATTATAAAAAAATAAAAATAAAAAAAAGAAAAGGCATGACTTTTACCTTTGATGTGCGATACAAGATGCGCTACTTCATTAGCAAGCTGAACTTGACTCACTACCGCCTAATACAGTGTAAAAATAAAAATAAAATAAAAATAAAAATAAAAATAAAATAAAAAAATCCGATTATTCATTAAGGTAATTTCGTTAAACAATATCTTTAATTTACAAGATTATCAAACCCACTTACAGTCAATTCATATTCGGCACACAAAGAAAATTCTGAGCTATCCGCAGTTGTATTCTCAAATACGTGGACGCCTCTATCATCCACACCCACCGTAAACCTATAAAGAAAACTCAAAGCGCAGTTAGCCTTCATAATTAAGCTTCACTAAGAAGAGTATATTAACTGCAATGAATAGGCGACAGAGGTTCTTCTACATACCGTAAAGGGAGCCATTGTGAACCCTTTCCATTTTCGTCCAGGAAAACACCGCATGAAACTGGGTTAGGTTCTTTAGGATTGAGAGCTGTGTTAATGCTGAGCACCAATGGAAGATCCTGGAGTGTCTTCTTATTCGTAGTAGGCTGATATTGCTGGCACTGAGAACACCAAACTCGATTGTGAGATTCGCGGCAGATGGAAGCCTTCAAGATTTCTGAAAATAACATGGGCTGTTGGATCTCTTTGGTCTTTTGATGATGTATCTTGGATGACTGATGAGCATTCGAAGCAGTTGCCTATCTCATATGGATGTAGCGCCGATCAAGTTAGTGTTTTGTATTATCTCGATTTCTAAAAACCTGTCAGCAGCCAACTTTATTAGAAGCCTTTACACCTACTGGTTTAGGCCACAACAAATCAAGCACGAAAGGATAGGTAACCCTTTCCTCCTCGAGCCCGCAATGACCACAAATACTAGTGCTTGATGTCTTTATGCTGAAGATCTGTTGAATTGGTGATAGAGCTGACACGGGGAGAGGATTAAGCGTTGCAGAGGCTGAAACTCTGTCTAAACTACATTCTTGATGTAGCTGCTCCAATACAAAGCGATTGAAGTTTTGAATTAAAGACGAGTACATGGTCTTGGTATCAGGCTCGTCTGGTTCAAAGAGGCCAAGTGCCGAAGCTTAGAGGGAGGAGGCAAGTAGAGATGTGGAAGCGGTGAGATGATGGTCAGAGCATAAAGAGCAAGAGAGACATGGTCAGTCATATGAAGAGGTAGAAACTCAAGCGGTTGAGTTGTTCTAACCTTGCGGGATGGTGCTAAATGCACGTAAGAAATTCCTTGCTTGACAATTCTGACCATTAGAGTCTTCAAGCATACGGAACAAGAAACCTAACTCGCAGGTCAAGCAGTTTTCCCTTGGACAGCTCTGACCAATATGGGCCTTGGCGAGTGTCCTCAGTAAAGGCGTGAAAAACAAAACTTGTAAAAGTGCATTGCAGTATGAATTGGCAATATGTGTTTCCAAGCCGCCAAATTTGGTCTTATTGTAGAAACTGATTGTATAGCCATCAGTATAGAAAAAACTGTTAGACCCATAGGAGATTTTAGATATAATAGCCATGAACAAAGATTTTAGATGTCTATTTTACTTACCCAAAGTCGAAGTCTTCAACACCAAATTTGCTGTATTTGATCTCAACGCGTTTGTAATATTTTGGGACAATACCGGTTGCCAGGTCAACATCCTCCTCATTGTCGTGATCGAACATAGCAGCTGTCGAGCCTTTTCTTTTACCGAAATAGAGCTCCTTCTGTTGTTCGCTTCGGAACTTTGGTGTATCACGAAGTTTAACTTTGGGAAGTGATGGTGCTTGGTTCCTAAGCCTGAGTCCAGGGTTGGGTGCATAGCCCACAAAGTCAATCATCTTCATGTTGTCCAGAATCGATGACGGTATTGGCTGAGGTTTCCTTCCAACAGGGTATATTGTCTTTGGTGGCCATGCAGACAGTAACTGTTCCTGATAATAAGGCATCCCGATGGAAGAAAGTGGGTCGCTGTCCCCCACTGCAATTGTCGGAGGCATAGGCATTGTGGGTGCATCAATAGGACTAGAAAAATGATTCATTTTTGGCTCCTGTTTATCGCCCCAAATGTGTACAACATTGCTAGCGTCGCCAAGTGCCACAAGTTCACCACTATATGATATATCGAAGCAGTTGACATAGCTCGCAGTGTTGATCTAGGTTGAAAAAATCAGATGAAGATCTATCAGCGCCCAAATTAATACATAATATTTACCTATACAGCAATATAGCAAATCTAACCTGGTAGAATTGAATTCCAGTTGTAAAATTGCCGACGTCGCACATTTGAAACTGCCCTGTTTGTGAGGCAATGCATACAGTTGTGGAAAGCTTCGGGTGCATTTTGAGGAATGAAGGACCATTTGGAAAAGGGATTGGAGCCAGCGAGCGCATTGTTCTCATATCGTAGACCTTGACTAAAGGGTCAATAATTAAAGTGCCTTGACGCTCTGAGAATCCGCATGTTACAATAAGATTTCCAGACACATCTAGATCAGAGATTGTTCCTGTATGCGCCTGTATTCGGTGTTCTACTGCAAGTGTACGCGGGTCGTGTAAGATCAAATCGCCACGAGTCGATCCGCAAACTAGCAACCTAGATTTCTTCATGACAACAATCTCAGACTCTGTATCGACCTAGCAGAGGACGAGCAACGCTTCTTTTGTGAATATGATTTGTATCAAGACAATCACGTAAAATGAGTGTCCCATAGTATAATGATTCAACATAAACTTAATTTACCGTCTTGGTAATCGTGCCTCGGATCATATTGATCGTAAGAATTTTGTCCTGTTGACCAGCTACAACAATTTCTGCATTACCCATGAGAGCCATCGAATGCAAATCCCGTGCCCCGTCATCACTACTCGTAATTAGTTACACCAGAATGAAAGTATGATATCATTAGCGGCTGTAATGGACATGCGGATAAAAAAAAAGAAAAAAAAAAGAAAAAATGTCGCCAATAATTAGAGATCCAAAGCATGCAGCATAATCAACTCGTTGACAAAACAGAATAAGAAAATAAAAAAAATTGAAATAAACTTGCGTCAAGTTCCAGCTGGCCAATCCACGTCTGTTTGACAAATGTATGCTATCCTTGGCAATTGAGACGATACCGCGATCTAAAATCATTATCTGTCTAACAGACCCTTTGTGTGCCTTATAACTGGAGTAACGCTGTAGCCCAGATCCATAATATGACGAAACATATCCCTGTTCATAATTGTGTTAGAAGGCATGTCAAATGTCAGAAAAATGAATGGACTAGGACACCTTGGAATCCGCGCAATTACACAACCAGTGGGACACTACTTTGAACATTGATAAGCCCAATAACTTTACATTTTCATTTGCAGTCCAGACAAGTTCATGGTGAGGATCAAATTTCACACAAGTTACTGGTGTAGCTGGATCAATTCCAGGAATGACGTTGAGCGGCCGGAATGGAATATCGGCCATATTATTATTACCGCACTTTTTTTTTTTTTTTTTTTAGTATAAATATCAAGAGTGATTTGACCTGGTGTAAAGGATGAAGCAAACATGCAGAAAAAGATGCATAGATGCATTGTGCTATCTGACAACGCGAATCAAACATAAATCACGTGCAAAGCTATATTGGGCTAATTACTTATGATAAAAGCGAGTGTTGAGTGTTTCTCTGTGCACAAAGAATGTATCATGTCTATGCCAGCCTTCTCACCAATCGTACAGCAACAGCAACAGCAATCCAATGTCAATGGGCCTGCTAAAAAGCATGGCAAGAAGAAATCTAGGAATTCATGGAAAGCAGGGTTCAAGAGTACACCGTCATCACCACAACATTCCAGCGTCGACACCCGCTCATCTGCTCTAACCGAGAGAAAAGAATACACCTCTGCTCAGTCTATCACCAATAGCCATAATATCAACTACAGCCATCGCAACGCAGCACCATACTCATATAGTAAAGCTTCAATAGCGGACTCATCCTTATCTTTGACTCGGGGCCGAGACAACTTTCAGATTGAAGCTGGACAGGTCAATAAAACGAGTGAACCTGCTCAGCACAGAACGCTACAACAAAAAGCTCATCAATTTCAAGAAGAATACAACCTGTATGAGAAACCTGAGCTGCCACAAAGTGATATCTCTCAAGTAGCCAAAGGAACAGCCACTCCTAGACAAAGTGAATTCCTTCAAAATTTGGACATCCAACTTATCAAATTACAACAGGAAGAACATGGTCCGCAAAATCCAATGGAGAGTAACAAAGATAACATCAAGTCCAAATCTGGATGTTCCAGTCTTTCCAAGGCAACTGGTCCAACTAAAGTATTTGAACATGAGCTAACCCAGATACTTAAGGTACCGGAGGCTACGATCAATGGACCGGAGAGCTCACAAGGTATATGGCAGATATATATAATTTAAGTCAAATGTCGTTTTGCTGGTTTGGTATACTTACGCAATGCGCTAAATAAGTATTGTTAGATGATATCAAGCTGAAGGATCTATTGGGGTCAATATCGCCGTCCAATCACCCAACAGTTACCCTTTGGGACTATCTCAAGGAGGAGCTAACCGCAGCGGATTTCGAAACCACACAAGAATTGAAACGAGAACGAGTGGCTAACTTTCTCAGTGTTCCCATTGCATTCGAAAAGGTATATATGGAGAGAATGGGAATATTACACTTGCTTACTATAAAGTTTACAATCTACAGATGGACTTGCTCACACATGTAACGTATCTAAATGTTTTAGATGCTGACATTTGGTTATTTTGTGTGCTTGGACTCTTTCCTTTATACATTTACGATTTTACCAGCAAGGTTCTTACTTGCGACAGCAGCGCTTTTCCGGTACATTTTCTCTAGAACATGGTTTTCAAAAAACATGGAAAGAACGTAAGCTACGTCTGAGTTACTTTTCGCAATGTTTTTTTTTTTTTTTAAAAAAAAAAAAAAAAAAAAAAAACACACCAATTGATTTTTGTTCCTGAAAACTTTTTCAGCCGTTTAAAATCGTCACAAAAGTGCGATTTGATCAAGGTGACATTGGTCGTTGTAGCATGCACAATCCTTCAGTCTGTCGACGCTTCAAGGACATATCATTTTATTCGCGGCCAGAATGCTATGAAGTTGTACGCTATCTTTAACTGTTTAGAGGTAACTTAATATTAACTTCTTTTCATTGGGATGTTCGCTAAGTCATTGGCCTTTTTCTATTATTATTAACATTATTACTATCTTAATCTCCTTTATATTTATTAATTTATAGATCTTTGATCGGCTCTGTTGCTCGTTTGGTCAAGATATCTTGGATTCGTTGTTTTCTAAGGCAACGTTAGGCAACCATCCTCCTAAAGCAAGTCTCACGGCCTCTAGGCACGCAAGACCGATAACTTTTGTTATTTTGGCGATTTTTTACATCTGTAAGCCGATCAAAATCCGTTATCGTTTTTGTTTTTTGCTTTTGTTAAACAGCACTTTGGTAAGATTTTAGCACACTAAATTCTTCTTTTTCCTTCCGCTTTCAATAGTGGCACATACGATGGTCTTGTTTTACCAAATGGTCACGCTTAATGTGGCTGTCAACTCGTATTCAAACGCACTTCTGACATTGCTGATTAGTAATCAATTTGTAGAAATCAAGGGCAGTGTCTTTAAAAAGTTTGAAAAAGAGAACCTTTTTCAACTGAGTTGTAGCGGTAAGGATGCAGCCTGTGGTCTTTTTTTTTTTTTTTTTTTGTAAGAAGCTAAGCTTTTTTTCCGTTTTTTAGACATTGTGGAAAGGTTTCAGTTATCAGTCTTTGTAGCCATTATCACTATCCGGAACCTGGTGGAACTATCTGCCTCGCCTCCTTCTCCATTCTCAGTGTATCCTCAGTCTTTTGTCCCACTCTTTTCGTCTATGACAGCCATGGCACGTCTGTTGACTCCATGCTTCCTTGTCTTGGGATGCGAGACCCTAGTCGACTGGCTGAAGCATGCCTTCATCACAAAATTCAATCAGATTCGTCCTAGTGTCTATGGTCGATTTGTGGATATTCTAAGCAGAGATCTGGTCGTAGGCAGCCCTGCACGCCTTGCGGGACGCAAAAACGTATGCCTTTATATTACTATCATTATTTATATTTTTACTAAATGGATAACTGACAGACTGGTTACAAACTAACAAATATTTATTTGGGACTATAATGGCCTACAGCAACAACAGATGTTTGTTGACCAATCTCCTATGGTGTCCCGTCGTATTGGACTTGCATCGTTACCATTGGCGTGTCTGGTCATTTGTGTGACCACTCAGACACTACAAATGGCCTTTTCGAACCATTCAGGGGACATGAATACAGCTTCTGCCATTATGGCCGAGACTGTTACAGCAAGTGCAGTGTCATTTGAAAAAATGACCCTCCATTGGACAATGCCTCCAATAGATTTTTCGTCAGGATTTGCAGTGGCATCTTCTGGTATTGTTGAGGCTTTCGCCTCATTTTGTAGGTTCGCAGGTGCAACCCTGAGCCAAAGTACATATGTACTGGTCCATATGATAGTGGGGTGGGCGCATCGTGTAGGTATATCACAAGAATTGGGCCGCAAAGTGATGGACTACACGTTTGTAACACTGGTATGTTTGGCGACGTATGCATGTTTGGTGGCGCTCAAGATGCTGATTGGAATCAATTTACTTGGATTTGCACATCATCGATATCTGACGATGGAGGCGCGTGAGGAATCAGAGAGGCAGACAGATCGGATGATCCGTGAATCGAACGCAGCGCTAGAAGAGAAAGCAGCAAATGCAGCGGTATCTAATCTGCTGGATGGAAGAGGAGCAAGCCATGCAAATGGAGACGCGTATGTATTAGGGGGCGACAAACGGGTGGTTCCTGGACTTGATACTATTGACCGATATACACTTTTCAAGTCGCGGATTCCATAGAACTGGAATTGACCAATGATTTGGCGCCATTGATTCAAATGTTTTGTTTGTCCTGTCAATCTTGATCATGCATGGTCGATGCATCAATCAGTGGCTCACACTACTCTGCTGTACTCTTTGTGCTTGATTACTTGATTGCATGTGCTCCGCTTCCTTCATCTTTGATAACTCTTTGGCCCTTGCCCTTGTCTTGTCATTGTAAGAGAAATAGCGCTAAGTCCTAAACCAGCGCTTCTTTCAAAAAATAATAAATAAAACCTGAGTTTAAGCATGGTCAAACATATTTTATTCTAGCAAGAGAGTGTACAAACGAACCATCATCCATAGACCATTCTTCACATTTGTCATTCAAATCGATTCAAATCTATTTGTCATTCTCTTTCCCTCTCTTTCCCAGCTCTCTCTTTCTCTTGCTCTTCAAACCAGCTCTCGCGCTCTCTTCACTTCCCAAAAGTCTCATATTTCTGTATCTCATTCGCTGCGCCCTTGTCCTCTCCCTCTCTATATCCCTTATCCTTTTTTTTTATTAACTCTTTCTCTCTCCCACACACACATTCTTTATCTTCATCGCTCTCCATTTTCATTTATTTGCACTCGTTCGACTCTTACCGAACCCATCCCATTGCATCTTTTAACCTATAGTTTTTATTTTATTCTTTTTCCTTCCGGTGGCCTGACGCTTCCTTTTTTTTTTTCCTTATTGCTGGCTAGTGTTGTGTTGGTCCGCTCTGCATCATACTCTGCTCTCAGTTCAACCCATCTCCTTTGTCAACACATCATGGCCCCTCCCCAGCCCAGCCTAAGCGATGGTCGCAAAGGCTCGACTGGCTCTACGTCGTCCAGACCCACAGACCCGGCCTATACCGATTCAACCAGTGGCTCTGCTAATGGAGAAAGGAGACCCTCTGCTGGTTCCGGATACTTCTCACTTTCACAAAACGGCCGAATGAACAGTGAATATGGTAGCATGAGTGGCAGCAGTAGCAGCATCAACATTACAAGCAGCAATAACAACTACAATGCACGTTCGCCCTACATTCCGCACACAGACGACCGCGACAGGCTACGAGCTCACAATGGCAGGACCCATTTGGAGGCTCTGGCCCAGACGCCCATCATCCCAAGTGCATCACGACGCAAGAACACCAAGGATGGCAACGAATCGAACGGTCTGTTATCCTTCTTCCGTACGCCGTCCAGGCCACCCTCACCAGAACAATACGATCCCTTCTTCACTAATAGCCACATGCGAAAGGCATCCTTTTCTGGCCATAGCCACAACAGCAGTACTAATGGGATCCACAGACCAGTCGTCCTATCTGGATCAATGGGATCACTTCAGTCCACTAGCACTAACCTGAGCAACGGGGGATCCTACAATGGCATGAACTATACACAACAACAATCATCCCACCACAATATAGCCGGTCAGAGTCAGGGTCATTTATTTGATATGGATGATATAAGACGGCGATCTACTGAATCCTATTCGAGATCTTCCTCGCCAGATCGTTTATCAGAACAACAACTGCAACAGCAACAGCAGTATCAGCTTCAACACCCGTTTGCTGGTGGATTTCCGACGACTCCACCTTCTCACATTCGATCCCATCATCGAACAGATTCAAGCAAGAATGTGACGGAGGCTCCGCATCGAAGGACAAAATCATCAGATTTGGGCGATATAAATGGGAAACGCTCAGGACAGGAGCAGGAGCCCCTAATTCCTGCCAAGGAGCCAAAAAAGAACCCCCTGCGTAATTTTTTCAGAAAGAGGACGCATCATCATAGCTCTTCTGGCTCACAGCACCAACACCAACAATCACAGAACAATCTACAGCATAGTATGTGAATTGGTTTTCGCACCAATTGAAGGGCTATTGCTACGAATGCGTCTATGCTTTGAAGTATATTTTTTTAACATCGTTGACTCTTCTCTTGTTTATGACAGGATCACGGAAATGTTCAGCCGATGACCCATATTTTATTACACTTCCTCCTACCTCAACACTACATACGTTTTCCATGTCACTTTTCACAGACCATGACTATATGGGATATTATGGAGCTTCTGACAAACGACACGACGGTGAAATGACAAGTGGGAGGAAAGGTCTGAAAAAGGACCACACAGGAGTATGTGTTTCATTTAAATCGATGCTCTGTGGTGATTTTGCAATTTTTTTAAAAAAAAAAAAAAAAAAAAAAAAATGTATATTGTGATGTGTGGAATACTTTTTTTTTTTTTTTTTACGGGGAGAGTTCTTCCTTCTTAACTGTCTTTTTTTTATCCTTTTCCTCTTTTTGTAGCAGGATGTCATATTACCCAGTCTTGTTGGTATGAAAACATGTATGAATCTTAAAATGCTGACGGCTCCGATTTTATTAACCTTCGATTTAAACTAATATAATTGGCTTTCGTTTTATTTTTATTTTTTTATTTATATTTTTACTTTTTATCTTCATTATTCAATATGGGGTACTTTGCTCATGTGCATAGTTGATCATAATGATATATCCGGCGTTAAAGATGATCCTAAATACAGCCAGTGGAAAACTATGTCACCAGCTGCAGGCGCGGAGTGGCTCCCACCTGAGAGTTGGGGCCTCAATTCTGAGGACCATGCATCAGACGACATGGATCAGAGCGACTATGAAAATTGGGAATATGGTAGCGACAGGAAAATTTCAACAATCAGGATCTTTCGACCAGATACCACCTATACAACTGTCAATTGTGTACTCAACATCACTGCTAGCGAGTTGAGCACCATCCTTTACAAGAAAATATTTAAGCCAGACACTTCCAAGTTTCGTCTTTATATGCTTCGTAACAATATTGGTAAGGAATCGGGGATATTGTATCATGATCGCCTGCTCTTCTTATATCAAAATAGCCGGCCATATTACATTTAACAAAAAAAAACCATGATAGTAATTGTTCTTGCGCTTGCTTCTTTGTTTTGAATCCACTTCACATCTTTACCTCTAGTTCGTCCTTTAAGCTCTCATGAAAGACCTCTCCATATTCTTCGCAAGCTTCTGATACAATATGGCTATACTGATCAAGACAAGCTCGAGGAACTATCTGGCAAGGATAATAGGTTCATTTGCCGATTTACATTTGCGGAGAATAGCGCACCTTTGACAACAGTATGTTTTTGTATATTAGCAGGTCATATCAAGCAACTAAGCAAGCTCATTATCACAGCCTAACAAAACTACGGCGTGTTTGTTTATCCTCCGTTGGCTTTTATAGGAGGCTGATTTTCCGGACATCCACAATTACGCAGATATCAATCTGGAGAGGAAGTGTCTGCCAACTATTCCTATATTCCTTTATCTCAGAGCTAAAGATATTGTTCGACTGAATATTTCACATAACCACAGGATGGAATTGCCATTGGACTTTGTTCAAAACTGCGTTGTACTGCGAGAGCTTCGCATGGCTTACAATGATCTCGACAGAGTCCCTAGTAACATACGCTCAATTATATATTTACAAGTACTGGATCTTCGTGGGAATAGGATCAGGAATCTAGAAAAGGCACGGCTGGAGGAGGCACGAGAGCTTGTCACCCTTCTGCTTCAGAGTAACCGTCTGGAAATTATTCCCGATTCATTCCAATTTGAACACCTTCGAGTTCTCAACCTCTCAACCAACAACTTTGCAGTTATGCCAGCCCCACTCTTTAAAATAACAACATTAGAAGAGTTGGATATGAGCTTCAATGAACTTACAGATATTCCTGAAGCTATCGGGCGTCTCATACGCCTCAGGAAGCTATGGTTGTTTGGCAATAGGATTGGGCCCGACCTTCCCAAGAGTATGTCTGAGCTCACTCGTTTGCGAAAGCTGGATATCCGCCAAAACGGCATCCTGAATATAGATTCCATCAACAACCTCCCGTCGCTTGAGGAACTATTAATCGATTACAACTCAAATGTTACATTGAACAACTCCTTCAAATCATTAACCAAAGCATCACTCTTCAAATGTAACATGACGAACATCAATATCAAGGGTACGGCGAATACCCTTACCTTCTTAAATATGTCTTCCAATAAGCTCTCAAATTTGGCACCGACTTTGTTTGAGCATTTATGCAGCTTGGAGGTCCTCAAATTGGATAATAACGGCATTACCTCCTTACCCGAAACAATCGCTTGTCTCAAGCGCTTGAAACACCTATCTTTATCCGCTAACCAGCTCTCGAGCATTCCTGAGGAGATTGGTCAGTTGAACTCATTACTTGAACTAGATTTACACAGCAATTGTTTAGGCGAGCTGCCTGTAGCGATTTGGCGTTGCTCTCTCATCAGCCTTAATGCTTCATCCAATTTGCTGGAGTCATTCCCTGATCCTCCAAAGGCCCAAGCCCTTCTCAATCTAAGCACCGTAGCATTGTCGACTCCAACCATGCAAAATGATGTAGATGGCTCACTTTCGACAGCCAGCGGAGGTACCTCAATGGCTACCCCCTCGCCTTCACGTACAAAGCTTCTTCCGGCGCCTCTCCAAAATACGCCATCTAGTCGCGCGCCCTACGCACCACCATTGGCCGCATCTCTGACTAACCTTTCCCTTGGCGACAATCGACTACCAGACGATGTTTTCTACCCAATATCTCATTTTACAAATCTCCTGGAGCTAAATCTCAGTCACAACTATATAGTAGAGATACCTCGTGGCAAGATTCCTAACCCAGGACATATCTTAGAATTACATCTAAGTGGCAACCAATTGACCAGCTTACCAGCAGAAGATATTGAACGACTTCGAAACTTGCGTGTGCTACATGTGAATGGCAACAAATTGACGACTCTGCCTGCTGAACTTGGTAAGATCAATAGGCTCGGGGTCCTGGATGTCGGCTGCAACATGCTCAAATACAACATTTCGAACTGGCCATACGATTGGAACTGGTATGAGAAAAAGAATAAAATATTTATAATAACAATTATAATCATACGCTTTCTTCTTGTCACATAGGCCAGAAACATACATGGTGCTGATTTGGTTTTCTTAACTTTTCATTATTTTAGGAATTGGAATTTGGAGCTCAAATATCTTAATATGTCGGGCAACAAGAGGCTACAGATCAAGAGGCAGAATGTGGAAGCCGTTCCTATCATTGCTGCAACCTCACGGCCAGGCAATCTCTCTGAATTTGGAAATCTAACAAGGCTCCGTATCTTGGGATTAATGGATGTAACACTCACAGACAATGTTCCTGAGAATTCTGCAGATAGGCGAGTCAGAACCTCCATGTCGACACTGCATAATATGTCGTACGGTATGGCAGATACTCTAGGCGACTCAGAGACGCTCTGTATCTGGGATCTTGTTCATCCAAAATTCCAAACCAAGGAAGACGAGAGCTTGTTTGGATTGTTCGATGGTCGAAATGATGAGTACCGCTCAAGCTGTAGCATGACGAATCATCTTAAGGATCGATTTGGTGTATATTTAAAGTTAGAGCTGGAGAAGCTGGAAGGTACTGACACGGTCGAAAGCGCACTTCGACGAACCTTTTTGGGACTCGATCGGGAACTCTGGCCTCTGGCAGAAGACGACGGTAAGGGGGGTGTATCCGCCTTGGTAGCGTATATCAAGGGCGTGACCTTGTATTGCGCCAATGTTGGGGACGCTGTCGCTGTGTTGGTCAAGAAGTCAGATTCGCACCAAGTTATTTCGCAAAAACATATTCCATGGAATCCAATAGAGGCCTCGAGAATTAAGCGGTCTGGTGGCTTTGTGAGCGAAAAAGGTCTTTTGAACGATGAGCTGGACATATCGAGATCATTTGGTCAGTACCACCTTGTGCCAGTCGTGAACCCCAATCCTTATATTGAAGCCACAACGTTGTCAGAGGATGATGACTTTTTGATTATGGCTTCGAACGCATTCTGGAATGTGATGTCGTATTCGACAGCCGTGGATATTGCTAAGGCCGCTAAAAGAGATTATGGGGACCTGATGTATGCATCCCAGAAATTAAGAGACATCGCCATCTCATATGGTGCTAGGGACCACATGGTTGTGATGTTGATTGGTGTTGGTGACCTGTTCAAGAAGAAGGAGCCGTCGGAGGCATTAGATTATCACCAACCTAATTACAAGAGACCCAAGCCTATTGAAGGCCCTGCTGATACCGTAAGTTACGTATTGAATGATCCAGTGCTTCATACATCGAAAGTAACTAGAATTTTTTTATTTAATGTGACATTGCTTTTATTACTATTATTGCTACCACTATCAATTAGCTAAAATATCTTAAACCTGAGATTGAGCCTCCACAAGGAGACGTAGCGATGGTATTTACCGATATCAAGAATTCGACGAAGTTATGGGAGAACATCCCAACTGCCATGCGTATTGCCATTAAAGAGCATTTTCATATTATGCGTCGACAACTGAGGTCTATTGGAGGATACGAAGTCAAGAATGAAGGAGATGCGCTCATGGCCTCCTTCTCCAGTGTTCCAGCGGCTATGCTCTGGTGCTTCAAAGTCCAAGAGCTCCTAGTTGTGGCAGATTGGCCTCAAGATATCTTGGATTCTGTAGAGTGTAGGGCTATATTTAATTCGTCAGACCCAAACCAACCAATGTATCGAGGTCTCTCTGTACGTATGGGGATTCATTGGGGTCAACCAGTCAGCGATCGAGATGCAGTGACAAGACGCATGGATTACTATGGCCCAATGGTCAATAGGGCATCTCGAATCTGCGACGCTGCAGATGGCGGTGAGATCTGTGTTAGTAGCGATGTGATCACTGTGATGCAGCATTTGTTGAATGATCCGGACTTGGAGCAGTCGGATTCCCCTCATGCGGAACATGTACGTGAACTCAAGAAGATGGGCTTTGGTGTCATTGATCTTGGTGAGAGAAAGCTCAAAGGCCTGGAAACACCCGAGAATCTGCATTTGATTTATTCGCGCCTTTTGGCCGGTCGTTTAGCTATGGACCCATCCAAAGCCATGGTTGGCAATCCTATTCTCGAGACTGTAAGTTGAATTATAGGTCGGCCACACCACGATTACCAATCAAAGATAGCAGAAATTGACCTTTTTTTTTTTTTCCTTTTTTTGGAATTTATAGCAACCTGTGGAGAACAATGTAGCAGCACTCGACCCAGCATCTCTGCAGGCGCTTCAGCTCATTTGCTTACGCTTGGAGCGACTAGCCTCTGGAGCGACTGCTCAATATGGCCGCGTCTCTGATCAGAGTCTTGCACATCTATCCTTACCCATCAAAGACAATGCAGACCAAGGTGATCTGGCGCGTATCGCCGAGAATTATATTACTCGAATTGAGAATTGTTTCTCGCAACTTTACATGAGCAAAGCAGGCTACTTTGTAGATGTTTTCGAGTCTCTCGGAAAGGCAATTGACACAGATCCAGCTTATATATTGCGAGCATTGCAGATGTATGTCAGCATCATGGGCGGGCTGGACTCCCCAACACTTTTGTAGAAAGCGGACCTTTTTTTTTTTGCTTGTTTTGTTTTGTTTCAGTGTAAACATTCTGTGTTTTTACTTTATTTATTTTTCTTTTTAACGTAGAATTTACCATTCATGTTATTCATCTCATGTCTAATAATATTTTTAACCCTAATAAAACACATTTTACGTTGATACTACCTTTGAATTTTACTTTTTTTTGCGATGAGTGGTGGAATTTTTATTTCCATCATTTGCGATACTTTAATATTCGTAATATACATTTTGCATCATTGCCGCATAACATGATGCTCATTCATTTTCTATGCTTATTTACACAAAGCAAAGTCGAATCAATTTCCCATCAAATATAAACAATGCGTTTTGCATTGGTTGAAAAAGACCACGCGCGTTAGATGAACACGTTCCTGAGCAAGGAACGTTACACAAAAAAATTGGACAACTAAAAGAATCGAATACTGCCACCTTCTCTGTCGGGAACGGACCCTGTGACATGATACCATAGATAGGAATAACTACTTCGTTAGGAATACTTATAATTCTGGGAGACTTGAATAAAAGGAGGACTGCTCGCAGGATCTCAGCATCATATTTATCACAGCACACACGCTATCATACTATCATACAAATAATACACTTGATATCACTAAAAAATAAAAAATAAAAATGAGACACTCCTTTGAATGCGACGGTGTCAAATACCTGATTACTCTTGCAGTGTCTCTTAACGAGACAGGTCATACTAGTGAGCCTGAATTCGAAGTGCTCTGCGATGAAGGCATTACAGCAGGCGCCGTCATCAACTGGATAATATTCACCATTTCCTGGGTCCCTTTGGCTCTTTACTTCCTACTTTTCATATTAAGTGGACTGTACTCCATGGGCAAATGGTTACTATTGCGAATAGAAGATCGCTACTATGAATCAGTCGAACCATGGCTTCAGCGGCGCCGCGAAGCCGCCAAGATGAAAAAGAAAAAGAAGGACGATAATAACAATAGGGTTGCTGTTGGCTCGTATAACTTGTCACTATCAATTCCTATGTCCTTAGATGACAGTGCATCAATCAACTCTGGAACCACAGTTAACGAAGATATAGTCCTAGACATGAGCCATGGAAACCAGCACCATAGTGGAGCTCAGACTGCTGCTATCCCCGCTATCACTACTATAATCATCAATACTGCTGCTACTGCTACTGCTACTGCTACTTCTACTACCGCTATGCGAAACTTGACCTTCTTTGGAAGATTCGCCCAATTCTTTGGTCGGAGGCATCGACGTACTAGTGATCCATGCGCCTCTGAAGGCTTACAGGCTGTACCCGAGATGAGAGACATTGATTCCAGTGCTGCGTATATTGATACACCCGTTACAGAAGGGATGAAGGAGGGAACTGCCACTTATCTGGATATTAAGTCCTAATATATTCTCACGTGAGTGACATTACTTTTGTTCATTTTTGTAAACAAGTGACTGGGCACAAAAAAAAAAAAAAAAAAAATGGGAGGACACATGCTGTTCAGAGTGTTTCATTCATTCATTGTTCAGTCTGTTACCCTTAGTCCTTTATCCACCTCATTTCACTTGACTTCATTTCAACTTTGCTTGTTCTTTGCACTTATTTGAAAAATATTAGTACAGGAACAGAATATTTCTTTCACTTTTATACACAACTCTTCTATCCTTAGCCTTTACACAATGAGTACCATGGTTGGTCAGCTCACTGTACAGGGCACTATGCTCTCCACGCCCAACGCACCTCGCTCTACACTCTTCACCTGTCTAGCCTGCCAAGTAGCATTCAAGACTGCGGATATCCAACGAGAGCACTATCGTTCAGATTGGCATCGCTACAATCTAAAGCGCAAAATGGTAGAATTGCCTCCTGTCAGCGCAGAATTGTTCTCACAAAAGGTTCTAGCACAACAACAAAAGACTGCTGAGGATATGGCTGCAGCTACTGCTGGGAACAGCAACAACAATGAATGCAAGGCTTGTCGAAAGTCATACTCGTCTGATAACGCTTACCAGAACCATCTTGTTTCCAAGAAGCACAAGGAGATGGAGGCCAAAATCAAAGCAAATCCTCGTCCTGAGAAGAAGAAGCAACCTGTTGATGAGGAGAGTGATATCGACTCCATTACCTCGAAAATCACTGTAGATCTATCAGTGACTGACGATACAACTTTGGAAGAGATGAATGAGATTATGGATAAAAAGATTGAGAGCGCCATCCGTCTGGAACCAACGGACTGTTTGTTCTGTACTGAGAAGGCAGAGACTTTTGAAAGGTAAAAAGAAAAAAGAACTTTACTTCAGCCAATTGAATCTTTTTTCGAATACTTTTATTGTTTAGAGTTTGGAGATGAAACTAACGCTGGTCTGTTTGTTTTTTGATGGCAAATGATTTCTTATCTCTCTGTTTAAAACAGCAATGTTGAGCATATGACTAAGAAGCATGGATTATTCATTCCCGATATCGAATACCTAGTTGATCTGGAGGGATTGATCAAATATTTGGGCGAGAAGATCTCTGTTGGAAACATTTGTTTATACTGCAATGGTAAAGGTCGTCAGATCAAATCTTTGGAAGCTGTTCGAAAGCATATGATCGACAAAGGTCATTGTAAGATTCCCTATGATACAGAGGCAGAGATGATGGAGATTGTGGACTTTTATGATTTCAGATCTTCGTATCCGGAGGAACAACAACGCAAGATGTTGGAGGCAGCGGAGAGAGCCGATCGAGGTGAGGCCAGCGTTGAGGATGAAGAAGAATTAGAGTTGTTGAATGAGGAGATTGCAGGCTCGGGCGCTCGTTTAGGTGATGATGATATGGAGCTGATTTTACCCTCGGGAGCCAGACTGGGACACAGATCCTTGAATAAATACTATAAGCAGAATGTCAGGCCTGAAGAGGTAAGAACAAGATGTTATACCAAAAAAAAAAAAAAAAAAAAAAAAAAAAAAAAAACTACACCTGTTTAGCAAAATTTTATATTGTATTCCCTTATTCTAATCCTACAATGATTGTCATTGTAAAATATTTCATAGACTCGGGACTCTGTTTTGATCAACCGTTTGTTGACCCATTACACCGACCATATGGGCTACGACCTGGCATTGTCAAAGACCAAGACGCGCTCAGAGCGTGGACAGGCATTGGTAGCACGGAATGAAGGCGAGGCTCGATGGGCGCATAAGCAAACATCTACATTTAAAGATTTCCGAAGGATTGAGGAGCATAAAGCCCGTGTGGGACAGAAGCAAAATAAGCTACAGAAGCACTACCGCGAACAAATTTTGTAATTCTCTTTTTCCTTTTCTTTCCCTTGTCATTTTACTCTTATGATGATCTTCATAGCATATCATTTTCAACTCGTTTCAAAAAGAAGAAAAAAAAGCTTGTATATCACTTGTCACTATATAAATACAGGCATTAAATAAAATTTGTTGGAGCATTTTTTTTAAAGCTTGTGTTGACAAGACGTGCATAGATGGGGGATCTTAACCTTCATCGCATTGAATTTGTCCTGCGAGTCCGCTCGTAATAATGTCACTCATACAGTCAGTGATCTAAGCTGGAGATCACTCCTAATTTTTACCGGCCCTTAATAACCAAAATTATTTTCAGTGGCAATCCCATAATGTGGTGTGGCTGATGAACAAATCGTGAAACGCGATTTTAACACAACCAGCAGCCAAAATACATCAACTCTGCTTTCCGTCATTCCATCGAAAGATCAAAAAATAAAAATAGGCTGTTTTGAACAAAGAGTGTTTTTTTTTTTTTTTTTGAGGAGCGTACCTGAGGTTTTTAATAATCTTTTTTAGTGCTTAAAAGAAAAAAAAAGTATTATTTATACCAGAGTAGAGTTTCTTTGATCAATTCTGAAAGCAAAGCTGTTGTGAAAGGATGGCACCATTACAAAAAAGTGCCTCAGACGAGGCTGGATTCAAAAGGCTGGTTGAGCTTGAGGCTGAATATAGGACACAACGCCCGCCTGACCAACTTTATGCGATTGCATCTTTTCCACGGCTATTTGACGAGTTTCCCTATCCAGTCATCATCAATGCAGGCATTTTGAAGCTGGCAGATTATTTTCGACAGAGGTAACAAAAAAATGGGAAAAATGAAAAAAAGGCATGGGGCATTTACTGTCAACTAACGTAAAGATACCACTTCTGCACCATGGTTAGTAATAACATCCAGAGACATGCAATTCTACAAGTCTTTATGAAAAGCCAGACTCATTTGAAAAAGGTCATCAATGTTGAAGAAACTATCAAGCGTATCTCACCCATGCTTCAATCTACCGATCCATTGGCACGTGCTATTACTCTTCGGTAATGAGTGTATCTGACGTGGTAACTTTACAAGCATGCAACCTAAACCAACGTCCCGTAGCTTTTTCTTTCTTTCTTTCTTTTTTCAAAAAAAAAAAAAAAAAAAAAAAAAAAAATTCTTTGGCTCACCGATCTTGTTATATGATTTTTTTATTGGTAGGGTCCTTGGAGGCATGGCAACAATTGTCTCTGATCGGATCGATGTATACCATAAGTAAGGACCTAGATTCTTGAATGAAAATCTTGCTTTTTTTCTTACAGCAGTAGTTAAATTTAACAGCGCATTCCGTGGCAGATCATTTAATTTTATTTTTTTCCGTGTGTATTATACATAAATAGAGTCATTCATTCATTGGATTCTTCAGAAGCAATGGAAGTCAGTGCAGCAGTTTATGCTGCGGATATGATTTGTTCCCAGTCTCAACGGTTCTGTGCCATCTTCTCAGGAAAGCTAGCATTTATGGTCCGCGATACTACAAAAACGCCATTGCCGCTCCGAAGGCGATTGATCAGGATTTTTGGACACATGTTTGGAGACATTACATTAGCTAGACTGGTAAGCAGGAGGAATATTTGTCTTCTATTAAAAAAAAAAAAAAAAAAAAAAAATGCTGAAATACTATTTCCGTCATATCCGCTGTTTCTAGGCAAGAAAAACATGTCTGGACATCTTGGAGCTCAGTCAGGACACCGAATATACCATTGCAATTCTGAAGACGCTGACTCGTCTTGCATCACACTCGTTAGTAGATGTTAATCAACAAATTGATTTGTTACTTCAGTGGACAAAGGATTCTCGACCAGGAATTCGTCGTGTTTCCTTGACGTGCTTAGGCTTGCTCGCGCAAAAAAATATCGAGTTTAGTCCGAATCAGATCCAGGTACCAGCTTATGCTGTTCGCTTTTCAGCATTCTTTTTTTTTTTTTTTTTTTTTTTTTTTTTGTCATCTAACCCCGTGCAATCTTAATGCTATTTTTTTTTTTAATCTCTTCCCTTAAAAAATGATATTAGGCGATTTTCAACATCGCATCAAATTCCAAGGATGGAAAGACGGTACTCAAGGCTATGCTGGCAATCCACAAAATTTTTCACATGACCTGCGCTATCACATCCATTTCACTTACGGAAACCGGCGCAGAGACAATAAAGGGTTATATTCAAACATGTCTTCAGATCCTTGAGCGTTCCTTCTCTTCCGACTCACTCTTGGAATCCTCAGCCACAGCCACAACAGCAGCAACGGCAGTAGCAGAACCAGGATCCTCGACAATAACAACGTTATATCATACAACTTCATGGTCAAAGCCCGTTGTGCTGGAATGTTATTCTGTTTTAACTGTACTCCTCCCTTATTGCCATCAATTCAATATCCGGGAGTCTTTTTCTGAGACTGAGGCTGGAAATATGTTCAATAACTCAACCAAGACTGTTACGCAATCTATGAAGCAGTTCCTAATCTGTATATTGTCACAAGGCGGTGGAGTTGTGCATGGTGTTGCTGATGGTGGCTCAAAGTCAGATCAACTGTCTTCTGAAAATGTTGCGCAAGCCAGAATAGTACTTTGGTCACTTCTGGTTCTTACAATTGAGGAAGGCTCTGGTATTGACGATCTGCTTGAGACAGTTTTAGAATGGGTTGTTACTTACACAGGTAATGCCGGTGATGAATTTTAATAATGCTAAAGGAAGGAAATAACTTCGGGTCAAATTTGAAGAAAATCGAATTTAACCAATACTAACATCTATTGTTATTGCTAATGTATAGATTCTTCGACGCTTCTAGCAAGAGCATTACTACAAATTGCACGGCAACAACCCAGGAAGGCGAGCGCATTTCATAGCAGAATGGTTAAATATTTGGAAGACAATGTGGATACACCTGATACCCAGACATTTGTAAGAATTATCTTTTTTTTTTTTTTTTTTTTTTCATCGAATATTAAAAAAAAAAAAAAAAAAAAAAAAAAACTAATTTTTCCTAAAATACAATGGCACTCAGATTTTGGTGTACAGAGCACTTCTTGAATCCACTATCCCTTCTCATGGAGTTCGTCGTAGTTCAGGCGCCGCTGTTGCTGCTGCCACTACTGCTACTACTACTGCTGTAGCTATTGAGTGCATTGAGTCTTTTGAAATGCGGATGACGCGGATCTTGGAGCAGTTTGGCAAAATGGACATGTTGGAACATTATACGCGGAACCATTGGGAGCTGTACCAATTAGCGCGCTACTCACTGCAGACAGGTTGGCCATCATTAGCGTTAGTTGCTCTCAAGAACCAGGAGAAAAATGCCAAAAGTGTTTCTTCATCATTATGGCTGATGACAGAGCATACAATGGCATTGATCGAGAGTTCATTGCAATCAGGAGCTGCCTTCGGAGACCAGGACGATAGTGAGCGGTTAGACTTGTGCCCTCAGAAGCAGATGTACACCAAGGTTATATCTTGCCTCGAGGTAAAAAAAAAAAAAAAAAAAAAAAAAAAAAAAGCTACGGTATTGCACATATAGGGACCCTCGCTCACTCATATTCTCATTTGCTTGTATTTACCATTGTTCTAGGAACTCGAAGCCCATCAAGTGGATAGATCATTCCATCTTCATTACTGCGAGCTACGCCGTCGATACCTGGATACTTGTCAGTCCACAATTGGGACACTTCGGTTACTCTCTATGACGCTTTCATCAGAACGTTTACAAGAACAACAGAATCCTCAAATATATCCAGAGGACGAGCTGGCACTTTATCAATGTGCGGATCAATTTAACAGCTTAGCACATGAGTACACAGTTCTGCGGACCTGTGTTGCTCCAGCGATACCGTCAACGTCAACGTCAACATCGTCATCTTCCACCCTAGGCTTTACTTTAGCATCAGCAAAAAGACCATTATCGTCTGGTCAACAACAATCAGATGGCGCTATTGAAGTGTTGCAGACAATGTGCTTAGTGGTAGCATATGCGATCCAACGAGCCGCAAAGGTCTTGGGCAACTATGGCAGCTCCGCCAAGTCGAAGAAGCTGAGATTGGGACAAACTGATACAGACACAGACATGGATGGGGATGCAGATGTGTTTGATATCGACCCACTCTTAATTCCTCTGCTCTACCTTCAGAATCAAAAACAGCAACAGCAACGACACGGAAGTCAAAGCGGGGAAGGCGGTTCTAAGAGCATTTTGGAAGCGTTCAAGATCTCGACTGGGATGATGCTAGGTTTTATGAACAAGAACATGGTCGGATCAGGCATAGATGATATTGAGGTAATGTCTGATATTTGGCAAAAACGAAACAAATGCCTTGTTAAACTATCAAAAAAAGCTGACATGCCTTTTTTTTTTTTTTTTTTTTTTTTTTTTTCAGAGGAGTATTTCGTTAGTGCGGCAATTTATTTCCAGTTTCATCTCCTTCCCAATCCCAATTCCTCAAGAATTCTTTGTCTCCTCTCAATCCAAACAAGCAATCAGCACTTGATGACTCTTCTTTCACAATAGCATACATCGTGCGAGCACTAATAAATGAATATTTCAACGCTTTTATCTTTATTTCCTGTAACATAAAGGACGGCCTCCTTTTACTTTTTTCTTTTTTTTCCTTCATCTGTAGCCACTATTTCTACTCCTATATCTCTTATATAGCTCTTTTTTTTTTTTTTTTTTTTTTTTTTTTAGTTAGAGTCATTGAATGTTCTGAACTTTTCTTCGATCTCCTTGTAAAGGCTCGAGTACTTCCCACGCAAGACCTCCTCTCCATCTTCAGGATCTTCAAATTTCATTGAGCTGAGTTTGTAGACTAAATCACCCAATGATTCTCTGAGCTTTGCCCAAGTGACGTTCTGTGACGCTTCAACAGTATGAACAGCCTGATCATAGAAGAACAGCATGTTGCGGAGCATCCATACAGTCTTATAGAAGGGGCAGTAACGGTCATAGTTCGAGTATCCGTTTTGTTGTAAGAAATCATCGTTCAACAATTTGGCGACTTCCAACACAATCTTGTCCTTCTCTGCCAATGCGGACTTGCCGACCAATTGAACAATCTCTGACAAATCCTGTTCTTCTTGCAAGATCTCACGTGTCTTATTACGCAATGAAATAAATTCTGGATCTTCCTTCTCATAGAACTGTGCCAATACATTTGTATACTTTGAGTATGACAGGGACCAGTTGATCGAAGGGAAATGTTTGCGCTGAGCCAACTTCTTATCCAGACCCCAGAACACTTGTACAATACCCAACGTCGACTGTGTGACAGGATCAGCAAAATCTCCTCCTGGAGGAGAGACAGCTCCAACAACTGAAACAGATCCCTCACGCTTAGGGTTACCCAAACAGATAACCTTTCCTGCACGCTCATAGAACGAAGCGAGACGAGCTCCCAAATATGCAGGATAACCACTATCAGCAGGCATTTCTGCCAAACGACCTGAAATCTCACGAAGAGCCTCAGCCCAACGAGAAGTAGAGTCTGCCATCATGGCGACGTTCTTGCCCTGATCACGGAAATATTCTGATAAAGTAATACCAGTGTAGATAGAAGCTTCACGAGCAGCGACTGGCATGTTGGATGTGTTTGCCACCAGCGTAGTTCTCTTCATAATAGATTCTTGGCGATCACCAATCTGGATGGATAATTGAGGGAAATCCATCAAGACTTCAGCCATCTCATTTCCACGCTCACCACTATTGTTTTTTTGTTGTAATAAAAAGTGTTAACAACCCACCTATTGACCTCAAAAAAAAAAAAAAAAAGTCATGTATCCAACAAGCAATAACAACCATACCATCCAACATAGATAATAATATCTGAATTAGAGTACTTGGACAAGGACTGAGAAATCACAGTCTTTCCGCATCCGAAAGCTCCAGGAATAGCAGTAGTACCTCCTTGGACGCAACTAATTAGTGCCAGTTTTTTTTTTTTTTTTTTTTTTTTTTTTTTTGTTTGTTTGTTTGTTTGACAGGTCAGATTAAGTCCATTTAATGCAATTAGCATCAGCACCGACATAGGCATCGAATTACATTAACACAACAACTTACGGGAAAAGAGCATCCAAAACACGCTGCCCAGTCAACAATGGGTAATCGGCAATGAGCTTCTCAGCAACAGGGCGAGGTGTACGGACAGGCCATGTGTGCATCATTGTGTACTCATGCCTCTCGCCGTTAAACTCAACTTCCAGAACCTTGTCTTCCAAGGTGTATGAGCCCTTTTCAGCAATATAAGTAATAGTTCCGCGAGCACGAGGAGGAAGAGTGATCAAGTGATTTGTGACCAAACTATTCTCATAGACAGCACCAAAAGCATCACCTCCTGTAATGTGGTCGCCGACCTGTCAAGGTGGATAGGAACGTCGAAAGAGAACGGAGATTTATGAGATGATAGATAATAGCACGTCATGATAGTGATAATAATAGCCAGACATCTCTGAAACCTCCCCCCCCCCTCAAAATATTCATTATTCTCTTTAGTGAAAAGGAAAAAAATAGTAATTTTTACCTTGTAGTTTTGAGGAACAAAATCCCAAGAGATCTTTCTTTCCAAAGCGACGGTTGAGATACCACGGGGAATGTAAATACTCTCAGATAAATCGCTAATGGCCTATTTTTATCAATAATAAATAATGCAGAATACCCCAATGTTCATTCACCCAGCGTTAGAATAAGGATTGGTCATGCATCATCTTCTCCATACACTTGTACTTGCACATTTGCAGAAACTCGCTTCATTGTACCTTCAAAGGACGCTGAATACCGTCATAAATGTTGCTCATAAGACCAGGCCCCAACTCGACAGACAAGGGTTTACCAGTACGAAGGACAGGATCACCAACAGTCAGTCCAGCTATCAAAAAAAAAAAAAAAAAAAAAAAAAAACAAAGCGAGCAAATTGGATCAATACAGAGGCAAATAATATGACTCTCTATTAGATCAACTTGAAAAAGAAAAAAAATAAAAATCTCATGAGACGTCACGTACAGGTTTCTTCATAGACCTGGATAGTGGCCTTTTGCCCGTCAATACGAATGACCTCTCCAACCAATTCATCGTGACCTACACGAACCTATTAGGGCAAGAAAAATGATTATAAGAAAATGCCAATGAATAAACCATAAATAAAACAGGGTATGTATTTAATTAGCTCAAGTGAATATTGGTCCATATTCTCATGACCATGGAACCTACCAACTCGTACATAGCAGCTCCGTGCATGTTATCGGCGATGACGACTACGAATTGATACAAGTTTTTTTATACATATATAACAGATGATCGTGTTGGTTAAGCTCCAATTATCGTGAAAAAAAAAAAAAATAAAAATAAAAATAAAAAGATGCCTGATTGATCTGCTTGAATATTCACATCAACTGCGATATTGCGTGATATCGTTGATCGTACCTGGACCTGACACGCCATAAACGTATCCAAAATCCTTCTCATTCTCGTGGTCCGAGATCTTGATGAGGTTTTTTTTCGCATTGCTCAAAGCTCCAGCCTAAACACACAAAAAAAAAATAAAAAAAAATAAAAAAAGGGGGGGGGGAAAGCATGAAGTCAGGTTGTAGGTCAGATGCAAGGTCAGCGGAACCATGCCATGCAAACTGTGACGCCGAAATGCACTAACAAACATCCCCTTTCATTCGCGTAAAAATAATAATAATGATATTTTTACCATGTTGACGTTGTCAAGTGAAAAGATATCCTAATAATTGAAGTGATGCTTGTTATGTTTTTCAACTATCAAGTAAAGTTGAAAGAAAAAGAAGAAAAATCGCGTCTGTGAATGATTTTCTATTTTTTCCACGGGCTAAGACTCTTGACACCATGTGTTGTCAAAAGAGGTCAAAACATTTGTCTTTTTTTTTTTTTTGTACCTCTGAAATGTGCTTTCCTCTCGAACTGAAATGAAAGTAAGGAATTGAAGAAGACAGAGTCAATGATTGTGTGTTTGTGTGAGTGGCAGGGAGAGAGGGAAGATAGGGAAGTTGAGTGGAGTTTGGAAGAAAAGAAAAGAGGCAATTGTACAGGGGTACGGGGTGAATGTTAGTCTGTTAGTTTGACAGTCGAATAGCCAGGTTGCATTGACCTGGATACAGCCACGAAATTGAAAATCGTGACGGATTCACCTTCACGTGATTTGCTTTCTTTGAACTGAACAAGTAGTGTCCCAGTCTTTCGATCCTTCAGTGGCCTCGGCACTCGATAGTTTCTCCTTATTGTCTTCTCTGCGCTAATCTCTGAATCCCTGTCCTTTTAGACTTTCAGCTTACGGCTGGCAATCCAGTTACGGAGAGCTAATACCCTTGAGGTGAAAGGTCAAACAGATTATTTAGGGCCGATCCTGACTTATTCCAACTGAGGCACAGGCCGCGGTACCTGGGGGCATAGCAAGGCTGAAAACTATGGTAAAGCTAGAGATGAACCATAAACCTTTCCATATTTTTAGGCTGGTATCTTAGTCCGGAAACGTATAAGAGAAGGCAAACACGGTACATCAATACTTCTTGAGTTTGAGAAACCCTCTGGATAAATGACTTCACTTGAAGCCATTCTCAAAAAATATATGTAGGCTATCATGCTTTCCAAAAAAAAGTGGGAGAATAAAAAGTGGATCGTAACTTGCTCCAACTCAAACCCCGAGCAATCATATCTTAAACAGTAACGACACTGAAATCTTTCTTTGGCATATGTCGTTAGAGGAATGGACAGTATTCCTTCATCTTCAAATAGGCGTCCCAATACCTTTGTTGCAACAAATGGTTAGGATAGACTGTCTGTGCGTTTTCCTTGTGGTCAAAGAGTACTTCCTTGAGAGTTTCGTTCCAGTTTTCGATTAGGCTCTTGATGCTAGCAGCTTGGTAAAGCAGACAAGAGTTGGATGTAAACTTGGATTTGTGGTCTATAACCAGCACAATGAAGATGACAAACGCAAAAGCGGACATCAGCTACGAAGCGCCAAAGGTAGGTATATCAGAAAAGACAGCTCTTTCTCCTGCACTCATCCTCAATCCTGTCTCAAGATATACTTCTTTAGCAAGCTATCGAGCAAGTGGATGAAAGACAACTTTGAGCAAAAACAACGGTTAGCAGCCCTCGAGCCTCATCAAGTCCCCGAAGTAATACCAGGCTTGGATCGAGTGCGAGAATTGAGCTAAGTCTTTAAAACCTATCCACAAAACCGCTTTTTTTCCCTCTAATCAGGCCACACCCGTACAACTAACTGCCTCTTCGAATTTACTTGAAAACTCGACATGAAATAGACTGCGAACTTCAGTACATATAGCTTCAAGTCCTTCAACCTAGATACTATGAGGAATGATCTTCACAAATAAAACTTTTCAAGCCTTACTAGAAAGTGGCAGGTCTTTGAAGATTACCATGAAACGCTCATCTAGTCATCAGCAGAAAATGAGGATTTTTGGATGCTCATATCCACGCGATGGGTGTCCTCACCAAATTTACGCTCTACAGGCTTAATAGGTGGGATAGACTTCCGAGGAAGATCGACAAGAGTATCAGGGTTTCATGATATGTCCAATATTATCCGACTTACAAATGACGAAACCACTTTGTGGATATTAGATGCCCACATTTGTGGTAGCCATGTCTATGGTTACAGTATGGATATTTTTTTCAACGGTGTTCGGCGCGCATCAAGAATCTGTACACTTTGACGACTGCTTGGACACTATATGGAGCTATATAAACATCTGAACAGGGGCCACATGTCATTGACCAGCCTACGTTCCTTGAACAATACTTTTAACACACACATGCACTTTGCAAGGAATGTATCAGTGCTTTGACAAATATGTATCCTTTCATGGCTATGTCACAGCCCTTGGATTGGGAAGGGATGGGAATATGTGGAAAGCGAGACTATGTCTATATTTACTGATACTTGGCGTAACTTCAAAAAGCTTAGCTCAGGGAACAACCTCTGTATCATCCAGTGCATATAAGAGACGAGAATATCTAATCTACGTCTCAGTAGCTACCGTAATTCTATTGAAGTGTCTTGAGATGTTATTTTATATCATATTTCGAGGGTTGGCTGACTACCGCTCGAATTTTATTGTTTGAACGATGCAGCGAACTCTGACAATTCTAACTAGTTCCTCTAGATGGCGGTCGTTCGAGAGAAATCAAATAATTCTGTTAACTACTGCTAAATCCAGGGAGATATGGAGAAATAACAGGCACTGAACAGTCGCCTTTATCAACTTTTCACAGCGCTTCCACAATCTGTGTACGATGGCCAGCCTGATCTCGGCTTTCTCTTCTTGATAAAAAGCATAAAATCCTGTTGTTTCTAAAATGCATTAGGATGTGATTTAGGAAAAAGTAAAAAGAGTCTCGTGTGCAATATATTAAATCGATCTCATTTTATATTTTTATTTATTTGTATTACTATTTCTCTTTCGATGATTCTCGACGTGCAGATCCAGATCCAGAGCCTGCTGCTGATGGATTCGGCTCTTTCTCTTTTTCGTCCTCATCCTCAGGTGCACCCTGGAATCTCACCTTCTGTACGCTCTGTCGCTGCTGTGCTTTTGCTGCTGCTTTTACAGATGCCTCCGCCTTCGACAGTCTTTCTATTCCCAACTCCATATCCTTCTGCTGTTGCTTTAATATGGCTCCTAGCTCAGTGACAGGAATATCGGGCGCAGTCATCGATCGACTGAGTCCTCGGGGTCGCCGGGTTAGAGATTCGCGCCGTCCACTATCAATACCTGTAGCATCTCCAATAGTTGGCTGTGATGATGAATCTACTTCATTACTGTCATCAAACGGCGACCTTACTTCTGGAGACACTCTATCGTGAGAATCATATCCAAATCCTGACGCTATTACAGGCGAGCTAGGATGAGATCCAGATCCAACCTCGCTTCCATCGATACTATTCCTTCCTACTTGGTATCGTCGCGAAGCTCGTCTGGCTTTAGCAGCTGACACTCGCTCATCTGCACTTGCACTGTGTACCCGGTTCAAGTGTGAATACACAAACGCTGATGCATCGTCAGTTGAAAATGCAAATCCAGTATGACCAGATTTATGACTGACAGGTCGATTCGACGCAGATCCAGATCCAGAGGATGGAGAATCTTCCCCCATAAATCTAAAGTTAGGCCCACCTACAGGAACAGAGGGTGTACTCTGGCGTTTGTTGCGTGGCCTATCCACTGCTCCAATCCCTGTGCTAGCATGAGCAGCAGTGCCCGCTGCAGCCGCAGAGGCAAGTTCTTGGTTGAATGAGAATGATATGGTGGGATAACCTTGAGCGAACTTGCGATTGGTTGGCTCCAGCATATCACTGCCACCACCATTGTTATCACTATGCCCTATGGATGTGTCAGCCGTTACAGTGGCATTTGTGTTGTTGTTGTTAACACGTCTCCGTCCAACCAACTCTCGCTGTGGTTGAGCCGTAAGCGATGTTGAAGACACTGCTAGTCCTTCAGCTGCAACAGCGCTTCCCTTCAAATAACTTGGTTCATCCATCTTACCCACGCTAAGCATGGATGATGGGCTAGACTGACGCTGCCTAATGTCGCCTGGCTGGTGCTCATTTGGATCGTCTGGTGATATGATTGTAGGAGAGTTGCGAATGACGGGGATTTGATCTAAATCGTTGTCTTCCATATCATCATCCCCGAGCACATGGCTAGGAACGCCTGTCTCGTGAAAACTACTGGTTGTTCCGTTCAATTCACTCTCACGCAAAGCCATGGCCTTCAACTTTCTGGCACGACGCTCCTTCTTTGAAGGGTGCTTCTCTCTGTACAGCTGCTCGCGAACAATGATAATATCGTTAGGCTTCAGATATTGGCGAGCAAACTTGTAGCCATAGTGAGGCAACATAGTTAAAACAACTGACAACACGATAGCGAGCCAGAAAGTAGGGCTGGAGAGTAGAATATGATCCATGCCGTAGAACGTGTTCTCGACTGTGAAAAAGTTGGCATACACCCAGCAATAGAGGAAAAAGACAATGATTGACCCAAAGATCACAGCGAAAATCATCTTGGTCCAGTGAAACATATTGAGACCCACATACAAGTTGGCAACGACAACAGAGCAGGCAGAGATCAATGCTCCGATAGAGACTAGGTCATTGGTACTATGTCCATTTGAGTAGATATCGTTCGAGAGATACCATGGGATGAAGAAGCAAATGATAGATTGATAAAGTCCATCTAGAACATACAACCAGAACTTGCTGCGCGTAAAGTGCTTCTGTTTGATTCCACGGAGATATAACGCTGGGAACTGCATCGAGGTCTTTGCATCTACATCCTGATCGAACGCTCCCATGAACATGATTGGCAAAGACGTGAACAGCAGGTTATATAGTACCACAAAGGTATAATCAAACAACAGCAGCGCTGTAAAGCTAAGTAAGAGACATAATGAAAGGTATCAAGATAAATCAGTCATTGAATAATAAACAAATATGGATACCAAAACCTGGATAGTGTTAGTTCTTAGCATACCCAGAGAAGAATTGGAACCAAAAGATGGTCAAGGTCCACACGACGTTCTTGTAGAAAAATGTCAAGATCATCTCTGAGATTCGGATATAGGACCAACGTCCATGAACGAGGAGCAATTTTGAAAGGAACCGGAATTGAGCGATAGCAAAGTCGGACGCCATCACGGCCTGACGACCTTCCTCTCCCGCAATACCAATCCCAATGTTGGCCTCCTGGATCATGGATACGTCGTTGGCGCCGTCTCCGATGGAGAGAGTCATGACATCCAACCCACGCTTCACCATGCTGACGACTTTGGCCTTCTGCAGTGGTGAGACACGACAGCAAATGACAGACTTGCAGCGTTTGCCGACATCCAGAAGTAAACCATTCAGTGATGGCGACAAGCCATATTTGAGTGTCTCTCCGTCAATAACCAATGCATGCGACCTATTGGTCAAAGACGGATCTTTCTCCGCCTCCCGTCCCCAGAATTTGTCTAGTGCCTTCATAAGCTGCTCACGCGTGTCTTCCTTATCCTGCGCTTGAATAATGATCAGGATCATGTCCCTCTGAAGTAGATTGCATGCAAATCCAATGTTAATGGCCGTCTCCGTCTTATCTCCTGTCAAAACCCAGAGCTTGATTCCAGCGCGGGACAATAGTGCGATACACTCTGGGACGCCAACCTGAAGTCGATCCTCAATGGCAGTGCCTCCCAAGAGAAGTAGCGAATGCTCAATGCCCTCACAAGCATTTTCAATATTTTCATCGCGATTATGAATAGTGTTGCAGGCCTCATCATACTCCAGTACCCATTCTGCATACTCTTCCTCGCTGATTTTACGATAAGCCAAGCAAAGGGTACGAAGACCTAACAAAATTAAATTTTATACCTCAGAGTTGAGATTAGAAATTTACGAATGAAGTGGATATCGTAAAATAACTTTTCTTTTTTTTTTTTTTTTTTTTTTACCTTCATTTGCGAACCGTTCTAGATCAACCAAAGTGTCTTCACGCAGCTTGCTTTGCTCATCGCCCTTGTCCAGACGTTCATAAATAACACTGTCCGCACCTTTACAGACGAGCACGATACCACCTTCTGGTGGCCGAAGGATGATCGACATACGCTTTCTGTTCGAGTTGAATTCCAAGATGTTCAAAATCTTATACGTCCGTGGTTGGCCCATGATTTCCAGATGCATAACTGGTCCCTTCTTCTCCAAGAAGACAAAACCAACGTCCCGGGCTGTTGAAACCAATGCAGCTTCATCAGGTGATTGAGCCTTGTACTCAATCTTGTAAGGATCCTCATCATCACGCTCTGTAATGACAGTATGGCAGACTGCAACCGCTGTCCAAAAGTTCATGATCGCCTTGGCATGTTTCGAGGTCGGATCAGCCATATCTGTAAACAGATCCGAGTCCACAAAAGTCGTCTTGTCAGAATAATACTTGTTTTCAAAAAGCTGATCCATAGCTGTCTTCATTTTGATGCGCTCCATGTTTAATTTAGCGATATAGTCATCATCAGATTCGAATTCCATAGGTTCATACTCTCCATCACCGGTCATCTTTTGCCCTCGTGTAGCATCTGTCTCGCCAATACCATAGTCAAGTCCATTGATAGTACATTTTTGAAACTCCATGACATTTTGAGTCAGCGTGCCTGTCTTGTCTGAAAAGATGTATTCGATCTGGCCTAAATCGTCAGAGATACTCCATGTTTTCGGGATACATGCCTGATTGACACGCTCGTCGTACATCTCAATGTCTTTGTGAATAAAATACGCCTGCGCTGTCTTTACAATTTCAATACTAATGTACAAGGAAATCGGTACAATATTCTGATACAAAATCAAACAAGACCTAGAAGGATGGGAAAAGATGATGCATATCTTAGTGCAATTCGAGTGCAGTTCCTTTTTCTTTTTCTTTCTTTTCTTTTTTTTTATAATGGTTTACAATGATATTCCTATTATTGTACCAGAAAGTAACGAAGGCCGACATGAATGGCGTGGATGCATCTGCACCGAATTCGAAGAGTGTTCCAGAGTTGTTAGCAGTATCTGCGAAAATAACACCATTGGCAATGGCAGATCCAATAGAGAGAGCAAATAGGATGATAAAGTTCATGACGATCTAACGGGCGAATAGAGTTCCCATTCATTAATAGTCAGACTCGAGCTCAATTTCAAGCTCTAGTTCAAATTTGGATGAATTTATACACAGATGCATCATGTCGTAATGGATAAATACTAATGACGCGCATGCAAGGGACATAATAGATGAAATAAATAGCTTACATGGAAATTAAGGTCCTTTTCAATACGACTGCGTTTGCTAGGAGTATCTCCAGAGTTCAACATAATCTTGGTATCGACCCCTGTGAAGAGTACCATTCCAATGACGTGCTCTGTGTTACGCAAGACACATCCACGCAATAAGATTTCGTTGATGGTGATAGATTCAGTCTTGTTGTGAACAACACGATCTCCTGCAGGCATATCTGCTCCGTCAGAAACCAACCATTTGAGTGCTCCCTGATATGAATACAAGTTGGCATGAGGGGCTTCTGATTCTACATAAAATGCTGCTCTTTCAATGTCTGCAGGTGTCTTGAGTCCCTTGGTAGCAGTCAATCCACGACGAATTTTCAAGTTGGTTTCTCCATCCAAATTTTTGGTTTCAATAAAGCACAAGGCATCTGGCTCGGATGTGGAGAGAATGACCATATCTGCTGGGATAGGATCGTCATTTTTGAGATATATGATATCTCCGACTCTAACATCCTGCCAGATACAATCCTGCCACTTGGCGCCAGTTGAGTGTTTTGCTGAGAATGATTCAGTATGATTAAGTACAGAATGAGGAACGTTGCGACGGATACGTCGGATAGGTCTGCCAGCAGAGTCCTGGGCATCCGTTGCCGCACCATGTGAAGAATGACCATCAAAGTAAGAATTTTGATCGGAGCGTCCGCTTGGTGTAACGGGTGTTAAGGCTGCAGCATTGATAGCGGCAGCACGATTAGGAAGATGTGATTTGGAGGGTCTACTGAGGAAGCTGAACAGATTGTTGATGGTGGATTGAATTGCCTGTAGTTTACTTGAGCTCCTAGAGTGAATGTTGGTATTTGTCCAATTTCGGAGGAGAATAACTGGTGCGTTATTGAATGCTTCGTCTGATTTCCGGCGCTTCCAATCCTCGATGGCATCTCTGATTGCTGTGACAGAGATGATGAAGATGAGAGGTAGGAAAGTCAAATAAGGCGCAAACCCTCCAAGAATAGGTGCAATTGAGAGTCCTGCCACGAACAAAAAATACAGATTAGCGAGACGACGGAACTGCTCGAACAGGTTTTTGGGTATGAACGAAAACAGGTCATATTTCTAGGGAAAAAAAAAAAAAAAAAAAAAAAATTGAGTTAAAAAACAAGATGAATCATGACGCCTATCCACATCTAGGATAATATATCGCTTGTTGCACAGAACAATCACCCTTCTCAAAATTAATCGATCAACACAAATGTGTCAGCCCATATCCTTTGGCTATTCATAGAACAGGTCCCAGTCTTAAAACTCCAAGCCTCTCTTCCTTCCCATCTCCTTCTTTCGTCTCATCCTCGTTCTATTGTTCTAGTAGTTATTTCACTCCTGGTGCTTAAATGAAACCATGAAAGAACAAGCACACCGAGGTCCATTGCCAAGGTTGATTAGTCGACACCTTTAGCCAATTACAGGCTTTCGATAATGCTTTATACAAAAAAAAATCCAAATGTGCACTGGCAAGAAACCAAGAGAGATGAAAAGGGAAGATGTAAAGCAATGAGTGTTGGTTGACAAAGCAAAAAAAAATGGAAAGGAAGACAGGGGTAATGCTGGGCTGTGTAACTATGAGAGCTTTTTTTTTTTTTTTTTTTTCACTGTTGAAGGACTGTAAAGGTGATCTTCCCGCTGCACTTTTTTTTAATTTATCAACGCCACCCCTGCTTTCTGTTCTGGAATGCGGTGGATGAAATAAAATGAGCGAGTGATCCGCGTTGATCCTTAGATCAGAAGCACCAGCTGCTATGGCCTGCCACTATTCCAGGGCTCGAATGTATCGAGTGATGATATGATATTTATACACGTATTCATGAAAGTGATACGGGAGTCACGAAAAGGCAGGATAGAGCTGAGTATCATATAATATTTCCATTGTCAGTGATGGGACATTGTTCCTTTTCCCGCAAGAATAAATATAGAAAGCAAAGGAAATTGCACAGCACAGGCACATGTTTGTGTGGGCATGCAATGTCGGAGAATGAGAGACCAAGTGACGAAAGAGAGAAAAAGAGCTCAAACAAAAAGAGGAACAAACTTGTTGTTTGTTGTTGGTTTGTTGACTGAGTGACTGGGATTGGAGCGGAAAAGAAGGCCACCGAGATGCCGGAATTGAAGGACCGGAAGACGCTGACAGGGATCATAAACAAATCAAAAAATAGAACAGGGTTTGGTCTCATTGGCTGATCAATGGAATTTGCCCAAGTTTTGTGAAGTGATATCCCTTTATCTAATGTCTCCTTTCGACATTGCATTGTCATCATTTCAGGATTGCTGAAAACATATCAAATTGTTCGTTGATCGCACCGCACTGTATGCAACATAAAAACGAGCCCGCTTACAGATTTGTGCTTCTGATTGCTGCACAGAACCAAAAAAAAAAAAAAAAAAAAAAAAAAATAGAGAGAGAGAGAGGAGAGCTGTTATGGGCATATTTACCGAAGTTGTAACCTTGTTAGTTGGGTAATGAGGTATAGACACATGTGGTGCATCGAGATCATTTTCAATTGACTCTGGTGTCAAGTTGAGGAAGATGCGTCTTCGTTTTGTGGCAGTCATGGAGGCATGTGATTCCATTCGACGAAGACGATAACTGTCTTCTGGACCTTCGCCCTCCTTTGGCTTTGGAGAGAAAAGACGACGCACACGGTGTGGGATGGCGCGATAAACGAATTCCATGGTGACAATGACGATAGTAGCAATATAACAGTGTGCGCTATGCTATGTCTGTGTGCCTGTGTGCCTGTGTGCCTGCGTACCAAGGATGTCAGGATATCAGGGTGTCGATATGTATGAAAAAGCAAAAGTCAAAAGAATGAAAGACTGACTGGATTAAGGGACTTGAGACTGTAAACAAATGTAATGTCAATAGAAAGACTGATAAAAAGACAGATGGGTTGATAGGCAGATGGACATGCAGAAATAATAAGAGAAAGCAAATTAAACGAAATGGAGAAGAGATTGATGGCACTCTGGGACAGAGCGGAATGAAGCGTCAATGGATTGTGTGTGTGTTTTTTTTTTATATTTATATATATATATATATATAAATAAAAAAAGATCAAGAAAGAGGAAGAAAGAGAGGAGAGTAGAGAGAGAGAGAGAGAGAGAGCGAGGAAGAGAAAGTAGAGAGAAAGAATAAGAAAGGGTTTGGAGGGGATCAGAATGATCCTTGAGGGGAGGTTGAAGCAATGGAAAGAATGAAATGACACAAATGACCATATAAAATAAAAGTGAAGACAGGGAAGGCCCTTTTTTAAAAGGACAGTTGATCGACCACGTTCTGATATGCAGGTTAATTTTAGCAGTTTACAAGTGAAGATGTAAAAGCTATCCGAACACATCATTGATAAATGATAGATGACTTTGTTTTCCATGGGTATTGTCCTTCCTTCCCTTTTCCTTCCTTTCCTCATCCAGGGCTGTGCTTTTCTTCTTCTTCTTCTTCTTCTTCTTCTTCTTCTTCTTCTTGTTGACTTTCAATTGATGAGAGCAAAGGCAAAAAGTGCCTTCTTTTTTTGCTTTCTCAAGACATGCGGCAATATTTAATACCTGACAACTTAGTTTCCAAGACATGTGTGACATGTGTGACAGAGGACTCCGCCAGATTGCCAGAAAAAGAAAGCCCTGCTTCTTCACAATAGACCTTGTCGGCGCAAATGGCTGCAATGAAGCTTGGCGAGGTTTGAAAACAAAAAAAAGCCAACTTTGCTCTCATTCTTACATACCTCAAGCCAGCAGAATAACAGGGCTTGTGCCCAGAAAAACTACATTGTTACAATTGCGGTATTTACATTACTTAATTTCTTGGGACAATAATAAAACCTCGGCTTTGGTGTCAATCTCTTTTAAAAAATGATAAATTCATACTGCCATGATCTTTTATAGTTTGCTAACCTTCATGGACGATCAACTTTTTTGCCATAAGCAAATGGGTATCTTTAAACGTGATCCAGTTTCGTCATTGGTAAAACAATTATTAAGACAGTCGGACAGTCGAGGGTTTGAGAAAAAGGGGAAAGAGTTTATATACACTTTCCAACATTCACAGATCCAACTTGCTGGAATTTGAGCACAAGTCAAAGGAAAAAAAAAAAAAAAAAAAAAAAAAAAAAAGGGGAGGAAAGAACGAATTGTTGTCACTGGAAACATGCATGACCAACTCTCACCAATGTTTTTTCTTGATAATTTGCGGACACTGGTTTTCAAAATCAAAAGAACTTTACAATTTCGCGTCAAAAAAAAAAAAATAAAATAAAGGGGGGATAGTCAACGTTTTTTCTTGTTCTCCTACTGGACAATAGGGGGTAAAATCAACATATAGTCCGTCCCATTAAAAAACGAGACATTCCATCTATTGTAAAAAGAAGAAATGTATTAGAACACAGAAATAAATAAATAAATAAATTAACCAAGAAAAAAAAGTATATCGAGCCAATACTTACAATTTTTTTAAGACGAAGGCCTTTCTGGACCTAGTCATGTTTGTAGTAGATTGTGTCCTACTGTTGTTGCCGGCTTGTCTCTCCCCCTCCTCCTGGACCCAGCAAAGGTCCTTTCGGTGGTCTTGATCCCTCTACTCCTCCTCCTCCTTCATCTGAAAATTTCCTTTTTGTGGATCTGCTACTACCACCACCACTGCCACCACCACCAAGCCTTCGCCATGACAATCAACAAGAAATGAAAAAAAAAAAAAAAAAAAAAAAACAGACTTCCTTACGTCCCCCCTCGGTATGTGTATCTGTCTGAACACGTCCTAACTGACATCCTCTCGACAATCCTTCCAAGGCTGCAGTGTTTGAATGTGTACAGGGAACAAAAGAGGTCTAGATACAGGCTCTCTTTGTGACATTGAAGGAGATCGCATGTTTCATGGCTATCAAGACAAGGTACCCCTACAGGCACAAGACAAAGGTATAACTCGGCTCAAACTCAAAGGAACGATTTTACCAATGGCCTTGTTCTGAATCCACTTGCCTATGACACAGTCCAGACGAAGAGACAGCAGCAGTCTGACGTAGATGAAGAAGATCTCAGCCAGGAATTGAAACTTTCTCAAGGATTCCTTAACACGGCGTGTTTTAAAGGCAGCCGGTGAAGACCTGACAGATGAAGACTACGCAAACATAAACTGGAAGAGGAGCCCCAAACTTCTTGAAAACGTTGGACTCATATTCCATGAGCTAGGGCGATGCTCATCTGCAAATACCACAACTACCGTCTAATGCGATCCTGGTATTGTTAATGCCCTTACGTTTTCTTCGCTAGACCGTCACAACCCTGACCTGCGTCAAACGGTGAAGGTGAGAAGTAGGCTCGTCAACAGCCTGTGTGCCTTATATGCGTTGCACCAATGCTCACTGACAGGTTGAGTCCAAATTCGAGATACCAAAATAGCCTTCTTTGAATCCATGGGGAGGAAAGACACCAAGCCGGCAACAACAATAGGATATGATCAGTTGCATATTTCACAGTACACGTGTTACATGAAAATTTATAATACAGACATACTAACAGCTCTATGCCCCATGGTGTGGTGCCCGAGACAAACTTGCAGTTTTATTTTGATACAAATTTGGATAAATGCCCCATGGATGTGGTGTGTGAATCCACATCCTATTCTCACTTCTGCTCCCTGGTTACTATTTGTCTGTCTAAAATTTTTCATGAGCTACTACAAACATGACTAGGTCGGGAAAGGCCTTCGTCTTGAAAAAGTTGTAAGTATTAGCTCGACAGTGCTTTCTTGACTAATCTCTTTATTTCTATGCTTGGTCTAGATGGTGTTTTTTTATGGGGAGGACTATTTAGACAACATATAGACCCCACATATCTTAATCATAATAAATTGGTTTGGTGGCATTGTTGTAAAAAATATCTTTGCTTAAGGGACAGAAAGATAGACACAATCAGGAAAAGGCAGGACAAAGGGTGTCAACAAGATTAACAAGAGAAAATAGAGTCAAATAACCTTGACTACAAACAGCACCATAGAATGTCAAAAGATGGGAGCTTTATAGGTGAGCTCACAAACTGAGTTACCGGAAGACAAATGCTTGTTGTGAAAAGGGGAAAAAGATAAATGGCAAGATGAACTGCAGGTGAAGAATAAGACATTTGGGGAAAACTGAAGACTTTATTAAGAAGGAAGTTTCTTTGGCTTTTATACTCGGTAGTTTCTAGGTGAGGCGGACCCGCCTATGACTACAAAGGGCTTTTGCGCAAAGATTCCTTAAGCTGGTTCGACAGATTAGTGGATACAAAATAAACTGAAATTAATTTTAATGACCAGTCACACCACTTGCAATAACAAGCGAGTCAATTGGCTGCCAATACATTTAAAAGTATTCAAAAAATATAAGGGATCGCGACCAAATGGAACGGGCTATACGTTGAATCATTATCTCAATGACGCGAATAATAAAAATGTTAAAAATATTCTTTTTTCTTTTTAATACCTTAATATCTTCATTGTTACAAGTTATACTCACATTATACTCACAGATAACATAATTGGCAGCCCAGTTGCTAAATATTATTTGGCAGCCCATACCAATTATAGTAATTTTTGCCTCTATTTGGCAGCCTACTTCTGGGGGCTGCCACTTAACTTCGCACTCTTGGGTGGCAGCTGGGCTGCCAAATACATTACTTTTTTTTTTTTTTTTTTTTTTTTTTTTTTGATAACAGGGTCATAACATCAGTGGTAAAACAGGCAGCGTTCTGTGGATACATTGCCTTGCACAGCTAATGCCGCCGGAGGTACTAAGGGCAGCGGCGATGACATCTTCACAAAACAGCCTTCAATGTACACGGTTAAGGAATGATTTATTGAAGACGTCTAGGTAGCAGGTGAGACGCGTTTGCTCCGAGCGAAAACCTCTCATAGGCATTGATCTCCAAATGGCACCTCCAAAACTTTATGAGCGACCTACTTGAAAAAAAAAGTCATTAGTTTTCAATGAGACAAGACAATGTCACTACACATAACCATGACGTAGAAGATGGGAGCTTTATTAATTTAAAGTATGAGCGTTATACACATATACGGTTCCTAGGAATGAAAAAAAAAAAAAAAAAAAAAAAAAATAGTTAGAGGCCAAATAACGCTGGGTAGGTTGCCAAGTAAATAATGAATATTATTTGGCAACTGGGCTGCCAAAGAGAGTCTTGAAAGTTGATTATATTTGGCAATGGGCTGCCAAATAGATTAATCCAAAAAAAAAAAAAAGGATGAAGTTATTTGTACGGCCCCCGTGCAAATAAATTTTTACTTATAAAAAAAATTATTTGCACTGCCCCGTACCTCTATTTACACTGCTCCCCCCGTACAAATAAAAAAAAAGTTATTTGCACGGGGTCTCTTTTTCATCTACAAGCAGCAACGTGTATCCTACAGACTACATGATTCTGGCTTTATATAAATAAGTGGAGGTGAGTCTAGAGTAGAGAGGGGTCTGGAATTATTACTGGTGGAAGTTGCAGCGCCGTGGGAGCTGCCAAACAGCTCATTTGTGACATACAAAAATACTACCATTAGACCCATATAGCGTATACGATGATTTAAATTACCACTCACGTGGGGCAGACAAGAACCCTCTCTTTGTCCTCCTTCTTAGTTGGTGCAATGTTTTAACCTAATTGATATAACTTACTATGTATGTAATATATTTTAGCCACTTAGATATAGAGATATAGGTGATTGTGCACGTTCGGCTTTGAGTGCGAACTGTCACCAACTATCAAAAGACAAGTAATATCGGGTAAGAGGATAGATATTCCACAAAATAAGCTGAGGTCTACCCATTGTATTTTGATGAATTTGATAAACAAAATAGTACCGAGGGCGCTTGAGTTCTTAATAAAGGACGACAGAGATAAGGACATCTAAGAGAAAAGAAAGAGACTAGTAACATGGCGCGCTATGCATCATAGCAATGAGTATGGTAGTATGATTGGTTGTACATCTACCGACACAAACTACACGTTAGAGATTCCTAATAACTGAATTCATCGTTGTGTGCTTAATAGTGTACGGAAATACCTAAGATGTATGCACGCGTTAAATGAAAGAAAGCATCGGGGAACCATAACAATGCAACCAACAAAAGTGCAAAGTAAAGCTGCATAGTATATTTCAACTATAGATAAATCATTTGTAATTCTGTATTTAGTCCC